ACACAAAAGTAATTAATGTAAAGCCGTCTTCGGCACACGCCATAAAGGCGCTTGGGGGGGGGATATGACTCCACTCTTTCTTGACCTCGGCACGAGGTGACTGTGAGTGGTCAACATCATGCCCTGATGGTGCTTTTCCCCTAAGAAAAGGACCCCCGTTAAGAGGCTGAGTGGGCCCCAGACCCGGTGTGGACGCAGAGGCTAGAGAAAAATCCTTTGCCCCTATCAGGGATCAAACCCAGGTATTCCAGTCTGTAGTCAGTCACTACTCCGTTTCAATGAGACACGCATGAAGATTACTGTCTTCTGGAATACTGTCTCATGTGGTCTCGAATAACATGACAGACGTTACTAAGGTACTTACTGTCTCCATCATCAGGGCAGTAAGAACCTTTGAAAAAGCAGCAAATCTCTACCAGACTACACGGCGCAACATTTCAGAAGGCGGCCATCTTTACACCTGAAGCCGAGAAAATCTGAATTATCACTAAAATTCTTCGCCGTTTCATTGATTATTCTTTTACCTTACAGTGCCGTATAAACAGCTGAGATTATGAAGTTTCGAATGCGACATAGTGGCGCGAGTACAAATTTAAGATTAGGGAAACATTCTTATTCGTTCGTAGAGAGTTTTAAGGCCCAGAACTCATCTGCACATACTAACGCATATAAGAGAACCTCTCCCTGAAAAGCCGGTCCCCCAACGGAGGTCGACCCGCATACTTTCGAATAGAAGCCAAACGTATAGCCGCTGGGTGTCCGAAACCTTATTTCATCATAAAAATCTAAATCATTCTCATGAAGATTCTTTTATCTGGGAAAACTGAGATAAACAGATAATACTGTACACCCCTGCTTAAACTAGAAGCTCGTGGTTACAAACATCTTGTCTAAATAACCTTGAACTTGAACCCAAATGAACAGCTATTTTCAACATCTCATGTTGTGTGCGACAAGGCAAGAGTGCTGTCAAGTGTACGTTTTTGATTATAGGAGACAGCGTCTTGATTCTTCTGGCTGTAGAATATCCAAGCTGCATACAACGTACTTCGTCACTGATGTCTCAGATGATACGTGAGTGATCCATTCCTTCTTATCTCTTGCTAAGAATTTCATCTGCGTTAAACTTTTGTCCTTCGCCTGTCCTATTTCTCTAATTAGTATCCAAGTAGCTCATTCTAGGTCTTCTTCTTGTTCTGGTACCCTCAACTCTATCTTCCAAAAACCGTTTCGTCTTTGTTTCATCTGTCATTCGAACATGTCCAAACCATTTCAGTTGTTTTAAAGAGATTTTTAAGAAACGAAATAATCAGTTTCTTAGAAATTTTTACGAAATTAGGTTTGGACGGACATTGTAAACATGCGTCTTTCCTCTTCTGTAAATCTTTTTGTTTGGTAATATGAACACGGCGAATGGGAAAATCCGGTCGGTTACAGCAAGAACTGAGCAGCCCTGGTCCATTGGTCAGGCATGAGTAACAAAATACACACATGGTCTGTCGCAAACTGGGATTCAAAACTGTGACATTATTTTGAAAATTGGCCTGGTACTTTAAGTATCTCAAATATCTTACTAATCTGTACTGACATTTTCACCTGTGAAAATCTTCAGAATGTAAAGCAACGGCCATTAGTTTCAAAAAAACTCATTTCCAAAATATCGTGAAATTCTACGTTCTCATGGCGTTGATTATGAAGATGATTGTTTTCTGGGATGTTTCGACGTGCAGTTTGGTAGTTATTGAACGAGACGACACGACACAGGATCCCAGAAGACTATAAAGTATATAATAACTGTCAAATGCTTTAAGTACAGCAATTACATATTTTATGCAACAGCCTTTATAATTTTAACAGAAATTATTGTGTTGTTATAAAGAAGTTAAGATTACAAAACATCGACTAGTACATCTTTTAGTCACCCGTCGCGGAAACTGACTTTTTCCTGGGTTATTTAAAAACGCTGTGTCAACTGCATAGTTCATATAGGCTATAGTGCAAAATTTGTAATCCTGGGGTCTCGGGTTCGATTCCCGGCGGTGCCCGAATTTATAGCTTGTGTTGGGCAAGGCCGTGGTCTAGGCAACACGGAGTTTTCCTCCGCTCCGTGGCATCCCAACAATTATTCCATTCACACACAGAAGAAGGCAATGGCAAACCACTTCTGGATCATCTGCCAAGAACGTATATGAACAGGTCCCAGTCCGAGAAAAGGATGGAAGGATCCTGTTCATATGGACCTATCGTCAGACAGAACACTAAATAAATAAATAATATAAATATATAAATAGTGCCGAATGACATCCAAAGATGACACTAAGTGGTGAAATGAAGAACTGGGTTTAGAAGGAGGACGTGGCCTATTTTAAAGAATTTAATTGAGGGACTGGGGCAACCGTAAACATGCACAGGTTAGACAATCATTCGTCCAAAATGCGAAATCAGGCACCTCACAACTACAAGTCTAGAGATCTTAAGCTACATCGACCTACTGCGTGAGGCAAGAGATATTTCAGAGAAAAATGAACGCCATTTGATATTAATCAAAGCAATAAAATACTTTTATTATCAGAACTGACTAACAGAAAAATGGGTTTCGTTGATGTAGGCAATTGTAATGCGTTTGGTGTAATTTCGGAAAACCCTGCTTTTTGCGACCGTTCATACTTTTAAAGCTGGCAACACTGTTGTTTAACACTTCGAACTTACGTTAATCCTTGTGGTATGTGGTGTTTATTCTGTTTATGGCCACACATTAGTCACATGTACTCAAAGTATTCATTTCCAAAGAATGAAAATTAACATTTAAAATTATATGAGCAAATGTTTGGAACTAGATACCTTAGAAAATTTCACACTTTTTGAAAAATAAGATACTTCACACAAATGTAACTATCACGTAAGATTTGAGGTTTTCACAGCGGTGAGTATGAAGATTTCTGTCTTCTGGGTTGTTGCGCCGTGTAGTCTGGTAGAAGTTTACCGACGTTTCAGAGGCCCTTGCTGCCTCCACCAACATCGCCAGCGCAACAACCCCGAAGACAAGGTTTCTGTCCTTTCTCCTTTTTACCTGAAGACGGAAGAAAATGCAGCTTCCGAAACGTACTTTTATTGAAATATAGACGGTTGACAACGTCCAGAATACCACTTTTACAGATTATAACGCATCATCATCAGAAACCTTCAGACTTCATCTAAAACAGTATAATTTGCATAGTACATTTGTTACGCCATGAATAAAAATGCATTGGCAATGCCCGAAACTTTGTGTTATTTTTCCCTTTTCCGTAAGTAACAGCTATGATATTTTAGAGATACGTGGGTTAATAACCTTAATAAAATGTAACATACACGTATGAGCAAATATAAATGAGGTCAAAATATCCAATACAAAAACCTGTAGTAATGTGGACCTAAAAGGAAAAATAACTTGACGGGATGTCACATGGACCATAACACTGTATTCAAAAAAATATAAAATCAACATCAAACATCTGTACGTTCACACTTCTTTACAGGAGCGGATACAGCGGCATGGGAAAGATTATAAAATGCTTTGATTTAGCTCTATAAAATACGGCGTCCATTCAGGCAGACGGGAAATGCATCGTTCACTTCCGTAGTTTCATTCTCTCAATCATTTCCGCACCCGTTCAAGCAATGTTTAACACTACGTGTATTGTATGGCAGAGAACAATAGGCATTAGGGTATGGCGGACATCCTGTTACTACTGGCCCTTATATTGCTGTGAACAACGACCCATTTCATACAATTTTTCACTGAATTTTCACATGCCTGTAATTAGTAATGGGCGACTGGAACCGAGACTCTAATCGGTTCGATTTTCCCGGTAGAACGTGCCTCTCCAGCGATTTCGAGAGCTTCGCGTTCTCACGCACTGCCTGGCGAATAGGCCACGAATGTTTGAGAAGACTATCCACTACCGCCTCCTATCATATGTCTCCAATTTCACAACTACCTATCATTCCACCACTTGTTCCTTCATAATCTTTTATACTTACGATGGGAGGCTGGATTAATTTTGTAAACAAACCAAAACTTTCAGAAGAGTCATATTTAAAAACTCTACCAACTACATTAATTACATTACCTTTCCTCTGTAATGTATTTTCAAAGACTGAAACATTGCCACCACAATGTTTGTCAGTCTCTTTTCTTGCTTATGTATCCACAAAGTACATTTGAACTAATAACAGTGTTACCACACTGGCCGAAATCATTCGTACTATCATAATTATTGTTCTGTCTTACAATAGAATCTACATTGCCCACATTTACACAAAAAGTCAGCATTGCCAAAAATTGAATTAGGTTAAGCCAATTTTAAAAGGTACTGATGTTGATGTGTTGCAACCGGGATCACAAATTACTTGGACTGTGTCCATCGTCTATGTTTTTAAAAGAACACTGCGTTTCGGAAGCTGGTCCAGTGATTGAGGTTAGCTCTTTCTATCGAACTCAACTGAGTAAACGCCCCTACTCCTTTTTAACCCGAGGACGGAAGCAGATCCAACTTCCGAAACGTAGCGTTCTTTTTAAAAACACAGACGATGGACATGGTCCAAGAATGTTGTGATCCCGGTTGAATAAGGTTAGGTTTTTCACTGTGTTACATTACCTGAGGCTGCCTTTGTTCAGAAATACACCTTATCTTGTTCCCAAATACATATATACTTCTTGTAAACGTTGATTCTGAAGCAAACTTTCTTACTCTTGGCATTTGAAAGAAAATATGAACACGTGTTACACTAGAAAACAAACACAACCGCGATGACTGAAATTAAGGTACACTCATGCTCACACTTCCCACTCTCCTATGAGTTAATATGACGTAAAATCTAACCATTCACTACATGTTCTTTATTATCACACCTTGCATTCTCCCACCATGAACATAATTAAATGGAGAGACGATTATCGATAGGTACGACAGGGAAGGAAACATTGCAACAAAACCTTTCTGTAGAACAAAAATGAATATTCTTGGCCAATTATTGTCCTACTTGTATTAACAGCAACATCAGAAGTGGTTACAGGTTTGTTAGGAAAAACTGATGATACACAGAAGTAGTACAGAAAACAGCAGTGCTATAATGTTATGTGCAAAATGTTAATCTAAATACTGATGCAGTATTACCATGAATGTCTTGCTACCTAATTTCAAGTTGGAACAAAAATGAAAACGACCTTCAAATGGTTCCTATATTGAGAAGAATCTTTTATACGTAACTTAAGTCATTAGTTCTTGAAATGATTTTTATGAAAATAGGCCTTTTCAATTAAACTTAATGCACTCCTCCGTATCAATTATACAAAAATGTAACAGCTTAACTGAGGGCCTACACACACGCCGTTGGCTCCAGACGACAGCAGATGTTGACGCGTTCATTATTACAAAATTCCTACAATTAACTCATCTTCCAACACATTTCCGTCAAGCGACAAGAGCATGTACTGATTCAGTGGACATGAATTCAGTTTTAAGACTATTATTATCATTATCAACACCATCCTTGCAATCAAGGGTTTTCGTAATCTTAATCGCCACCGTCTTAACAAAGAAATTATAGATGATTGTTCCTTTATTATGTCTCACAGTTTCACAACGAATAGTAAAAAATTATTATCCAGTAGTAGCTGATATGATATGGTATTTCATACTGGACATCAGACGGTCTATTGGTAAAGCATTCAGTGAAAAAGATACAGAGTATGAGATCAGCTTTTTGTGTGGACATGTTCCCATGCACCCTTCATGCCCAACCGTAGATTTAAAAAAACCCGAAGAACGTATCGCGTAGGCCCATGTGCCTGGTTGGCCTAACATAGTTTTATAAATTGGTGAGAATGTTCCAGAAACGGCAAAGATATTAAGCGTGTATTTGGGTGTGTCATGGTACCCGTTTAAAACAGATTTCCCAGAATACTACTTTCATGTTTCAACTTATGGCATTCTTATTCGAAAGAGCTGCCGACCACGAGGGTCACATCCTGAAATGCGGGTCTCCAAGGACGTTACCTCCTTAGAGCGGCAGTTCGTATAAAGAATTTCTAACACAAAAAGTAGATGAAACATGCCAGACACATTCACGAATTACAACGCAAAATAGTGAAAGGATAAACTAACTCCATAAAGCAGAGTCCTTCTTAAGACTGTGATAGTTGCTCACAGAGTCAAGCACTTCCCTACCGTTTATGGAACCCTAAAGTTAATTATCATGTCCACAAAAACCTGCCAACTGCCCTATCCTGAGAAAGATGAATTCAGTCCACACCTTCCGTTTTCCACAAGATCCATTTTAATATTATCCTCCCATCTATGACTAGGTCTTCAAATTGATAGCTTCCAGCTTTTGTATATATTTATCATACCCCATTCACTCTACATGCCCATCAGATCTCATCCTTCTTCATTTAACCACCCTAATAATATTTGCATCGAGTACAAATTATGGAACTCCTCATCATACAACATTTACTCCCTTACATGCTAATATTCAGGTGTTCAGGATTCAGTGCTATTCGTTGTAAAGGTCAGAGTGTGATGGGCACTACTGAACATAGCAGACTCTCGATTGACTGGGGATGAATTAAACAGGTTGCAGATTAACTTTAGTCTATCTGGTTTAATCAAAAACTAAAAATGAATTTACAAAATCTGCTGTAAAAGTAAGATTGTTTAAAAATAAATAAAAAAGCAATGACATTATTTAATGTATTAACATAAATCAACTGTTGCTAAAACCTGAAATTTTCAAAATAGAACATTTTTACTATCCACTGGAATCCTTTTTTAAAAAGCAGCTGGCAAATCTTAAAAACATTTAAGTAGTGCACATCTATAGATAAACTTATGTATTTGTTACATTTGCATGTTTTTCTTTAATCTTTTGCAGATTATCCGGGACTTTGATTGTCGACGAAAATATACTTACCATCCAATCTGATTAAATGGGAGTCTGCTGTACTTATGAGACAGCAGAATGTAACTGCTGAGCGCACAAACTGAATGTGCATTCAAAGTATTTTGATTCTTAAGAAAACTTTACACAGATTAACTAGTAAAAAGTAAAAGTAAAGCTGTCCCACTATACGCCATGCAGGTGCTTGGGTGGAGAGATGGTATAGCTCCTACTCATTCTTGATTTCTACACTAGATGGGGGTGAGTGGTCAGCGTCACGCCCCGGCCGCACTTTACCCGGGGAAAGGACCCCGGTACCCATTGGATAGGGGGCCGGGTGGGCCCCATAACCGGTCTGGACGCAGAGGCTAGATGAAAAATCCTGTCCCCGACGGGGATCAAACCCCGATCATCCAGTCCATAGCCAGTCACTCTACTGACTGAGCTACGCTGGCTCATCAGATTGGTTAGACAGAATTAAAATTTTAATACTTAAACTGCAGGTGACCAAACTATCAGATTGAAGGGGAGGGGGGGACATAGGACTGAATATAGTCATGTGTTTTTCAATGCCGTATGAACTGTCCTTCAGAATGAAATATGGACAACTGTTAATTTATTCCCAGCCACTTCCCTGTTCCTGATGAAAGCCAGGATTCTCTATGATGTTCGTGTTTCTTCTCATTGACATCCACATCTCTGGGACCTGTCTGAAGAAGCAAGCACAAATAAAATTTGAGGCTCTAACACTGACAAGCATAAAGATAGCCGCCTTCTATGTTGTGCCATGTAGTCTGGTAGTACTGATGCTTGCCACCTCCTCATCACCCTGATAATGGAGGCAGCAAGCACTGCGGAACACTGCGATGTACTGAAATATTCCATTTAATTAAAAGCTTGTAGATTGCGTACATTACTCAACTAAGACAATGCTCATTAGGCATGACACTAATGACAGAGCATTCGTGCAAACGCATCAAGTAGAATATTTTTGTAGCTTCGTCACTATTGGCACAGAATTTGCTTAAATCAGAGTGAAACATAAAGTATGACGGTAGTTGACACCTGAGGTTTACGGCTTGTGTCCAGCAGTGCGAATGATATGTGTAAACTATGGTATTAAGTAGCTGTTGCAGTAGCGGGACTAGAACTGTATAAATGAATAAAGACTCGAAGCAATGAAGAAGATGCACAATGAAGAGAAGTAATTGGAATCCATGATGTGAACCATCTTGGTGGATGCTACTCTTGCTCTCATGTCCTCTGACTCCATATATATCCTCTCCAGTGTGAAGACGCACTACATATCCAAGTGTTCTAACTAACCTGTGAACAAACACAGTAATGCTACATTTTATCTTATGAATACTTCGGAACAATCTATGCTCCCAGAGTACATCCTAGAAGACAACCATTTTCATACTTACTGCCATAAGAACCTCAAATATCACCATTAACCAATTAACTAAATTATCGATAAAGAACTAATTAAGATTATTCATGGATTATACCCATTAAGTATGGCTAAAATGGTAATGTTAACTCACATTCTTTCAGTTCATGTTGGAAGCTGTTTATCTCCAACCAGATAAATAAACTCAAACGTCATACCCAACAGCATAACACCCAGAAAATCACCCAGTGCAGTCAAATATGGAATTGTCGAGTTGTCTGGATCTACATTCTGCGACCAGAAGTAATATGTTATTACATACGCCAGATACAAAAGAATGGCAACCTGCAATAGGAACAAAAGGGAATTCTCAGCTTTTGCTATACAATGACATTTTTTATGCCACTTTACAGTAGTACAAAACACGAGGAAGTCTGGAAAGCATTATTCTTTGTTATAATTCCAGAAAAGCATAAATAAAGTTAAAATAAAACTTAGTATACACCGTTGCCTACAAGGAAGAGCACATTAGATTGTCCTTACCTGGACCAAGGCAGCTGTGAGGTAGGACGAGACAAAGAGTGTTGAGGGGGAAGCACTTCCTTCTTTGAAAAATCTGATGGTATAGACAAATATCACATGACCTGGCACAACTATCAACATTAGCACCTGAGCAGTCACTGCATACTGTTCTGTAACAAATGAGAACAAAACTTGACCCAGTTTCTAAAATTCATTTTTCTTTCTGTTGACCGTAAAAGGTCGACAATTTGACTTGAACGATCAATATTTTGACAATACATTTTTGACATAACTGTTTTTGAATTGTGCCCAACAACCTGAACTGCCGCATTTTATTTCATAAAATAGGGTGACAAACTCTAAAGTTAGAATGGTTGTGACTCACAGGAAAATTACATAATAAATGTGACTGTTTATCATATTTATGACAAATATCATGTATGTAGCATTGTAAATAATTATCAATATTCCAGAGGAGTCTTGGTAACCACCTACTAGACTAAATGTCTCACAACATAGAAGACAACAAGCTACATTTTCATCGCACTGAAATTCTCAGAATTTTTTAAGGTTTGACTAGCATTTGACATGGCTTAAAAATCATATTATCACATGCTTATTTATTTTGCCCAAATATTAAGTGATCAAAGTACTTACGTTTTGAAAAGAAGGCATCCAATGGGCTTATACAAATACGCGCAGCAGGGGGCAATGTCCCCAACTCATTATTTTTGTGGAGTTCAGTGGAGAGACGACTGGCTTGCACTGAGACTAGATTTCCGCCCACACCATTGATGACAGGTTGGTACACAGCCAAATCCTTAAATTTAGCCATCAAGATGTCCAAGATGAGGCCAGCTAACCTGCAGCAAGGATGGAGCTAAAGCTTTAGCCGAACCATCTCCGAGCATCATGTCAGCATCTTGTATTTCCAGAGTTACCTAAAAAGTGAACAGATACTATTAACACATGTTCTCTACTAGTTTCTGTACTTGAAATGGCAACATTAGGGACACCATGCCAAATTAATAAAATAAAGAATGCTTAATGCATACCACTACACTGGTAGCTACCACTTACATTACAGTACAGTAGAATCATAAATTTGTGAATGCCAAATTCATGATATATGAGCTTAAACACTCTCAACACCAGAGGGGGTTAGAGTCCTGCTTGTAAGATCACCTCACTGAATACTGCAGTTGAACAGTCAACGGATTGAGTTTATTTTTAAGAGATCTCAATTGTAAAGCTGAAAGCCACGCAGCTTGAAGAAGATCTTTTGTGGTGTCCTGGGATTGTACATCACAGGCTACTGCTTTCTTCCGTACCCTTCCAAATTCATAATTCCCAATGCTTCTCCCTTTCAACACTACATAACATATGCAATTCAGAATGAATCAATAAATACACACACAAACAAACAGAAGAAAACTACATACTTTCCTCAAAATTATGTTACACCATAGGAAACTTGAAAGGAAATTGATTTTAGTGCAAGTATTTACTATAACATAAAATGGTAATATGATCATGAAGCATAATAAAGCAAGATGGTATACACATTTTATCACTTAGAGAACTGAAACATGTGATAAGATACTGCTATCTTTTAATTCCAAACAATCACTCTTAAATATATTTATGTAAATGTTAACTTCTTCCATACTAGCAATAGAATACTTTGCAAACAATTCAATGGAAAGACAGTGTTACCGACAAACTATTGTATTCCATAATACGCTTCTCTCAACCCAAAAGTCTGAAAATGAAAAAGAAGTGTTCTTCATACGACAAACAAACAGTTAATTTTCAAAGAAAAACAGCCATAATATTAAGAAGTAATAGAATACAAATACAATGCAAGTTATATTGTACTAAATTTCAGTGTCATAATCTTTGCTAATTTATAAATTTGATTAATCTGTAATAGTCTATAAACAACTTATTTCAACAAAAATTTTGTACCATTGATGCTCCATACACTCAATTACAAAAAAAACTTCTTTTAAGCACAAGTTAAAACATCTGAAGATGGTTATGTTCTGGGATGATGCACCATGTAGTCTGGCACATATTGGCTAATATTTCAGAGAATCTTATTGCCTCCACCATCAGGGTAATTAACTCTGAAATGACATCAATATCTACCAGAATGAACATTCAATATTTCAGAGAATCTTATTGCCTCCATCATCAGGGTAATTAACTCTGAAATAACACCAATATCTACCAGAATGAACATCCTAGAAGAAGATAATCTTTATCTCTATTGCCATGTGAACCTGAAATCTCACCAAGATAAAATACTTAATTCTCCTTCTCCTGATGATTATAATTTAATTCAAATTGATTCTCCAAAACTTTGTGATCTGCTAGATACCAAGAGATTAAAACATGAAATTTATTTATTGTACTAGAAAATAGATATGAGAAAATAACAGGCTACAAGCACATGAGAGTCTGAAGGTATCTGGTGATTCCCAAAATCTGCGAAAACTAAATTAAAACATGATGGAGACAACTGAAAAGTAAAGCATAAAATTCAAGACAAAATACTGTAACAATGAACAATTCTGGAGGCTCAGACTCTGCACACTTTAAAAAAATGGATGAAAATAAACCAGCATTAAACACAAGAATTTTAGTAATAAATACAAATTTATTCAGCCACTTATATAACAGTGTTATAGTTGAGAACACTAAAAAAGCAGTCTTTGTCATGAACTATAATGAAGTTACTTATTTCCCAAGAAAACCTTGTTTTTGTCAAATAAGTTACTGAAAATACAATTTTCTTACCAATGAGCTGCCTAAGCTAGCAATAAGCAAGAAGACACGTGCATACATACAATCAAGATACACAACTCAATCAATTATCCTGTGTTTAATTCAACAATCTATATTTTCTGTTTATACATAAATGCTGTCATTGTTTTTCTGTTTAATCAGCCATAATAACAAAAAATTAATACAGACTGTCATTAGACGGCATGGACTGGATTCCAAGATGATCACAAAATGTTTCAAAAGCAGAAGAATAAAATATTTTTCCTTTTACTGAAATACTTGAAGAGACACATGTTACCATATAAGCTGTTTTACTCACGTGCTAATTAACATTGCTAGTATGACCGGTGTCCAACCAGTGTAGAGGACGGAGTGTGTGTATTTATTCTTCTTGGCAATAAAAACCCAGAATGGTATTGCAAGAATGTAACAACCAATAATGATAGGTGCAATCCAGGAAAACTTTTCTGAAAATTAAATTTCCTCCTTTTATTATCTACCAAAAATACAAACTGGTGTTTCAGATTTGTGCTCCTGAAAAATTTGTGTTTTTTTTTATTTATAAAAATGTATCAATATTATAACTTGCTTGGACCAATAGCTTTCTTGCCTGCAAGCTACATGTTTCACTAAGCAAGTTCTTATTTCTCAAGCTATACAGTTTCCACTAATGTATTCAACAGTATATTTTGATGTATCTTACCGTTTGCATTATACAACATAGAGGCAACCCATGAGAGTAGAGCCAATGATGTAATATCACCTAAACTTGCGGCAATAGGAGTTGCCACATTATCAGGATTGATCTTAAAACAGCGAGAAACAACTATAACTGCTGCAGTAATACAACCTGAAAGCAGCAGTAGAGAAACAACACTGTAAATACATTACTATTATTATAATGAAATATGTTAGAAGGAAAAATGTAATAATTTATTATAATCAAATAACGATTTAAGGATCTTTTGACATTGCTATCCATAAATTGCACACATCTGTGTTATAAAGTAAAATGAGGTATGTCCCATTTTGCTGCATGGTTTATAAACTTGCTTTCAATGCACTTTTAAATACAAAGAAAATTGCTTTACAGGATGCACACAAAATATTAGCTCTGACATAAAATACATTGAAATAACCATATTATATAAACTTGTTACGCTTCGGAGATGAGTAGAAATTAACTATAGCATGGTATTCAGTAAAACTGAAGTTTAAGTTAGTGCAGATATGTAAGTTTAGAAAAACAACTGAGACAGTAAGCAGCTACAAACTATGTTAGATATAAAGGCAGCCACTGGACCAAACACTGAGATTAACAAAGTACACAATACAAATCAATTTCCTGAAAATTAAGTGCTACTGTATATCACTATCAATAATAGATGCTCTTCAAAGTGATCTTTTATAATACTAAAATACTCTAACATGCAATATTCTTCTTCTTCCTTGGCTCTACAACCTCATGTGGGTCTTCGCCAACTCCATTCGAAGGTTTCTTGGTCTTTGAAATATGCATCTGTGAGTAGCGAGTGACCAGACCACTGCCTCTGCACAATTTCTACTCAATCCTGATATTTGTTTGCTAAAGCCATCTAGTAGAGAATTAGGAGAGTCATGGGTGAGAAATGGCCACTGAATTTTGCTTACAAAACGTCTCATTCATGCTTGTAAGGTTCTTTTACATGCCGTAAATCTACAACATGACACCGCTGGCTTTACATCCCCTCTGCAGGAAGTTGTGCTATAGAGTTTTATCACCATTAAAAATCAATCGACCTCGGCCGAGTTTGAACCCGCAAAACCTTGGATCCAGTAACGAGCACGCTAACCGCTAGTCCACTGAGGGCAACATGCAATATTATTAATCCAGCTTAACCTTAATTTAAAGACCAGCATAAAGTGACATTACCTAACAAAAGGCTGGCTATGGATGAGGTGATGATGCTAGAGGAACATAGAAGCAATGTATGGCTAAGACTGAATTCTTGTTGTGTTATTGCCACCATCACCACAGCAACTACAGCAGACAGCAATCCCACTACAATGGCTTGACACTGAAATATAGGTATAAAATCTTTTACTGGTTATCTGAAAACTGTTTCTGCAAATAAAATTTAAAATTAACAATCAGTATAAAAAATTACACCCATATCTGTCACATAACTTGAGTTTGTTCATGGCTCCTGTGACATTCCAAATAAAATTAAACTGAGATGATAACTAACTAATTATATGGCTTACAGAACCCGAAGGTTCATCACTGAATTCACCAATGCCCTCAAACTGAGGTGATATAATATAAATTATATAGAAATCAAAGTGAAACCCCTTACTCACATATTAATTGGCTGTCGGTTAGCGATGATATCTATTAGTAAGTTATCTAGTCAGTAAATTAGCTTGTGGATTGTGAAACCTACAACAAAGCACTGAAGTAAAATGATTTCAATCCAGTTATCCTGCATAAAGAATTAATCTATACTATAAGAGACACACTTGCATAAATGTCAATTGCCCTGGAGTATTGATGAGTTCAACTAGCCAGACATTACCAACATTATGTCCTTCATATACAATATTAGTTATTTTAAAGGAAACTTATTCACTACTAGTCCTGCGCCGTAGCCGTGCAGTCTGAGGCATCGTACTTTGGTCCGGTGATATGGAATGCACGCTGGTTCGAGTCTCGGGGAAAGAAATTTCTCATGAGATTTTCGACCGGTGTATAGGACCGGTGCCAACCCAGCATCGTGAGGAAATTGGGGAGCTATGATGGGTAGCGTAATCTGGTCATGAAAAATAGCAATGGCTGGGGGGTTCGTTGTGCTGACCACATGTCACCCTGTATCTGGTCGGATGATCGTTCACCTCTGCTTAGGCATGTGAACGTGAGGCCAGCAGTCAAGCTAGTCGGCTTTGGCTCTCAGAGGGCTGTACGCCACGGATTATTATTATTATTACTCACTACTATGAGAAATATAATAAGAGTTCACATTATATGTTTAATTGTAACTGGGTTCTTTGTAACTTGCATATAGCAGTGATGTAACCTTTCATTATAAAATACCTGTACTAGTGTTAAATTTCCTATGATCATGCTCCATTGTTCCTTTGAGTCATCCATATGTCCTAAATTGGCTTCTGTTGACAACCTTGATGCTAGTGTCATTTCTAAGTTTCCCTTTAGCCCTAGGAGTGATGGTACTAGGATGATGATTTCAGGCACTTTTATAAAAACTTCCCAATCCTAGAATAAGGAAAAGAACGATGTACTTAAAAACAAACAGAAAAACAAACATGGCACATTTTATGGACCACTCTTTATATATTTTGCTACACAAGAAACTGTCATCCCATTCATGCCTCGGCCATGCAAGTAATCCCTTCTCTTCAGCCTTTCCAACTAAAATTGTAAATGCATTTTTTATCTCCCCAGTATATGCAACTTTCCCACTTCATCTTTCATTGATTATCCTAATGAGATGGGTGGAGCGGAATGTGTATAAAACATTGAACGGAAAGCCCGAAGAGAAGCGACTACTCAGAAGATCCAGGTATAGATGGGCAAATAATATTAAAACAGTTCTTAGAGAAACGGTGGAAGGGTGTAGACTGGAATCATCTGGTTCAGGGGTAGGCTCTTGTGAACATGGTAACAAACCTTCGGGTTCGATAAAATGTGGGAAATGCCTTGAATGAATGAACAAATTAATCGATGAAGGAATAAATAAATGAGTGAATGTGTGAGTGAGTGGTTGGCTAGGAGGATGGGAAGTCAATATTTATCAATAGCAAAATGGTGGCTCATGTATTTGTATAACATCTGCTGATAACCACAAATAAAAGATTAAAAGCAGAAATCTCTATAAAGAAATGATATTATTGTCATGTCCGCGGCTGCTTTAGGAGACTTACTTGAACATGATCCAGGTAGAAACCTGCTCCAACCATGCCCATTCCAGCAATGAAAAATGGTGCCACAACCTGACATCCAATACTTAAGTGTGTCTCAGCACAGGGTGTGACAGAATCAATGTTGCAGTGTTCTGTAACGTTGGATGTAGGAGCTAGCTTCTTCACAACATCAGGTAAAGTTGAGTCTTCCACAGCAGGGGCTGGGGCAACAGCTACATCTGTCAGCACAGAAGACGACTGCTTGTCATCTAGAGGCTCCACCTCCCCTCCCTCATCTGTACGCAGAAAAAAGTTACCACAGCTTCATAATAGTGTGTTCTTGGAGTAAATATCACTATGTGGTTTTGATTCCATAAAAATGTACTGTATAACTACTTAAGCTAAATTTTCATGTCAATACACTTTTGTGACTGGGATCAGAACTGTTAAGTGAGGTTACTAGCACTAATACAAATCATTTAAATGTACCCAATGGAACAATTTAGTGAAGATATAACAAAGTAAGTATGTGGTCAGCTTCATACTCATCCCACTTGTACTTTAAGACAAAGCATCTCCAATATCCACTGAATGTTCAGTAAGACTGGTAAAACATAGGATTCATATACAATGGAAGGAGGAAAAGAAAGACTTCAAAATCCTTGCCAAGTAATGTATCCCATGAAGCTTAGGGCTATGCAATTTTGCAAGTGTTCCTCCTTTTCTTCAAACAGGTCTTGGATAGAGATTTTCTCATATTTCGGATCATACACACACACACGCCGAAAGTAGATGAAATAATTAACAATTCTTCCGCTCTCGTCATGAATTTTTCACGACACACGAAATTCTTGAGGATATTGCCGAATCTTATCCCACGGTCCACTACGTGACAGTTCACGCACGTGACAGACCGGAAGTCGTACAACTGGTTATCATTTTTAGACGAACATAATCTCATGGTGTGGCATGCCAAATTTAAGACAAAATGAGCATAAGTTACATGTCTTCTCGACGCTATACAGTCTGGGCTATTGAATGAGCGCCCTTAAATAAACTTTTCATAAATACACGTCTTCTTTCTACATCAATGACTGTTCTATTTTTGCATTTAATTTCCTGCATGTCTTAACTCACGAAAGCACCAAACTGGCACCATGTTACCACTGTAAGATAACGTCCACATTAAGCCAAGAGTAAATATCTTTGACTTATGGTCTCTATGCGTATTGCATAAAAGTAACCTCACCACACTCATCTCTTCTGGAAAACAACGGCCATACAACGCGATTTTGTACTACCAGACTCGTAAATAAATCCAAATTAATCGAAACGAAATTATGACACCTAGGCCGTCGACGAACCTGCGAATACTTGTTTCCATGCAAAGCAACGCAAAACGTATCCGCCGCCGGTGTCAGAATTTCGCAAAGAAAATACAGAAATAACTGTTACACCAAATAAAAAGAAGTTCAATGTAAAATACAGCAGAACAGGTCAAACCACATATCATAACCTGCCTTCTGTCTGCACAGTTTCTGGTACCGCGGATCCCCTCCCTAAAATTTTCTCATTCTGATTAAACAGAACGACTAACTAAAAAATAGACGGAAACTGTAACTTCTTCATGATGTTTTTACTTCAATATGGAAGTAACAATGTGATAGATAAAAGCTTACAGCATCAAAATATAAAGAAAGAATCTACTCTACTCAAGGACAACCGTTTACAAACACTGGTCTACACGACTGAAATCGTGTATGAAACTTACCTCGGGAGGAAGGGGTTGGAGATGGACCCACGTCCAACAGACGTATTTCCTCCATAGTCTCAGCTTAGGACTTCAAACCAGACGCAAACTGTTTTATCACCACAATTGGGGTGTTAAGTGTGAGCGTTGAGTAAATGCTGACGTGACTGGCTTACTTGGTTTGCGAATTATCTACAGTTTCTACGGCAGGTGTAGAAATCCGATTCATCCTAGTTACGAACTGGGGCTGTAAGATCGATAGAGCAGGGCAGGGCAGGTTTGCTCATCTCCTCCAGTCACATTCATGCGATCATCTGCTCCACCCCCCTCCCAACTCTGTCCTGGGAGTAATAAAAGGATCGAACCCTGTACTCCGCGGGAACCAACCCACACCACACGCACCTTCAGTCTGGCACACTTTCTTAGGAAATCAATACTTCGGAGTAGTTCCACCAATTTAACTATGACTGTACTTTCTGGGATTTCAGGGAAATGTCTAGTCTTACATGATTCAGGAAGCAGACAAACCCAAATTTGTATACAGCTAAATATTTTTATAGATCCTTAGTAATGACATTTGTCCACAACGCTGAAGGTCGTTTTTTTCGGACGACAAGGGCAAAGAAAAAAAGTTTATTTTATTAAATCTACCCTGCGCTATTAACTATTACATAAAACACCTTTACAAACATCCATTTAATCTGAGCCTACATGTGGAACAAAAACATGAAATGTCAAACAGAACTTTCCAACATCCCATTAATCATGGCAAGATTGGTCAGTTAACCATCTACTTCTTTTTTTCCAAAGAGTCTGGATTGACAGTGACCAATGTCAGAGAATTTACGTTTAATTTTTCAGAAAAGAATGGGCTAAGCCATAAATTTAATTCAGAGAAAACATAGTAGGGTACAATTGAGTTGATTCGTTTTTACGTAGAAACTCAAACTTAAGTGTACAGACGGCTCTGCCATATGCTCACTCAAAAGGAATAAGTAAAGAAGTTGAAAAATTGTACAAAAACCTCAGTATACTGTACAGTTAACTCTGGCTGTGGTAAGAACACAGTATAATTTTCAATGCAGATGAAACAAGACTGCAACTAATTCTTGAACTAGACAAGGTATTATAGTTTAAATGCGTCATGTTTGTGTTTTATAATTATGTGTATAGACCTGAAGTATAGACAAGGTAATATTTACAAAAGGAAAGAACGATGTTTACCATGCAATATGACAGACTGTACCACCTTCTGTCATAACGAAAGAGGCAGATAAAGAGATGCTTACTCGAGATCATGCCTAACGAGCCCGTTGTGCATGTGACATCTAAGTTACTTTCTGTGTTGCTTCATCACATTATTAGGCACAAACCACAAGAAAAGAATTCTGCTGCCCACATTGAATAGTAGTGAAGGTTGCTCCTGCAGAAGACTGCCCAAATTAATTGCCGTGTCTTGAAGAACAGTCTTCAGTTCTGGTGAAAACATCCCAAAGTGACTGCTCTATTTGGAAAGAAAGGGAAAAACATGAGTCAGCTGTTGTAACATAAAGAAAAGTCACTGCCTAAAATCCTCAAATCCTACTTAGTCACTGCCTAAAGCAAATATGTAATCATATGTGAATAGTTAAAGTAGGAAATCAAATTTGTTTCAGAAAATTATGAAATACTCGAAAATTTTTACCATAAAACTGAAATAAACTGTCCTCATTTTCAGCCTGGCAGCTTGCAAGCTAACTAACAAACTAGATGGCTTACCGAACCCGAAGGTTCATCACCGAATTAACCAAAGCCCACCCTGTCCTGGGCCAACAAAATCCAGTCTCTTTCAACTCCGATCTCCCACAGACCCCGCCTGACATTATCCTCCCATCTACGTCTAGGTCTCCCCAGCGGTCTCTTCCCCTCAGGCTTCCCAACCAATACCCGGTGCACAACTCTAGGCAGCTTGCAAGACAATAAGAAAAGTTGAATGTGGCACAGATCTAGAAAGTCTCTTTTGTTTAATTTCAGGACCTATACACAATTTTGTGATAGTCAGTCAATACTGGTGGGGGGGGCCTCTTGGATATTATGCTAAATATATACACCACAAACATGACATATAAATGAAATCCATCACTGCAACTTCATGGCTACAGTAATTATTGTGTGGATCTCTAGATCTTTTGTCTGACCCTAGTGGGCAATAAGTAACTCAAAATGTTCTGACACATATATCTGGATGGCATAAGAGGGTATCGTTTGTGAACAAATAAAGACATAAAGAAGTAAATGGAATGCAGCTACCGGCATCCATCTTGCAAGGCACAATTATATAAACTACTGGCTATTCAACGGACATTCATTGTAGGAAGCAAAGAAATGAATAGGTATAATGGTGGCAGTAAGTAAGCACAAATGTAATGAACTCATGACCCTCCATTAACAAACATGTCTATAAAGACAAATTTATTTTATACAGTATATTAATTTCATAATTACAACAAACAAACCTGCGGAACACAAACATTTGAAAACACATTATTGAGTCAGTTTCCTTCTTTGTCGCCTTGAAGTAACTGGCCTTTATTTAGTTTCACCAATCAATCTTCCTCTTGGCAAACTGCATCTTGTATCTCAGTTTTATTGTTTTCACATTTCCCATAAATTAGTTTTTACATTCACTATCTTCAACATTCCCAGGTTCACCATCCTCACTGTGATATATCTCTGTAGGAAATTACAACTTCATAGCTTCAATAGTACTGCAGACACACTCGTAGTAGCTCATGACCGCTGACCTCTCTCTCACTTGCTTCATTTTCAGAACCACAAGGTTTAAATATCAGCATATATTACATTTAAAAACCATCAAATGTTTAAAAAAAAACATTTACACACACACACACACACAAAATTCATACTTAAATTCAAGAGAGCCCTTGATTTTTTAACTCTGTAATCAGGAGAAATCTCATCTTCTATTTGATAAATACAGTAATATACTCAATTTATTTCCTCCACAATATTTGCAAAGAATATTAGGATTAGTGATTTATTTAATAATTCAGAAATGGTCAGAAACAAATTTAAAACTTCATAAGATACTGTAAAGTACTACATTACATTTGATTTCAGAAACAGAATACTGTGTTCCTGCATACGTTTTAGTTGCATTGGTAATGCATATAAAACTTTGCCAATGAAAAGAATATCCCTAAACTGATAAATACACAGGACTACAGATTAAACATAAAATGTAAAATGTCACAGAAAATTATAATGCCACTTTTATGATTAATACAAAGTGTGAATAATTTTAAAGCCCTGAAACAACACTCAGTTACCAGGCTTGCTTGTAGCTATTTAAAAACCACTACAATAAAAGTTGAACATTTTGTACTTACCCCTTTAAAATTCAAATTTTACTTTGACAACCTCAATTAAAATCTTATATGATAATGTGTTTCATAAAAATGTTGGTTCTTTCTAGTACTTAAAATCTTTTCGGGCCATCGTGAGTTCATGATTTGGTTGGAACATAGCTGACCACACAACTAAATAATTCTAACCATGTATTTCAGAATGATTTAATATCTTTACAGTAAAATTATAATGTGAAGCATGAGATTCAAGATACTTACACGTAAGATGGTTTGGACTTAATTGAGATGGTAAAATAAATCAGCATCATCCTCAATCCAAGCATCCATTTGTTCTTCAGAAATTTTATTTTCATCATCACTTTCAGATTCTTGAATGCCATAAAGTGTACCTACAATAATAAATACAGAAAAACAGAAGAAAAAGATAAGGAAGAGGCAACATTTTTAAATAAAAATAAATATTATAACAATTACTTTCTTTAATGTCATCTTAAATATGTAATATATATATTTTTTCTCTCTCTTTTTCAGAGATTCTATCATACCCCCGAAAATGTAAAAAACCAAATTATCAGACAAAATAAATGCAGCACCCTGACATTCAGGCATTTAATAACTCTGTGTTAAGAAATGAGGTGCTTTCAAACTATGATACCTCCAGTGCTAAAGTGCGCAATCAATGGAGCAAAGAAGTAGGAACCACAAACTTACGGTAATAATTTTCAAAATAACTATCTCCGTTATTAAGCAGAAAATGTGTTGACATCATGTTGCAACATACTTGCCATTTCTTCTTCATCCTTTGTATTCTTTGCCTGTGACTTCCCTACTGGTAAACTTTTGCTTGATGAAACCTGAATTTCAGAAACTGGATCTCTGTAAATAATATATAAAAAAACTTGTGAATCACATGCAATTTATGGCCATGTAAACCTCAAATCTCACAAAAGTCTTGTTCTATATACATTCCTTCATTTCTGCCAACTGCTTATGATGGTTACTACTCTTAATTTAATATAAATAACCAGTAGATTTTTCACTGGTTATATGTTACACAGCAATAACCGTATGACATTCCAAACACAAAAAATGGATAAATGGATACTAATCACTGCACTGTCATATTTGGTCCCTATGTGCATTTACTTACTTATATAAATGTTATTACTAAATTGGTTTATTTTGCTAAAACATTTAATGGACATCAACCAAAACTTACAGTGCTGCAAACAGAGTCTGCTGTAAGTTTGTGCTTCCTTCGGCTGGTCTACCCAGTTCATCTTCATCATCTGAGGTGTTGCACATTTCATCTGCACATGGATATGAAACTACAAACAAAAGAAAGTGAAATAGATGATTAAATTATGTAGTATACTAACATCTTATAGTAAATTGAAACTACCATTTCAAGAACAAAATACACTATTCCTTTTGTAGATGGATCGCATTTTTAAACTTTATCAAAATGTGAGTCCATAAAATACGAATTTTAAAAAATATATGCATACAAATTTGGTAAATCTGATGTATTTTTATTATAAGTTAGAAACTATCCATAGTTATACCATGCACTAATAGTGGCAAAAGCATCAACAAGGTCACACTATACCTAATCTTGGGTATAATCCAGAATGAATAATGGGCAGTATATCCATGGCAGCATCCCGAGGCATCATTGTGTATTTGGGATCTGTATCTATTACTCGTTCTCTCCTGAAAACAAACAACCATTATGCAATAATGTTTTAAGGACATTACTTAGAGCAACCATGTTTTCCTCTAGATAAAAATATAATCACAGTGACTAGTTACAATTGTTTCTTGATAAAAATAATACTACGTAAATTGCATTGGTTATATCTGAGGTCTGACAAGCTGATTGTTTCTATAAAAAGATTTGTTGTCACTAACCTTCAGTGAGAATTGTCACTGCCACACTGGAAGACTGAAGTTTCATCACCAGTCATTTTTTCAAGAAGTTAGGTTCTTCCAAAATTAGTTCCATGAGAATATTGCATTTGCACATTATAAAATATTTTGGAACACACACAGACCCCTAATTTTATCAAATGTTTTGTGTATGAATATGAGTGATGACAGATAAATCAGTGAAATAACTGGGCAGATGTGTGCAATGATTCTAGGTTCCAACCATCCTCACATCAAATGGGTATCTGGAACTGGTTCTCCAGAAATAAAGTGCTTTCAATGTTAAATCGGTGTCAAAGTAAAGAATGTATGGAACTTTGCCTCCATGTCCCTATACATTTTTCATGGAAGGATGCTTAGGCACCATCACTTTATTTTGAATGAACATATTGTCAAAGGTTACAAGATCACAACATTTTTCTGTCAATTTCAAGTAGTTGTTAAATATTTAAAAGTACTTTTCTGGCATTCATAAGAACTTACGTCAGGAAATCTGACTCAAGACTCTCTGTAAGTGCTTAGTGCAAGTGAGTCAAGCACATTACCAAGATAGTAAATGTAAGAAGCTACTTACATAGCTCTTGTCCTCTGTCTCACTGAACTATATTCCTGATTTGTTAAAGGAGTCCACTTCCTATTCACTGTCGATTTACATGTCATAAAACCTCTTACCATTGTTGACAATGCCATTGGTAAGGTCAATTCTCGTTCCTGAAATGGGAGTTCATGGCTGTTGTTAATATTCTGTGCAAACATTTCATGAAGGGATACCTTTGAACTCTGAAATACTAGTGCCGCTGTTTCTCTGTGAAGTTTAATTCTGGCACATAAACATATTATAAAAAATCTTATACTGTAGCATTCTAGTCGTTTTAATATTTATTTATACTATATACACAAAACTTTTGAAATAAATAAATATCAGAATATTTAAAAAGACCTGAAAGGGTCAGTGGTCTAGACATCATGCTAAGGGTCACATTTTAAATTTTCTGTTGATAGAAAGCCACACCCAAGAGCATCCAGTAGTCTGCTGCATCTCTAAGCATCATATACTAAAGGTATTAAACTATGAGATACCACAGAGTTACACTGAGATCTGCCCAACTGCTCTAAGTTGAATTGGTTAACTTAATTTTGAATCCATGGATTAAAAATTAATGTTTTCTCAATTTTTATTCCACTAAAACTTATGAATTTTTTTAATACTGCTAGATTTAAAATTATATACCACTGTAGAGAAAGTTGCTAATTTATTCAGTACTCACTCGAAACTCTGACATCATGGAATCAGCATCACTGGAATAATGAATGGCACGACAGCAATCATTCATATCTCTGAAAACTTTCAAGTAATTTTCAAGTACCATGTGAAATAATCTTCCAGGATGAGAAAGTGTTTGGTCGACTATTTCCTCTGGATCATGGGTAAGAAATTTAGCATCTTCTTGTGATACTGTAAATAAATAATGCTGCACTAAGTAGCTTGCTAGGGAATTCAACAATACAGTTTTACAACAGGACAGATCAATAATGTTTACAAAAGAAATAAAAAAAACTTACTTTTTGGATACAACAATCTTCCAACTCTTTGGAAAATAGGAAGCTGTACGTCTTTATAAAAAACTTCAAAGTCATGGAATGTTCTATTTACATTAAACCGTTTCTTGCTTATTTTACTAGATTTTTTGTTACTTCCTCTTGTAGATGTGGCAGGCTTGGTTTTGCTACTCCTTTGTTTGTGAGACACTTGTCCAGATGAGAGTATATTGTGGTGCTTTATAGTTTCACATTTATCTGCAAACACACAGCATTAGCCTGTAGAGTATAACAAGTAAATGCCTCACAAATCTTCAGAAAATATTTTGTAGTGTGCAAATTCATTTTCATGGAGCAATAACAATAGAAGGTTTTTACGACTCATATTTCAATGTTTCTTGTGTGTGGGGGCAACAGAGTTGGACAATAAACAACAGGAAAATTTAAATGCAGAAAATTTAACAGTGAGATACTTGGGCTAGGTTAGTAGATGTAAAAGTATGGAAGCTTTCTGTTATTAATTATTTAACAGCTTCTGTCAATTAGTCGGTTTTCACTGTAACCTTCTTAAAATTTTTCACTTACACAAGACACAGTATCCAAAATAATGAAAATGTCAACATTACTTACCGTGAACAAACTCATAATGAAGTTGTAATATAGCACTTCTGATGTCACCATGCACACTTTCAACAATTTTCTCCAGAACATCAGCAGAAGGAGCACTGGAATCTTTATTCAATGTACAGATCCTTTTCAAAGCTTTCATAACTGACTTGTTGGGCACTTTATTGAAACTGAAAAAATAAACTATTAAGAGATTTTTTATTGTTATTTTAAATGAAAAGAAAGAGTGGTACCTTATATATATTTCATGCGTCTTTGAAGGAGAATTTTATGGGGCATTATAAATGCATAATGGAGGGGTGGATTGAAAGTGTAACTACAATGAAAACATGTGACTAAAATAATAAACCTGGTAATATGGTGTAAAAGTTTAAAGCAAAATAAGATGGAAAACTTTAGCACATCACTAATTTTTTCTAAACATTTAGGCTTTTAGTATTTCAAAGTTAAAATAAGTGGTTGGATAATATCTACATTTTAATTAAAATTAGGATTGTTTTGATGGAACTTCAGGTTCTCATGGTGACAAGTATGAAAATGTCTGTCTTATGAAATGTAGTGCTGTACAGTCTGGTAGATATTTCATGACATATCAGAGGAGTTAACTGTCTCCTGCTGTGACATACAACTATATGCCTGACAACCCATGGTCTTCAACATAATGTACGCTCGAACAGCCACTGCCGTATCCCTGAAGTAAACTGGGTCCGCTGCTTGTGACTTTCTCAATCTTAAATATCTGAACTTTACAGTTCTAGTTATGAGGAACAAAAGGAAAACTGGTCACATACCTTATCTGCTGAACATTTAGTTCTTCCAGGAACTGCTTTGGGAACATCCCTCCACTTCCTTCTGCTTGGTCAGGTAATGAAAACACGATTGGTACTCTTCCCATGACACGGTATCTCCTATAGAAATGGAAACCATTCATACTGGAAGAAGTAACTATCATAACAAACAAACAAAAAAAAAGGTATACAGAAATGAATGAAATTTAATACATCTGAATCTCAATGCAAATGGAAAACCATTAAAATGAAAAATGTGACAAAACTTATGCAATCACTAGCCAGAGTTGAAATTGCCTTTGTGAGCAGTGCAAGCTAAATATGGTACAGCTTAATGCCCCATAAATCCAAAAATTCCATTCTCTCACACACACACACACCTAAAGAAAGAAAAAAAGAAAGAAAGACAAATTTTCATTTTATTAAATTTCTGTATTTGCAAATAGAAATCTGAGATCTGTTCATGTTCAATGCAACAATATTTAACTGTATTTACTTGCACACCTTAAACATCTTTGCTTACAACTACCATACTAACCTTAGGATATCCTGGAATAGGTTGGGATGTAGCGCAAATACATTAGGGAATTCCTTCACTATAATTAATTTCTTCATGTCCTTTCCAGTTTCCAAAACTGAACTATATCGGCTGCTATTCATTAGAAATGCTTCAAACTTGCTTGCTTGAGACTGCATGAAATTTCTGGAGCCAGCTGCAGTATACATTTACAATGGGACAAAATTATCTTCTTAACAAAATGTGGAGCTAAATTAGAAGAGCTATGTAGTATGGTATCAAAAATATGACCCTTAGACATCTATTAATCTGTCCATCCAATACACTCATCTATTCAGTCTATTTTCACCTTCAAGATTACTGTATGGCATTATTATAGTAAAATCTAACCAAAATAAAAAAAGGTTTAATTTATCTTCCCTCATTTTTGAAAACCATACCAACCAAGTATGTTAGATTTTGATTATATCTGTACACATTTCTCACACAACAAAATTGCTTCTAATTTTTAATTTAATTTTTTTAAAGAGACACATTAAATGAAACTAGAAACTGGTGACTGGAAGTTTAAATTAGTCAGTGATGAATGTACCATAATTACTTGTACTCAGTTACTTCTAACTTCACCTAATATTTTGGATTAAAATGTATACATCACATGATAATGCATTATAAATAGTAAAGGTCATGTCCAGGCCTCAAGAGCCCCACTGTTCTATCAAATTTGATGTTGATAGAGAAATTCTGACCTCACAATATCATCCCACTGTTCTATCAAATTTGATGTTGATGGAAAAATTCTGACCTCACAATATCATGATGTTCTTTTCACAACAGCAACCTGTAAGTCACATCTTGATGCCATATTTACATGAAGGCAGACAATAATGTGTATAATTCACAGGTATCTGTACATTTATCATGTTCTGTAGCTATTAATAAAAGTCCTGGAAATATGGAGACCACAAAGGCCAAAGTGGGAGAATGGAATTATGCAGCAGTGCCAATAATGGTGGATGAGTAAGATTCATAAGAAATAACATCAATAAGCTCAGTAAACAATTCATGTCTAACACATGTCTGAATAATATACTACTATAAATAAACTAATGTTAGGAGGAATGTATATGTAATCCATACACAATACATATCTCATACAAAAAAACTGAGTTCCAAATATATATGCCAATCTTAGCACTAGATTATACAAAATGGAAAACTTTACACCCAAGTCAATGGTACATCTTGATCAGAGGCTGGGTAGGTTCTAGAAATTTTTTCTGGACTTCATGGCAGGGAGAAATACACAAATTCTCCTGCAGGAGCTAGAATCACTGACCATTCACTTGGTAACCAATTACTTATACCCCTGGATCATAAATGGTTTAATCTCAAACCAACTACACTCAATGGTACATGACTGCCAATAGGTCTAAGATATGATCAATGGATTGCAAAGGACTAAGATGGTACAGAAAAAAGTACATGAATATAGAGCTTTTACATACCTAATTCTGAACTATCAATGTCCAGTGGTGTCTCCCATTCAATTGAATGAATTTTTTGTACAGAAGCAAGTACTTTCAAAGCTGTACTCTTGCCAACTCCAGGTGGTCCAGTAATTAGCAGGATGGAAGCCTAATAAAGAAAAACACTGAACTGTTTCAGATATGAATAGACACAATAAAAGCAGAGGTTGAAATGTGAACCATCATATGGAGAATTTCAGTAACATAGTAAAGCCCATATAACAGATCTGAAGGCTTAAATAACCACACATCTTGTAGGCCAAAATCCCCAACCTCAAAGAATACACATGTACATCCATGCTGGTTGTAAGAGTATAGAGGAAATGTTGGCATAGTATTGTTAACCTCTGTTGTCATAAAAATACAGGAGTTAACTAAACTTATTATTTGTTGTATCCTAAAAAGTTAAAATATACCCTTAATATAAATCTTCCATACCTAGTATAGGAAACAGTAAAACACAGAAATAAAGAATGCCACCTTACCTCTCCAACTACTTTACTTGCTTTCTGCAGCCATGAGTTTAATTGATCCAGTTTGGGTTTCTGAACAACAAGATCAGAAGGAGTCTTTGGAGCATACTCTTTCAACCAGTCCTTTGTCATATTTTTTCCTATTGTATGAATATAATTAATTCTTGGAACCTCATCTCTGTATGGCTCCATTTTTTTGGCATCAATGTCAATCTCTTCACTTGATCCACCGTTATCAAAGCAGGATGATATCCAGTCTGACTACAAAGATAGAATAAAATGCCTTATTAACTGGCCTGAAGAATACTTAGCAGTGATTCAATAGACTTCTCAGACATTTTGAACTATTAGCAGTGGAATAAGCATGACCGATTTGCTTTCTATATTAGCTATCTCATGATATGCTTTAAAATTTCTAATGTACAATCTTTGTAGTTTCCATCCCAATTATACACAGTACATACTTCATTAAGAGTATATCCTCAAAGGAGGGATATTTTATTGCTCTCACATCACTGGCCAGTAATTCCTCATTGCCTTTTATTTACATCGAATACAGAAATGCCAGTTTATATTTCCAAATAAACAGATAATTAATCAGCTTTTAATAACATAAATGAATAAACCACGTTTAATCAATTCTTCTTGGGCTACTAACCATGTCAGGTGGTTTTGAGAACCATCTTTAGGGTACTGAAGTTGAACTTCAGTACCCTGAGGACGAGGACAAAGATGGTTCTCAAAACATTGGCGTTTTATCCATTCAACCACCTTACACAGCTAGCAGCCCGAGAAAAATTCATTACACTGAATCAACTTGAAAGCTTCATATCATACATAAATAAACCATGTTGTTCAAAAATAGAAAAAAAGGGATATAATATTAAGAAATATTTAGAGATAAATTTTTAAAACAACTCTACTTCTCTGTATGAATTAAAAAAATGTTTACAAAATTTTACTTACCTTAAAAGCCATAGCATTCCAACAATCTTGACAAAGTTAATGTATTATAAATATGTTGGTATTAACGAACTCAATCTCTATCTATAAAAAACCTTGGTCCTGCCAGAATGAAAAACATTCATTAAAGTCTGCAACTACAATATATACAATTTCCAAGTGTCAGAATTTCAGTACATTAGGGAGGCTTACTGTTTTACAGGGAATGCTAACAGATGGTTATACAACATATATTAGTAACAAAAGCCAAAAGGCTCCCATTACAGCTTCAAATACTCATAATATGTATTCTAACTATGGCGAAGTAAACATATACTGCAACAATGAGCTACATAGTTTAATTTGCATATAATCCTTCTTACCAGCACTTGGAAGATGAAATAATGAATAATCCAAAATCATGTTATTTTAAATTTGCATATTGACTAATTCTCAGATTACTTAATGATAAATTTTCAACGGTGTAGGTTGTACAGAGTTTAATGGTGGGATGAATGTCAACAGCAAACTGGAAAGGATGTGGAAGGGGTCATGACCTGTTTTCATGTTATTCCAGCTTAGTCCAAATGGACTAAAAAAAAGTCAGGATCTCATGAACATGAACAGTCTCAGTATGCTCAATCACAAAGTATTCATGTCAATCTCATGTCCCACAATTTGTAATTCTCCATAACCTTAGCCTATCTTGCTGTCTTACTTACATTTCTTTTCATGTTGGTCTTTATTTTCTTACCTTCTATGCTGTCACATTCTAAACCCCACTTCCCAACAGAGTAAACAATTCCAAGTTATAGCGACTTTACTACCTGTGCTTTATTCTTCTTCCAGTATCTCTACATTTATGTTTCTCTGCTACAACTGTCCTTGATTCTTTTGATAGAAAGTCAAGAGCATCTAGGTTCTCATGGCATTGAGTGTGAAGATGGCTGTCTTCTTGGATGCTGCACCATGCAGTCTGATCGAAGTTTCAGAGATGCTTGCTGCCTCCATTGCCCTGATTATGGAGGCAGAAGACACCTCTGAAACGTCGGTAAACGTCTACCAGACAACACGGCGCAGCATCCCAGAAGACAGTTATTTATATGAGCAGCTGTTAAGAGGTTATGTTAAAAAAGTCAACAACTCGATCGTAAAGAACTGTTAGAATAATTCACACTTCTGAATTCAAAGTAATTTTTGTTCACCTTATATAAATAAATACAAAACTATATCTGCATCCTATACATCGAAATCAATTCAAATATGTAGTTCCGACCACTACATCCAAGTGAAAAATTCCACATTGTACCACACAGTGCATGTGATTAGCAATGGTATTTACCTGCAATGACACTCTAATAGATCTTACAATTAGGTTTCAAATTTACGGACTAGTATTCATAATACGTAGAAAATAGTAACTGAGAATTTCATACCATATTGAACAAATTTAAACTGTGGCCATGCGCGGGGACACAGCGATGTCACCACAGATAAAAAAACGACGTATGCACAAGACGTTAGTCTTCTGCCCTCATAATTGTGATCCATGGTATTTATAATATCAGTGAAAATGTATTCTCCTGCCACCTACTAGCGGCTTATAGTAAATTCCAACAAAGCACTTTAGTTGGCATTTTTTTTTGGGGGGGGGGGGGGGGGGTTGGGAATAGAGGCATTTATTTTGTAAATTAAACTTAGCAAAGACAGGATTCGGCTAAAATTTAAACATGCACAGTTGTCAACGTTTATTTTCCAGGTTATAATGCTATGTAGGCTTCTGCCATGAAAGAGGCAGCGCGTTTCTCCAAAACATTATCTCTCAAGTTCACATAGTGTTACAGCCCAGAAGACCAACATCTTTTTCTGCCATGAGAACCTGAAATATAACAGAATGATAAACGAAGGCAATTCGTTTAATGTAAAAGTGATGTCACAAAATGCAAGAATAAGGTCCTTCACTTTCAGCCTTGCCATTATGCTATTTGGTCAATGAAGAAGTGCCCCAGTTGAGGAACTGTGTTGGCATAGGAGTGGCAAGGTGAGGGAGTGTTGAAAGGAAGGCTTGCAAAGTGGGACATCTTTGCCTAGACTTTATTTCTGCTAAGAAAGTGTCTAAACAATGGGAAGAAAGTAACACTCATCTAGTCAGATAAATATGCATTCAACATATTTTCATCCATTTATAGGAAGTGTTTTGATGCTCTTCATATTTCATTAAAAATATTAGTATTCATAAATATGCTTTGATAACAATTTTGTGAAATCCTTTTATTGTCTGGGGTCAGGGTAATCATTTGGTAGCATACTAATTATTCATCATGGGATGAGGATGTAGTATTGGATTATAGTTTCTTTTTTTCAGCACAACCTATGATGCTGGAATGTAATACTATAGAAATTGTATTAAATTCTGGGTCAGAGGGTATTATGTTAATTTTTTGCCACAGCAGTGTCAGTGTTCTATAGGCTATTCTTAATTATCAGAGATAGCCTTTCAACTTCAGTTTTTGGCAGACACAATGGTGAACTTCTAGAAGTTTATTTCTATATGCAACAGAATAAGCCGCTGGTTCTTTATTAATTTCACATTGTTGTAGCAAAGAGTAGCAGATGAATCAGTAAACAGTAACTTGTTCAGAAGATAAAACTTCTTATTCTGTGGTATTGGTTTGTAAAATTGCTGAAATTGTTAGAGTTGTATGAATTCCTGTGCCTGAGTAAGTGCTTGGTACTATTCTGTTTGTCTGTAATGCTGGCAGAAATGTTGTACGTGATATTCCACTTTGATTAAGGCCATTTTTTGGTACCATTGTGTTTGATTATAGCACTTGTAAACCTGTTGTATTGTTGTTGGCCAGTTCAAAATGAGATGCTGTTATACAATTAGAACATTCTAATGGAGCTAACAAAGTTATAAGTGATGTAGTCATTTGTAGAATACAAATACCTTTATATACAGTGGTTGTTACTGTACTGTCTGTAATAGTGGTAAAGATGTTACATTAGCTGTATATCCTTGATGGCTAGAGTATGATTTTATACTAATTTTGTTGACAGAGGCATATAAGAAATTCTGGTAGTCGTTTGAATATCTGTTTCAGATGATGCGGTTAATACAGTGTCACTTTCTTCTGATGACAAATAATATATTTCAGATGAAATTGTTTGTACGGTAGAGTAATCTTCAGTAAATGTACACAGTGATTCATGGCATAGGTTGATTGGTTGGAACTGTCTTATTATCAGGGTCAGAGTAACCTTTTGGTACCACAGTAATTGTCTGTATTTGTGGTGAAGGTGTAGTATAGGCTGTTGCTCCTTCTTCATCTGAATAGTCTGTTGGTACTGCTGTAATTATCTGTGATGTTGGTAAAATCTGTGAAGTTGTATCATTGTGCAGCTCACAGTCAGGACCTAATTCACAGTCAGGACCTAATTCTGTGCTACTTCTCTGTAATGGTAAATGTGGCAATACAGTTACATATTGAACAAAGGAAGCTTCTGATTCTGTGATTTTGGTCGAAGAGACTGATGACATTGTTGGATTATTAATATACTGAGGGTCAGTGTAAGGTGTTTGTACTTTACTAATTTTCTCTGACAAAGATAAAAGTGTCATAACAGTTGTAGTTTCTTGTTCGTCAACATAAACATTTGGTGCTACATTACTTAATTTTGACATATGTGAACTTGTTGATATTGTATTCTTGTCCAGATCAGAGTGACCTGTGGTACTGGTTTCTAATACTGTAGAAACTGTATTATTTTCTGTGTGAGAGTTACTTGGAGTTGTGATACTTATCTGATACAGTGGTAAAGGTGTTGCATAATCTGATAAATCTTGTTTGGCATATAGATCCTCTGGTACTTGAGTACTTGGCAGTGACGATAATGTACATGTTGAAGTTTCATTTGCTTCTAGATCGGAATAAGCTGTCAGGTTTGTATCAGTTTCTTTATGTAGTGGTAGAAGCATAGGAGGTGAAGCAGTCATTTGTTGAGAAGTTATTGCTTTTGATTCTGTGACATTGTTTTCTGTAATTGTTAAGATTGTCTGAGTTGTATTATTTTCTGCATCATAGTCTGTTGTTGCTATTGTACTGCTTATTGGTAAAAGTGGTAAAGGTGTTGTAGCTGATATTCCATGTTGATTGGAATAAGCTTCAGGTGCCATTTCATTTGAATGTGACAGGGGTAAACTTGCTGAAATATTATTTTCCAGGTCAGAATGTGCTGTTGGTTTTGTATTAATATTATGTAATTGTTGTAAGATAGTTATGAGTGATGTCATTTGCTGCATAGAGTAAGCATTTGATGCCATTGTACTGGGTTCTGGAATTAATGACACTGTCATACTGTCTGGATCTGAGTAAGCTGTTGGAGTTGTATGAATGGTCTGTAATGGTTGCGAGTACTGTCTGGATCTGAGTAAGCTGTTGGTGTTGTATGAATGGCCTGTAATGGTTGCGAAGATATTGCATCAGCAGTAACTTTTTGTTGATCAGAATAAGATTTTGATACAAATGTTCTTGATTGTAACACAGATGAGATTTCTGTATTCCCTTCCATGTGTTGCTCAGAAGAAGTGGTTAGTACTGTCTTACTTTCCTCTACTGTTGATAAATATGTTGCAGGTGATACTGTATATATAACAGAGTAGTCGTTAGGAACTGTGACATAGGTTCCCAGTATGGAAGAAGTTGATGCAATTGTCTTTTTATCAGATTCATTATTATCATTTTGTACTGTAGTAATTGTCCATAATGGAGGTGAAGATGTACTATAGGCTGTTGTTTCTTGTTCATCAGAATATACTTTTGGTATAACTGTACTTGACTGTGATGTTTGTGAACTGTTTGAATTTGTATCATTGCTGAGTTCTAAGCGAGCTGTCACTTTTGTACCAGTTTTCTCAAATGGTAAAAAAGTCAAAGTTGTTGTATTTACTTGATAAACAGTGTAAACTTCTGATTCTGTATTACTACTTTCTGATAATGTTGAAATGGTTGGAATAGACTTGTTATCATGATCAGGAGAAACTGTGGCTATTTGCTCACCTGTCTCTGATAGTGGTAAAAATGCCATATAGTTTGTAATTTCCTGATCATTATAAACACTTGGTTCCACAGTACTTAGTTGCGACATTTGTGAACTTGTTGTTGATATATTATTGTCCAGATCAAAATGACCTGTTGTGGTGGTGTATGTAACTGTATTATTTTCTGTATAGGAATAACTTCCTGGCACTGTGCTCATTATCTGAAATAGTGGTGAAGATGTATAGGTTGAAATTTCTTGTTTATCAGAGAAATCCTTTGGGTCTTCACTACTTGTCAGTGATATAAGTGAACTTGCTGAAGTTGTGTTTGTTTCTGGATCAGAATAATTAGTTTGTTTTGTATTAATTTCCTGTTCTGGTGACAAAAGTGTAGAAGGTGATGCAGTAATTTGCTGAGAAGAGACAGCTTCTATTTCTGTGACATTGGTTTGTAAAATTGTTGAAATTGTTTGAATTGTATTATATTCCAGATCAGAGAAAGTGGTTAATGTTATACTGTTTGTTGGCAGTGATGGCAAGGATGTATCTGATGCTCCATTTTGATTAGAATAAGTCTTCGGTACTATTGTCTTTGATTGTGACAAATTTAAGCCAGTTTGATTAGTATTACTGTCCAGTTTAGAATAAGCTGCTATATTTTTATTTGTGGTAATACTTTGTAATGGTAGCAGCAAAGTTATAAGTGAAGGAGTCACTTGATGAATAGAGGCTGTTGGTTCTGACATTTTTGATAATGTTGTTACATTGTCTGGATCTGAATATTCTGTTTGTACTGCCATACTTAACTGTGATGTGAGTGAAATGTATGAAGTTGTATCACTTTTGAGCTCAGAATGATGTTCTAATTCTGTACTGCTTCTCTGTAATGGTAAGAGTCCTAAAGGTGATGCAGTAATTTGCTGAGCTAAAGAACCATCTGATTCTGTGATTATGGTTTCTGACACTGAGGAAACAGTTCTGTATTCAGGGTCAGTGTAAGATGTTGGTCCGTTATTAATTGTCTCTGACAGTTGTGAATATGTCATGACAGTTGTAGTTTTCTTGTGATCAGCATAAACAATTGGTAAACTTGTTGAAATTGCATTATTGTCCAGGCCAGAGTGACCAGTGGTACTGGTTTGTAACACTGTTGAAATTGTATTATTTTCTGGGTCAGAGTAATCCACTGGTGTTGTGCTAATGTTATGCAGCTGTGGTGAAGACGTTGTATAGGCTGATACTTCTTGTTTGACAGAGAATGTCTTTATAATTTCAGTATTTGGCAATGACATTGGTGAATTTGTTGAAGTGTTATATTTTTCTAAATAAGTGTTATCTACTGTTCCTGAATTAATTTTCTGTTGTGATGGAAAATGAGTAGGAGGTAATGCAGTTACCTGTTTCTTAACGAAAGGTTCAAATTCAGTGATACTGCTTTGATTGCTTTTTACAGTTGTTGTGATTGTTGGAGTAGTATTATTTTCTGAGTGAGAGTAATTGAGTAGAATTCTACTGCCTGTTGGTATTGGTGACAGAAATGTTGTAGCTGATATTCTGGGTTGATCACAGTAAACTTTAGGTGCCATTTCATTTGAATTTGATAGACATAAGTCTGTTGAAGTTGTATTATTACCATGTTCAGAATGAGTTATTGTTTTAGTATTACTATTCTGTAACTGTGGTGACATAGTTATGAATGATGTATTGACGTGATGATTAGAGAAAGCAATCGGTAAAATTGGTACTGTTCTTGTTGTAAATAATAGAGGCAGTGATGTTGTTTCTGGTTCATCAGAACATGCTTTTGATATGACTGTACTTGATTGAGACATTGATGAATTAATTGAAGTTGTATCATTGCTGAGTTCTAAGTGAGGTGCCACTTCTGTACTTCTACTCTGAAATGGTAAAAAGGTTGAAGATGATGTATTTACTTGATGAATAGAGAAAGTTTTCAGGTCTGTAATATTCATTTGTGAGAATGATGAAATGATTGAAGTAGGTTTATCATCAGGGTCAAAAGTAGCTTTAGGTGCTTCACTAACCATCTGTGATAATGGTGAAAATGCCATAAATGTTTTAGTTTCCTGGTCATCAGTATAAACATTTGGTACCACATTGCTCAGTCGTGATGTTTGTGAACTTGTTGATGATGTACTATTGTCCAGATCAGGGTGACCTCTGACAGTGGTCTGTAACATTCTTGAAATTGTATTATTTTCTTTATTGGAATAAGTTTCTGATATTGTGGTACTTATCTGAAATAGTGGTGAAGATGTATAGGTTAATACATCTTGTTTATTAGTAAAGTCCTTTTGTCCTTTAGAGCTTGACATTGATATCAGTGAACATGCTGAAGTCTTATATGTTTCTTGTTGAGAGCAGGTTTTTTGTTCTGTACTAATTTTGTGTTGTGATGGCAGAAGTGTAGGAAGTGATGTAATTTTATGTTTAGAAGTTAGAGATTCTGATTGTATGATATTACTTTCTAATGTTGTTGAGATCTTCAGACTTGTATTATTCACTGGATCAGAGTCTGTGATTTCCATTGTTTTGGTTGTTGGAAATGGTGGCAGAAATGTCATAGTTGATATTCCATGTTGATCAGAGTAACCTTCAGGTGCCACTTGCTTTGAATATGGCAGGGGTAAACGTGTTGAACTCGTATTATTGTCCGCTTCAGAATGGGTTTCTGGTTTTGTATTACTACTTTGAAATGGTGTTAAGAGAGTTGTAAGTGATGCAGTCACCTGTTCAGGAGAGTAAGCATCTGATAGTGTGGCATTTCTTATTGGCATTAATGACACTGTTGTTATATTGTCTGGATATGTGTAAAATATTCTTGTTGTACTAACTGTCTGTAATGGTGGTAAAGGTGATGTATTAGATGTCCCTCTTTGGTGGTTAGAGTGTGATTCTGATGATAATAGTCTTGACTGTGATGTATAAGAAGTGACATTGTTGACCTCAGAGTAAGGACCTACCTCTGTACTGCTTCTTTGTAATGGTAAAGGTGTTAAAGGCAATACAGTAACTTGTTGAACAAAGGAAGCTTCCTTTCCTGTGATACTGGTTTGTGACACTGGTGGTACAGTTTTATAACCAGGGTCAGTGTAAGATGTTGGTACTTTACTAGTTTTTTCTGACAGAGGTAAGAATGTCATAATAGGTGCAGTTTCCTGGCCATTGCTATAAATATTTGGTGCTACAGTACTTAATTGTGACTTTAGTGACTGTGTTGATACTGTAATATTTTCAAGATCAGAGTGACCAGTGGTACTGTTTTGTAACACTGCTGAAACTGTTTTATTTTCTGCATCAGATTTACCCATTCGTGTTGTGCTAATCTTATGTAGCAGTGATGAAGATGATGTGTGCACTAAAATATCTTGCTTCTCAGAGAGAGGTTTTGTAACATCAATATTTGTCAGCGACTTTGATGAAAGTCTGGATTTTTTACTTTGTTCTGAATCAGAGAAATGTGTTTTTCCTGAATTAATTTCCAGCTCTGATGGTAAAGTAGTAGGATGTGATGCAGTTCCTTGTTTTGTAGTGAAAACTTCAAATTCTGTGGTAATGGCGTGTATGATTGTTGAGGTTATTGGTGTAGTATTATTTTCTAATTCAGAGTAACCGGTTAGTGTTGTTCTGGTTGCTGGTAATTGTGGCTGAAATGTTGTAGCAGATATTCCATGTTGATCAGAATAAGGTGTCACTTCCTTTAAATGTGGTAGAGGTAAACTTGCAGAATTTACGCAGATATTCCATGTTGATCAGAATAAGCTATAGGTGTCACTTCCTTTAAATGTAGTAGAGGTAAACTTGCAGAATTTATATTATTTTCCAGTTCAGTATGAGCTGTTTGTTTTGTATTAGTATTTTGTAATTGTGGCAACTGAGTAAAAAGTGATGCAGTCACATGTTGAATAGGGCCAGCTTTTGAAAGTGTGTCATTTGTTTGTGGCAAGAATGACTCTGTTTTTATATCTTCTGGTTCAGTGTAAGGTTTTGGTGTTTTACTAGCTGTCTGTAATGGTGGTAAATGTGTTACATTATTTGTTACTCGTTGCTGTTCAGCTGTTTCTGATATTGTTGTATATTCTTCCTTTGCCTTGAGCACCAGTATTGAAGTACTTGATGTTTCAGGGAGTTCTTTTGATATCACTTTTGTTACTGTATTTGAGTGTTGTGTATTGTATGTTGATGTTCTAAATTCAGTTTCAGCGGAAGATTCGAGCTCATGTTCAGCCTCAGTCGCCATGTGTTCAGCTGCTGGTTTTAACATTGATTGCCAATATTTTGTTAATGATGGTGTTACATTTTTTTCTTCAGGCTGAAATTCTGAAATCTCTGTGTCAGCAGTTAATATATTTATTTCTTGTGTTTGTTGCCAATCCCAATGTATGTATTTATTTCCATGAGCTGCTGTTGTGCTGGCTGTTTTGGAAGGAGTTATTTGTTCTGCAATATCTGTTTCAGAATGTTCTTCTTGTGTCTGTTTCAGAATAAAATCTCTGTATAGTGATATGGGCTCCATAGTTGGTTGAGGTTTAGGATTCACGTTTATACATGTAAGTTCTGAAGAATTTACAGCCTCTGGTAGAGAGGTTTGTGCACATTCACTGGAAAGTAAATTTGTTTCTATACATGCCTGTGTCATAGAAACTGTTAATCCTGACTGACCTGCTTTACAGCAATTTAAAGGGGAGTGTGTTGTTGTGAGAGGTGCCTTGAATGATTGTTCAGTTCTATTTTCAAAAACATTTTCTTGTTCTTTGCTGTAAATTGTTTGCGTTTCTGAACATGAAATACAATTTGAAGCCACACTTGGTCTAATAAATTCTTGTTTATTTTCTTGTACTTTATCTGCTGTATTCTGTGTTGGTTGAAACTCTGTGTCTGCTGCTTTTAAAGATTTAGAAGATACTACATGTTTTTCTTCATATATCTTAATATCTGATAGGGTCTGTTCTGTAACATTTTGGGATTCTACATTTATGGTTAATGTTGAATGTGTCTGCATGACAAACTTTGGAGTATCTTTTTCTGTAAAGTTTTTCTTTCTTGATTTGTTTGCTGTAAATACAAGAGTATCTGTGTCAGTAGTACTTTGAAAATCCATTTGATAACTTTCAATAGTACTTGATTTAATTGTAATATATGCTTGTTTGGGATATTCAAATGAATCCACTACTGGGTACAACTGTGTTATATTATGATGTGATTGTTTGTTTATATTCATTATATCTGCTCCTTCTGTGTTATCATACTTCATGGGATGTGATACTGAAGTGTATTCTGGTAGTTCTGAAGTCCTTACAAAAGGTGTGTTATGGTAATTAGTTCTTTCATTCAGTTGAGGAGTTGTTGTTACAGCAGTATCTTTAAATTCACTGGTGACATATGGTGCTGAAGTTGAAATTTGTGGTATGATTTTTAGAACTGATTGTTGTAAATCATACTTTGTTTCTTCAACATCTTGGATACAGTGTGATCCTTCAGCACAGTCTTCAATGTTCGGATCATAGACATAGCCGCTTGGACATGAATAACATTCTCGAATAAAATCCCCACTCCTCCTTGAGCTACACATGCAGTACATGGTACAGTTGGATGGAACATACACTTTTCCAGCTGCTGTGCATTTTGGATACTCGTTGTTTGATATTGGTCTTAGCAAGGTTGTTGATGTATTCTTCAGTTTACATTCTTTCTTAATGTCACAATTTCCAAGAGTAGCATTATACACAGAGTTCTGTGGACACTTATATTCAGTTTGTACAAAACGTGTGCCATTCCTTCTGCACATATAATAGGAAGAACAAGTGTTGGGAGATGGGAATTGACCTTCCTTTACACAAACAGGAAGCTTTGGGTGATAGTTAGATTTGTTCAACTTAGAGTCCCGACTTGAAACTATGTATCGATGTCCACAGTGAAGTCTGCGTGTGTTAAAATTTGCAGGTCTTTGGCACTTTGCCACAATAACTTTATAAGACTTGCACACACGATAGTATCGAGCTTCTGTAGGATGTGGTATTAAGCCTGCTATGTTACATGCTGCATTGTTGTCCACAAACACGATGTAACCACCTCCAGGAATACCTGAACACCGACCTTCAGATATATCAAAATACTGTCTCTTTGTACAGGACTGTCGACGAGTAATTATATCTCCTGCCCTGTTGTAGATGTATCGTCTGTACTGTCTCCAATTCTGACTTCCACAAACTTTTCCCACTGAGTGGCAGCTGGTGGCAGTGGCCTTTAAAGAAAAAATACGATCATTTTGTAACCTAAACAAAAATTAATGTTTCCTTAGGTTTTGTATCATGTCCAAAAAATTGAAGAGGATTATGATGACAGAACAACATTCAGTGTCAGGGAGACCTAAGGTTTTTTTAATCTTGGGACCTTTCATGCTGTGCAGATGTGAATGTCTGTTTTCATGTGACCATAAAATTATATACCATGGTTAAGTATTATATAAAACATTTCTTATGTTCAATTTCCGTTACTACCACTCTCACATGCAATGAAAAATCTCTTCCACTTCATCAGAAATTACTTGTCAGACAGTTGTAGTCTGTAATGATATGGCTACTTAATAATAACCTTCTTTTAGTTGCAAGGTACATTGTTTTATAAAAACACCATTTATCTTGTCTGGTCTACAGTTTGACACAATGTTTAGACTTCCAAGCTGAAAACAGAGCCAAAATCCAAATGACAATCATTATATAATATCCATGGGAGAGATATCAAAAGCATATGAAGGATGAACTATAAACACACATTCTTCTAAGAATATTTACTTTCTAACATATAAAGGTATTTAATTTTATCTTATTCAGGGCCAACTCTCAGAACAGTCCTTTTAACATTTATAGAGGAAGGACCAAGCAATCAGCTTATAATCCATCAAATTAAAGTAAAAAGGTCCAAAGAACTCATTATTTGTCATTCATGTTTCTGTGTACAATGCTACATAACATTAACAGCTATAAGCCTACAATATCACCTTTGGTTCAAAAGAAAGGGGATTCCCCCCCCCCACATATTTAAATGACTTAGATTCTAATGAAGGACTCTGCTCTGTGTAGTTACCCAGCGAGTTCAGTTTCCACTTCTTCCTCTGGTTTGTACTTATGATAGGGTTTTGGCAAATAATCTGGATATTTTAATATGTATAACAAAGTGAGGTGTTTGTGCAATTATTAGGGTAGTTTATAAGTTATAATTTCACTAAACATACTTTTAAAAAAAACTAAAAAGAACTGGGAAATCCACTTTATACAACGAGGAACTTCCTGATTTGTACTGGCCCCTGCGTACTGTCAAAGAAAGGAAATGTAGGAAGTTAATACGAAGTTTGGTTGTAGAGAGGCACATATTATGTATAGCATTTTAATAGGTAGGCTGCTGGAAGGGTATGGGAGGCCAAAAAATAACGAGACGGTAAATGGTACTAAAGATGAACATGGGAAGTGAATAAAATGAGAGTCTTAAGATGAAAACTGGGTGAAAGTGGTTTATGAATGCGTCTATTAGTAGGATTTGATGTAGCGGTGTTGAAATTTCGGTTGTTACTACCAGCCGTTAGCTCTGCAGACAGTATCGGGGAAAATGAAACCCTTATCGAATGTCAGACTGTGTAATGCAGAGACAGCGGAATAATTGGCCTTGACAGTCCAAACCTATGACGAACCTACATCGTAGCAGGTAAGTCGTGTATACAAATATAACGTCAAAATGTATGACGGAGCGCAGAACCAACATGATGGAACGAATATTGGGAACGTGCAGTGTGAGGCAATGGGGGACAGTATTGTCAGCTGAAACGTGTTCTGGAGAGTGATCCATGTCACGTCCCCGATAATCGTCAAAAGTACTTTATCACATTTGCGAAAGATTTGTTAGCTACGTTTATATAATTAATGGTATTGTCTACAGTCTGGTGACGCTACACGAACTGTCTGCATTTCCTTCTACACCAACTCGTTATCATTATCTAGAATTTTCTTCATAATTATGCAGTTATTCACCCAAACATCATTAGCACAGATCAGAAATTGATGTGTCTCATTCAGCTCCACGCCCTCATTGTTATCTTGGACATTCCGAACGGCATATACTAAAGCGAAGTTCAAAGCAATTGAGACAAAGCATCTCCCTCTCACAGACCTTCTGAGACAGATATTAACTCATATGGACCTTACTACAGGTTTCGTTTAAGCAGTTAGCCTAGGTGGTTTCTGGGGGATGTCCAATTCAATAATCATGCTTCATAACACTTCTCTCATAACTGAATCACGCGCATTCTCGAAGTTGATACATACCTCGGAAGTTCACTTTTGACTTTATGTCGTACGACACTCTCAAATGGTAGTCGGCCTCGAAGGGCCCCATTTTGATATGCATGTGCGCAAACATAGCCACTTTATATTATATACCGGCCTAGAGATACATAAGATATATATCTAACAAGTAGAAGTGTGTAAGATATTTCAGATTTTATGTTCTAGCGTTTCTGCGAGATCATGCAAATTTTCTTCAAATTTAAGGAAACCATATTTGTTTACTCACCATTAAAATGGAGATATCCATGTTGAAAATACACACGAGGAGGATATGCGATACTCCCACAGAAGTATACATGTTAAATGGTCGGTTACTTGATCGATTATGGCATCAAATCGGATGCGAACGAATGTAGTTGGTGGCATTTTGCAGGGGACCTCAGCTTATCTCGGACAGCCAGTTCCTTCCTCGGAAAATGTCACGTTGACATTTCTACGTATGATCAATCAAGAAGTGTTGTTTACGTATTATACACCACGGATTACCAACACTGATTGTCGATGGAACGCATGCGTCACATTCAGTAGGCAATACCGTTGAAAATATACCTTACACGGTAGGCTAAGAAACAGACCACAGCTAGTTTTTGTAAACTTCCCCATTCATTAATGTGGTAAATTTACTGAATTTGTCGAGAGGTGCGCCATTACTGGAGGTCCTTTCTCTGAGGGTAAAGAGACTGTGACATGAAGCTAATCACACACACTTCCATCTGGTGCCAAGGTCAAGAGAGAGTGGAGCTATACCTCCACTAACCCATCTTAATAATTACAGGGATTTTACCTTACTGGTGATCTGGTTTTTTATGCAATGCAGACTGGAAGGAAGATGCCAAATTCTCAGAAAAACATATGGTCTCTTCTTCCAAATGCCAAAACCTAGTCATCTCACTGCCATGAATACCTAATTCTAACAGTTCTACCCTACTCCTTCCTCCTTGAGGTATGAGTAGGGTCATCTTGACATAGGATTCTACTACATACTGGAATTGTGCATAATCAGTTTCCTGTGGTCTTTCATGTTGGCCTTGCAACAGAAAATATCAGTTGTGTTAGATAATAGGAGCTGTCTTACATCACAGGCCCCCTACCCTACATACTTTTATATACAAATTATTTGAATGTGCCACTTTTCAAAAATGAAGTAAAGTGTGTTGACTCCCCTTCTGCCATTTATATACAGTATCTAAATTTACAACCAAATGGTAGCAGGTTGCAGATGACAAATATGGTTGAAATAAAGAAATGTTAAAAGTACAAAATAATTGGCAATTATAGTGTTACTGTATTTCAAACAATTTACTTTGAGTTATGGCGTGAACATTTTTAGTTCTATGGTACGAAGTCTGCCACATATCATGATTCTATTTACTACCTCTAACACCAGGCCCATCATCTCTGAAGAATCAGTGAACTTCAAACTTACCACAAAATGCAACACCCCAGAAGAAAGTAATCTGAATGCTTACCACCACGAAAACCTGAAACTTATCGATGTGATGTTCCTCCATATCACACCATATTTTCTGAGATGTTGCATGATGTAAGGATGTTTTAAAGAAAAACTGAAGTTGGATGATGAGTACTGTTAACTCTCTATTGCACCATTTAAGTCCTGACACTGTGTGTCAATTTAAAGTTCTTGATACACAATATTTTAGTACGTAAAATTCATTGTTACGAATGGAACAGATCCATTGCGTGGAAGAGCCCACAGTGTGTGATGGATAAAATAATAGTACAGCATCCTACAACATCAGTCTTTTGTAGCTGTCAATCAGCATACTGATGTAGATTTTTGTAGAGATGGTAGTTGTGGTCTTATACTTTTCAATTTTAAATGTAAGAACACTGTACTTAAATGCATGGGGATGAAATATTTTACAAATATTTAAAAGCAATATATGTGTGATTACTGGCTAATGCACGGTGTACCGACAGATCTACTTCCATTAACAGTGAATAGATTAATAACAACAAAAGAGAAATGTCCCAATGAACATTAAAAATCATATTGAGACAAATTTCTTGCATTAAATATTATGTTTAAGGACGTTAAAATTAATTGGTCTGCCAATTTTGTAATATAGTATACATAAATGGCATGTCCAACGACCAAAGTATTTAGAACATATTAACTTACACAGTTCCATTGCATCTTAAGCATGACTTCTATAAAAAGGTTAACATATATCAGATGGGAATAGGGGATTTAAACACCCATACCTCAGGCTGACTGCACTTTTAACTCCAGGGTTTAATGGCTTAGCAATATACTAATGCAACACATAGCTCGCTAGAAAGTCTGCAAGCCATGATGCACACTCTATATATGTTGAATGAATTAATGGTGTAAATGCCACAAATTATTCCCAGTGTCTGAAATAATAGAAAGGAAAAATGTAGGTTTTGATGTCAAATATTAAAAAAATAGATGCAGCACCTTCTTCCTAAAGATATATTATGTTTACTTCATAACCTCCCCTTCTTCAATCTGTATTCTTTAGCCTTCTATTGAAAGGGAAGACAAAATCATTTATTTCACTGCTTAAAAATATTGGCTCCAGAACCAATTAACAAAAATAAGTTGACTTCAATTTATCATTCATTAGTGTTTCTGTATGCATATGAGCCGATGAAGAAGAGTCCGAAACCATAATTATAAGAAGTGTTTACCTTTGTAATGTCAATGGACAGAACAAGCTGCTGTGAATTACTGATGAGGAAATTGCAACAGGAAAACTCAAAATCATGTATTTCCCTCAAAACTGTAAAAAAGGAGAAGTGTAACTGGGAAAATTATATAAATAAACATAAGAGAAGAATTCTTACAAGTGGAAATTCATCACATTAGTGTGATCTAGCGTGTTTGTTGACTTTATCATAAACTTCAGGAAAAGCCTTCTTGCAGTCCAGTCGGTCTCGCATTTTGTCATACAAGGCATGGTTAAACATCTGGTGGAACTCCTCCTTGGTTCTGTATGAGTCTGCATAAAGCATCTGAAAGCTGAAATTGAAAACTTTAATTATTTATATTACTGGATTTATCTACAATTCAAAGTTACCAACCCACCTTTATCAAATATATGTTACAGATATCTGAAAAAATATTATCTATAATTTAACTACAATGATATAAGGCATTCAAACATTCTTCACCTCAAATTATCTGAAATTCATCTTTATAGACACCACTCCATGTATGATTAGAGCCATGAAGTTGATCCAGAATCAGACAGCCACGTTCGAAAGAGTTTTTAGAGCATTTGATAGTTATTCACTTGGTAATAAAAATCTGCTTTTGTTTGCAGTTTGAAGAATGCTTACATGTCTTATCAATCTTTGCGGGAAACTGAAAGCATATAAACTCAAATGGGTAGTCAGATGGTGCTATATTTATGGCATTACAGTAACAAATACAGTTTCTCCTTTTAATTTTTGTAAATAGAATTATCAGCTAGAAATGCAAAGCGTTACTTACCCTTTAACTTTGGCAACAAAATTTTCAATAAGTCTTGTTGTATTAACTGCATCATACAATTCACCCTTCAGTACTTTTGGTACTCCGTACACTCCTATATCAACATACAGTTCTTCGTCATCATCGGCTGGATGGACCATTCCCGGATCATTTGGCAAGTTGAAAGGACATAACCACACAGGATACACCTTAACATAAATAAATGAGGGATTTGGGACATTTACAAAGCAAATGTGGTAAAATAAGTTATCTACCCAAAACACAGGTGGGCCATTCCACCTCAATTCCAAAAAATTAAAAAAATCAATGGCACTCAGTATCACCAAATTCTGTATAACTTTGTATGCATATAGTGCAATCCTTTTGGAGTCAGCAAATGCATTCTGTGAATATCTTTGAAGGTAAACATTTCCTGATAACAGTATTGCAGAGGAACAGCCATTATGTAAAGTTTCCCCAGGGCCAAGACTCTTAACTTTACAACTGTTACTTGCATAAACATGCTTTTAACCTTAAATTGTACATCTACAAGGGTACTTTTAGGGAATATTTGGCTCACTGTCATTAAAAACCAATTTATGGCGTATTTTAGGTCAAATCATACCGCAGAATTTCAGTGTTTTGTAAGCTGGCCAAAAATTGAAATATATGACATCATGTATCTCAGGACTGACAACAGTTGCAAATATTAAACTGCACACATTACCATCTAATGAAGGATCCTCGATAGTATGAATAATGAAGTTTCAGCTTCAGGATTCCTAAAGTAACTGAAATGACACTATTTCATTATTTTGTGGAAAATGTTCATTTTCATACCTTTTTTATTCAGGTCTGACAGCTCACACGACGATGAAATGACATATCGTAATAATATACATATCACATATACTGCATTCTTACTCTGATAAGACATTAATGAAAAGTTGTTAGAGCTGTCAGACCTGAGTAAATGAGGTGTAAAAATGGACAATTTTTTTTAAATATAATGAAACTGTTCCTTACTTCACCTCAATTATCTGAGAAGGTGCAAGTTCAAGTATTAATACCCTCCACAGTCCTCCCTGAAGTGGTAATGTGAACATCGTTTCATTCTTGTGTTATTAAATTCTGTGACTGTGATGCCACATCCATTTGTTGAATTGTCATGAAATGACCCAAATATGTTCATATAATTTATTAAGCATATTTTTCCTATTAATGCATTCAAGCAGCAAAAAATCAGAATACTCCTGTTTTAAGTCAGAGCGAGAGATAATTTACTTTCTGGAAATCAAATAACAGTGTATGTAAACATATGTGGCTACAAATGTGCAAGTTCCTTTCACTATCAACATAAATGACTAATAACAGCCTTTTACTTGAGGTCACTTCCCCTGTTAGGGATTCTTTCAAAATGCAACAGGCAGGTTCATTTATCAACCTATTTCCTGACGATTAATTTTAAGATTATCAATTCATTCTCCATTATCAAGTTTCTGGCAACATTTTGTATGAATTTCTGATTGCCTCATTCAACTCTATATTTCTGGGCATTTACCTCTTCCATCAAACATGAGACTATTTTTCACAACCACATAAGGCACTGGTAAAATTATTGATTTACATGTCTTCTTCTTTAGTGTTTTGGAAAGTGGAGTAAAATAAGCATTTCCTAAATCTATTCTTCTCTTCTCACGAGACTTGCTTATGTATGTGATATTTGCTCCCAAATATTTGTATTTTGACAGATTTGCAAATGAACTATTGACTTTGTTGCTGGTTCACATGATCAGATATTTGTATTCATTCCTTTCCATAGCTGCCAGACATACAAGAATGCATCACTCTGTACTGCTTACCTGCACTTCATCATGAAAGGTGAGAATGGACTGTTTCATAGATTTCACTGGTACCAGTAAATCTTGAATAATATGATATTTTTCATACAGGTTTGTGATGGCTTTTGTTTCAGTCACTTTCAACAGTGAAACCTTCGGTGGCATCATCCAGCCTAAAAGGTAGCGGAAAATAACATTGTTGCCAAATGGAATTATGTTCTGAAAAAACAGATAAGAAGGATAAAAAGAGGGCAGGATGAAACAGCTGCAAAATGTTGTTAACTATACCGATATTGTAATGAACCAGTTTCAGACAGAAAATTATTTTAAAAGGAACTAATACTAACATCTAATAATTTTGATGTCAGATATGTCATAAATAATTTTATAAGGGATTAAGAAATTAAAAGAAAATTGATTGGGGGGCAGTTGTGGCTTATGTTATAATAGGGAAAGTATGGTAAAAATCACTATCTGAATTTACAAAAACTCATTTCCCATCTCTCTAATATTCTTTTCAAGAAGAATAAGAGATAAATTGCACAACATCAAACAAATCTGTTTCTCTGTACAGGTATTTCAAAGGTCTAGTCTTTGTCTGGCTTATAAATAACTCACAGAAATGTGATTTTTATTAATATCAAAGGTACGCACCATCAAAACAATATCTTCATGTTTAATAAAGTCTTCTCGGGCTATCAGCCACGTGAGTTGGTGATAAGTCACCGCCATTTCGAGGACCAGCTCTGTCCTCATTTTCAAGGCTGTTGACTGTATGGCTCGTAGCACGACTGATCAACAACTAACACGACCGTTTAGCCCGAGAAGACTTTATTAATGAAAGCCGCCATGAAAGCTTCACATCATATATCTTCATGTTTGTTCAATAGTTATTTGACTTTGATATTCATTTTAAAAACTAATAATTATGTTATATACCTCATACTGACAAAATTGGTTCCAGATGTCATTACTACCCTGAACCCTGTAGATTTCTTGGTGCAGAAGTCACTGATTTTTCCATGTGTATGCAAGTTAAAAATAGTGGGTACAAAAAACCAAGACAAGTTTGCATATAAACACAAAAAAGTAGATACTTAAAATCTGGAACTGGCAAGGAATTACTGTAATCTCAGCCCTATGGTTATGTGAGTATTTTAGAGAAACTACTGGAGTATGACATGAAATCACATTACAAACAGTAAATTATATTAATAACATACCTCAACTTCCCAAAAGAGTGATCTTGTATGTCTGTGGTAGTACTGTCTCAAAGGTATATATTCATATCCAGGACCTTCCTCCAAAAACGTCCTAACATGGGTGAAGAACCATGGTTTGTACCATTTCCCAATTTCGTTAAGCTGGAAAAGATCACCACTTACTGTGAACTCCCAGTTATCTTTGTGTGATTATGTGCAGATCAATTTTGCAGATATTTTTGTTGAAAAAAACATTTATTTTTTCCTTAACAGATTCTGAAGAATGGTTAATAAGGAAATGAAAGAGGTTCAACAAGATATCAGATGTAGTTTATTTCAATTGTTTATGAGCAATGAGCTATAAAGAATTCTTCTTAGTTGCTCATAACTATCCTCTGTATCTGCACCCTGAAGATTTCATGTAATGTAGGATTTGAGGCTTTCACAGACCAGAAGACAGCCATCTTCTTGTCTAGCCATGCCATGGTGACACGGAACTTAATGATGTACTGTTCCCTAGCATATAATATACATCTACAGTCCTTCCAAAACTCTTTACAAGGAGTGATTCATGATGTATTTGTATTTGGTCTCAATTTCTTTTTCTATGGCTCTCTGGTCCGTATTCGGTCCATGGCCTCCTCAATTCTCCTCTTCCATTCGGTCCTCTGTTAGGTCCGTCTGTCCGAGGCTTTGTTTGAGGTTTCGAAACATCTTCCTTTTTACGGTGCAAGGTTGTTAGCCTTGGGACCAACCCCAAACCTGGAGGACCAGGGTATCTGTCTTAGTCTGACCTCTCCCCCTCAACCAATCTGGCTAGGGAGGCCCTCCAGTAGCTACGTTACTGTCACACAACACAGTTCATACTGTATTACATGGTACAACACAACAGCTCATATTCACAAACTGCACATACCTATATTTCAGGGAAATTCTGGAGTTCAGCCCCATGCTATATCTAGCACAGTTGAACAGAATAAAACTAGAAATCCCTTTGCTGTAATAAACACAGACAAAGATGTATTGCATAAGGGATATTTTAATTATTTGATAGCAATAGAATAAAGTTAATTCAAAGGTTTAAAACCAAAGACCTTTAACTATTACCTTTCCAGGTTCACACGTAGAAGACATATCGCCAGTCATAATGACAGCCTGATCAGCACTGAACATTAAACCCTCTACAAAATGGTTTTTATCTTTCTTCAAGCTCTCTTCTTCAAATACTTTTACAGCATCATCCAAGGAATAGACAGGATGGTAGTTCAATTTCACATACCTGTGCCAGAAGAAAAAATTAATAAATATGAATATGGGACTTTCAGTCACATTCCATGTGTAGAATTTTCTGAACCCCTATTTGAATGTATAAAATTATAACAAGCGAAATAAAAATCTTCCAGACAGAAACAATTTCCAAGTTAGATTTAATGTCCTCATGGCAGCAAGTATGAAGATGGCTTTCGTCTGGGTTCTTGTGCCATGCAGTGTGATACAAGTTTACTGATGTTTCAGAGGTGCTTTCTACCTCCATCATAAGGGCACTGGTAAACTTCTACCAGCCTACACAGTGCATAAACCCAGAAGACAGCCATCTTCATACTTCCAAGCCAAGTGCAGTGGAAAATGGAGTCAACTGGAAAGCTCAGCTCAAAACAAGAATTTTTCTACAAAGGGGTGGTTGAATTAGGTGCTTTATAATTAGCATATTCAAGAAGAGAAAGTGGATAAGAACAGAAATTTTCCATCTAGCAAAAACAGTATACAAAAAGTAATGTAGTGGTGAAAAGGAGCTCTGAGAAAGTAAATGGGCAGAGAGGGAGTGATATCATGCTATTTGAAACCAAATTCATGAAGAAGTAGTGCACCTCCTTTGCATACAGAGCTATGAAGAATGTATATATGTAACTTCAAAATACTCTAACCAGATGGGACAGAAATTCAGACCAACATAGATCCTTCGAAAACAGGAATTCAACTTCGAATTCCACAATAAGCATTTAAAATTATCCCTTGAAGTTAACAGGACAGAGAAAAGTAGAGGATATTTATGAACTTGATAATGAACCTTGGGTTCTATAAAAGGCAGGGAATTTCCTTCTGACAAAGAACTCTGCTCAGTGGAATTTGTTAGGCATCAGACACCATTTACTAACCTACTGGTTTTTCTTGTTACATCATTGGCCTTATAGAGGACTTGCATAATTTTTTGGTGTAGTGATTTATTTGTTTTGTGTTTGTATACTGGAAATATTATCATCATCATCCTTTCCCGTATTAGGCCGTTAGGCCTGTTATGGTCTTGTATTTTCTGTCCATCTCTTCTGAGGTCGGCCGAGGGATCTTTTCCCAGCACTAAATAACCTCTCTGTACCACTAACCATACTTACTTTTGTGCAGGGATGATTCTAATTACTGCAGCTGTGAGAAAGCCTAATGTACCATATGACCACGGTACAGCATAGAATAAATCTGGGTCTGATTCCTATATAAAAAACAAACAAATTTCAGTGTGTTATGGACAAATTATAACCACGAGGTTTAAATGGGTGACTTTACGCTCCTTGACTATGTTATGATCAGTCATTTCCAGAGGTGAAAACAATGATAACCCTTATCATAAGGCAATAATGGAATCTAAATCCCTCTATTACTGGGCTGCCAAGTGGACTTTAAGTCTGGGTTTGAAGGTTTAACAGTATGCTAGTGCAATGCATGGCAAGCTGGACTGTGTGTAAGCTCATGGAGAATAAAGGTTAAAATGGCTAGGATGTATGAGGCCAAATACAGATGAGACAGATAAATGAACATATGCCATGATCCCTTTTTCCTGAAGAAAACTAGCCTAACAGTTACGTCTGCTGACTACAAGCAGAGTATTAGTAAACAAAATCCTGACTCTCACCTTTGAACAGGTCACCAAACTGCCGTCAGCCAAAACCAGTTCATACGAGACACATATATGTTGAAATAAACCATACTTGTGAGAAGTAGATTCCACACCTGTACCCATTATTAGTCCACCTAAAAACCAATGTAATTGGACAGTATTATCTCTGTTAAACTTGGTAACTGAAATTGATATCTAGAGATCAAGTGTGGAATATATTCAATCTAGGTCACATTAGCCATTCATTAAAATCATAAAAACATGAAGATGGCTGACTTCTGGATTGTAGTGCCATGTAGTATGGTAGAAGTTTACCGTTGTTTTAGAGAGTCTTGCTGCCTCCATTATCAGGGTGACGCAAGGCAGCAAGGACATCTAAAACACTGATAGACTTCTACCAGACTACATGGCACTACAATCCAGAAGTCAGCCATCTTCAAACTCGCTGCTGCAAGAACTTCAAATCCTATATAAAAATTTGCACAAACTGTTGGGTAAAGTCAATTGTGGACTTTCATAAATCAAACATAAAAACCAATAAAACCGCAAGAGAATAAAAACTTTCATTTCTAATACATATTTATGATAATATAAAACTTGTTATTTTGATATGTAATACAATTATTTACAAAAATAAATAATTATATTCATGGTACTGTAGATATGGACTTAATTTCAGTTGCAGCTTACAACATTCCAATCTAAGTTTGTAACGTGTAACAGCAGCTAAATTTATTTATACTCAGATTGTAATAATATGATTTACCAACAGTAAGGTCATCAAGCTCTGGAACTATAGGGATAGTCCAACCCAATGGATCAAGAGTAGCTGTCAACTGACCCATTGTAACCAGAGGCTCTACATGAACAGTCTGAAACAATAAATAAGTTACAGGCATTTTAAGTGTATAATCCAGTGCTGGGTAAGATATTAAGAAACATGAGAAAAGCAAGGTAAAAAATTTACAAACTTATGGTATTTCTCAAGGGTACAAATATTAAATGCATAATTTTCCACTGGAAGAAACACCAATAAAATCAGTAATTAAAATAATTTAAAAAAGGCAAGTGTTCCTTTCTATGGCTTAAGTTCTGATTTTTCAGTTTCTAGGTATGTTTACAACAGCATGGAATGTCTATTAAAATTACTCCATCCATCCAATTGCATACACGTAAACACTTGAGAATAGCTTAACAGGCTTCCATGAAATTTGATACTGAGGAGTTTTACTAAAATTTCTCAACACATTTCAATTTTGGTTGTTATCAGACAATAATAATGAACAATCTAAATTAAGACCAACATATATTTATGTGCACAGAAATGATTGCATGGAGTATCCCCAGCCTGGGAATTCCAGAGTGGGGAACTCACATCCAGCCATACAACCCCAGAGGGGGGGAATCCTCTGTGATGACTCCCAACACCCAACCAGACAGGTGCAACCCATGCACAGGCCACACTCAGGCATCATTGGTGTCATTCACAGAGGTCAAATTCTAGCAAATGCATCAGAATTGCTGCATTTCTTTACCTGTCATGAGACACTGTCAAAATGGAGGAGCATGGCAAGTCATGTTACATGATACCAATGAATGACAGAAAGTTGCCAGTTATTTTACCTTGTATTAATTCATAAAACCATCCATCTGTCCATCTATATATTTGTAAGGAGACTGCCAAGAGATGGCAGAGTAAGCCAAGTTGCGAGATGGATCGGAAAAGGTACAGTAAGTCATGGGGTACATTGCTGCCTATTCATACAATGTGCCTAAGATTCAGACACAATATTAGGATACAAGGTGTAAAATATTTAAATCACCATACACAATGAATTATGCAAAGTGACTTAAACCAACTTAATATAAGTCACATTCCATGCAGTCATTAGCAAGTAATTTAAAAACACACCAACTATTTCATAATAATGCATCCCAATATTATTAAGTCACCTAATAGTTACATGTCAGAGTATAATGAATACCTGTTTCTCAGCATCAATTTCCAAAATATCAATCAAATTAATGTCAACATTGAAAAGCTTGTTCTTGTATTTTGGTTTGCTTAGTGACATTGTCTTCCATCCTGGTCTGGAAGTGCACATTGGAACAGTCATTCCTGATGCTCTCCAGTTCTGTACCTGAAATATGATTGAATTTTCTTCAACATGCTAAACTTCTCAAAAATATTTCACACTATATAATTATTAATTGTATTGGGAACAAGTGTTATATTTGTGCTATAACACGTTCTACATCCTTGGATTAGGCCTATGAAGATCAATGGAATGTAAATAAATTAAATCCTATTTATTCATATGCATTAAGGTATGATTTTATAATGCTTCCTTATGGCCATGCCACACTTCCTTCGCATAAAAACCATTTTCACACAATGGACACCTTGGTTAAATCCCTGTGCAAATATGTGGACAAAATGGCACTGGGGCATGTTTGAGTTTCTCAGCCATTTTCACCTGTTACAAAGTGAGACAGGACAAGCTGTCTGACACTTTATAACCTTCCATACTCAGCTGATGCATAACCTCTAATCTGTCACTTTACTAAACAAAACTGTTGGCTACTGTTCAGATCACAAAGTATGAATACCATATTGTACAGTTTACACAGTATGTGCAACTATAAATAGCTCAGGCTATGAAGAGACAAATGATGGGATGATTAATGAATAAGCAGTCATGGCCTAATTTCAGACATATCCCAATATTTGCCTAGAGATTGAGGAAAACCACAAAATCTCAGACAGGATAGCCATTTCTGAGCTGAGAACTGAATCAGAGAGCAGAAGTGCTAACCACTCAATTACAACGAACAGTATATTTAATGTATGCTTACCAGATTAAACATAAATATAATGCAGATGAAATTACAATAAATTAGACAAACTTGACGCCAAATTTGGAAGTGTTGGATGAATATACAAACATATCGCAATAAAAAATGTTTTTAAGTTTCCTACCGTCCTGTCACTTTTCATTCACCATCACTCTAAGGATAGTCAGTAATTTAAGACCATCAATATACTGTAGAAAGGTACAGTAACACTGAACAAATGTTAGTTTCAGTTTAAAGACTTGTTATGTAGGCAAAGTGACCTCGAAGGGAAAGAAATATGATCAAGCATGGCTTAAATATATATGCTGGTGTCAGAATTTCAGCAATAAAATCACTGTTAAAGACAATGGTCTTCCTATCACATCAATTCATATATGTTCAGGTTTCAACTTCATTATTAGTACATTTTCATCAAATTTTCAAAATAAAAAAGCAACAATTTTCTGGACATCATTAGCCTGATAACACTGAACTCCAAAAACAAAACAACCTACCAGTAGTGGATGACTAGCATTTTGTGTATCACCCTTTACCATTTTTGTCAGGGGTGGGCAATTCAAACAAGAGAATGAACTAATGTTTTCAAATGAAGTTGATTGTGTTCTGAGTTGTTGCACCGTGTAGTCTGGTAGAAGTTTACCGACGTTTGAAGAGGTTTTTGCTGCCTCCACCATCATGGAGCTTGCAGCAAGCAACTCTGAAACGTCAGCAGGGCTATTTTTAGGTCGTAGAGAGTAGAGTAGCGGAAGCACCAGACACCGCGCGTAGGGGAGACCCGCTCATCGACATTTCGATGTGCCAAACAAATACTTCATGCACAGCAAAATCTTAAACTCCCAAGAAGTAAAAATGTAACATGAAGCATGTTCATTTTATACATTTTTCGTAGGGGCGTTTCTAAACGTCGGCAAACTTCTACCAGATTACAAAGCGCAGCAACCCAGAAGACAAACCATCTTCATACTCGCCGCCGTGAGAAACTCAAATTTCACACCTTTAATGGATCCAAGAAAAACCTATGTTCACAAAAGCTGCAAACGAACAACGCGCAAAGATATTCTCTTTCATTTTACGTTACGTGAGACGCGTAAAATATGCTGCAGTATCACGGTCCGATTATGTGCACTCTTGACCACAGAACAGAAATTTTCCTCACCTGTTTCTGAACATTTTTTACTTTTTTGTCATGCAGTTTCGGAGCGCTATTTAATTTAACTATAATCCAGTTCCTCCCATAATTATAAATTTCATACAGTAAAGAAACTGGAAGCAAGAAGAAACACACAAAAACCCAACGATAATTTATAAGAATATATTCAATCGCTCTGTCAACAGCAGAAAGCTCCATATTAACAGCGTAGAAGTAATCCTTAATCGCTGGAACGTGCGGCACTACTGATAGACTGAGAACAGCGCCACATCAACCTATCTCAGTATTATACATTCCTCTGACCTTGCCTTCTCTTAATGGCCAGTCACATGTTATTATTATCTGCGCATGCAGCGTTTAGGTATTGAAGACGCCACAACAAGTCCGCAGGGGGATGGGCATGAACGGCTACACTACACTCTTTTCACAAAACATGCTACTTTCCAGACTTCTTGTGGCACGTGTTCAGTAGCTGTTACGAACACAGTGCCACAAGGATATTCATAGAACATATCTGTTCTTGTGGATGGAGTCATTCGCATAGACGAATCCGCTTGGTGAAAAGATCCACAAAGAGGTTTGCTTGTCAATATCAAATCATTTGGAAATGTACCACATAAATGGCAACACTTCTATTGTCTAGTCTGGGCGGAGTGTGGGCTCGACCTTGAAGTCACGACATTAACCTCTCCTTAAAATGTTCCCACTCCAATCTGTATAATTGATAGTGTGCGCGTGTTTACCTGTGAGCCGAAAATCTATAAATATTAGAAATACAATAATTACACGAAACACTAGAAAAACGAGTGGAGAACCGAACGGCTGTGCACCTGCGCACTACTGTTGACCATCGTTTTCTATCGCATATTATGATTCGTGGCACAATGCGGCTCTTCACGAAAGTAAATGTTCAGCTGAAGACTAAATGTAAAACCCTGGTTCTTAAATATAATTTATGTTAATCCAGGTATGCCTCAATCAGATTTGTTTATGCTTTTGCTAGAAAGGGCATTCACCTGAGGACAGTGCGAGTAAAGTACAGGCTGGCAGAAACACCGTACAGACTTGTACTGGATAGACAGAAGGCGGACATGCAATTCACATACAGAAGTGGGCGGGACACTATTAAGAATCAGGATGGAGACTCATGGCGTGTTTTAATACAATTAAAGTTAAAAGTGTAAAAGAATACAAAATTAAGATGTTCTACCAAACGCCCCGTCTTCTGAAAACGGCCTCGTGGGCTAGACTGGGCAAATTCATTATCAATGTCAATTTACGGGACATGTAGAATCACAGAGAGAAGTCATAGTTGAATGTGAAAAGCACTTGGACGGCTGCCAAATTACCATAATGTATGCGGCCTGTCATTTTGTTTTCCAGATTCTATGCTGTTTACAGAAAATTATCACAGGGCATCAAGTGTTGTTAAAAAAAAATTAAACTGATTGCCACTCCCTTCTCATTTGAATACAGTATGACTAGACATTCACAGTCATCTTCCAATTTGATAATACATATGAAAGCTTTTCATGAATTAAAAAACAAACAACCCAATTTAGTTCATTATTATTATTACTATTGTGGGTCTGCAGTGGCCACACAGTCTGAGGTGTGGGCTTTGTGCCGCTTGGTTGCTGGGACCATGGGTTCGAATCCCACTCAAGCCATGGATGTTTGTCCGCATATTTCTATATTGTGCTGTCCTGTGCACAGGTAGAGGCCTTGCGATGGGCTGATCCCTCGTCCAAGGAGTCCTACCGAATGTCTATAGATCAAGTCAATGAAGAATGGGTTGTCCCAGTATTACTATTGTTGTCATTTCTCAATTCACACTGTATGACCTCTGCAGCTGGTAGTGAGATATTCATTTAACAATCTGAGAAACATCAGTCTATGAGGCTGATCTTATGTAAATTATGAATTTTTTTGTATTGTTTTGAAAATGATACACTTCTAAGTTTATGCAATTTTAATTCATTCAGCAGTATTATTATTTAATAACTGCTATGTAACGTGAACATGTCTGTAGGCATTAATGACAACTGTTAACACTACTTCCTAACATGTACTCCTTATTTTATAATCTTCAATTATCAGATTATTGTTAAATAATATGAAAGACTGAAGTCAATGTGAAATTAATTTTTGATAAAGTTGTTGAAGCAAAAGGTACCTACATAATAATATGGGAGTATTAGCAAGCATACTTTATTAGGAATTCATGGATGACCATCTATTAAGGAGTATACAGAGTAATCAAATAAATGTGAAATACAAACTGGCAAGGACATTGGCAAATGACAGAAGTGATATCTGTACTGGTGACAATTGTCATAATGAAAAATGACAGTGGCAATTTAATTATAATGTATCAACACAGAAGTAAAATCATCCATCAACTGACAAGTTAAATAACAGAGGCTTACTTAAAATTAATATAAAGACAATAATATATTAAATATCTAAAGATTTACACATCAGTACTAAACAAAATTACAGCTGTGCATATTTAAAGTTTTTGCTGTAAAACTGTTTCATGAATTCCTTCTTGAAATCTATAAGTACAAAGAAACATAAGTGTGTTAGGTCAACAAATTTTTTAAACAGGATCTAAGAAACGCAGGACTTGTAGTATACTGCAGTGAAAATGAATAATAGATTTCATAATGGTGTTATATCAACTGTAGTGATTGCGAATAATGTATAAGAAAGATCATGTTTTGAGGCCAACATCAATACATGCCAGATTTATCATGAAAGGTCAATTAGATCAGTCAGTTGAAGTGAAGCAAAAGGATTAAAAATAAATTTTATCTTTAAACCTACAGTATACAGAGGAAAAAACGAAGTGTACATAAAATGTTTTTTGAAGTCCAGATCCAGTCATGTTTCATAACACTTTTGGTCCCTGAATGCATCACCATAGAAGGGGAAGAAAAAAAAATTGTTACATCAGAAAGACATATCATTAGAATCCTCAGTTGTAAGAAAATGCTTATGCAGAAACTGAAAAAACAAAAATATAAATCAGATATATTATCTTCATACCAATAATATGCCTCTACAAAAAATAATAAACGTACTAATACTTTCAAAGACTGGAAAGAGATGTGTTGGTTGATGAATTTACATAGTATGCCTTGAACTTGTCTTCAGCTTCAAGTATACAGCTTGTTTATATCTACACAATATAAATAAAAATTACTCTTGCATAATTAAATTAATATCTATACTAGTGGCAAGTACTTGTTAACACAATAAGGAACCTTCTTCTGGTTCCATAAAAGGCAGGAAATTTCTTGGTTACCAAGCCCCTCAAGATGGACTCTGCTCCATGGAGTTAGTTTATTAGTTAACATAACATTTTGCATTATTCATTAATATTCACTGTACCTTACACTTCTACACCTGGTATTGCCAGCAGCACTGTTAAATATTGTAACACTCCCTTTCATTTACAAATTTTCAGGCAACAGCACCAATTAATGACTGTGCCTACTAATGTGTCAATCACAGACAGTTACAATTGGCTAATATAATGTAAAATTCCAGGGAGACGTTAAACAGGAACACATACAATATAAAGCCTTTCATACTTTAATGTCAACTTTGTCCAATGCAACCTGATTCCACAAACGAGTCCTGATGATCAAATCATGGAAATTTTCCCATAAGACTGGATTCTGAGGAAATTTCACAAACAAAAGTGAAAAAGCATTAAAGTTAAATTTTGATGGTTAAATTGCTGATAGCTGAAAACAAAATGGTGCAGATGAGATTACTTTAAACCCATTACACAATTATTACTTCATAACAACTGAGACTGAAACAGAAAATGGCTGTCTTCTTGGTTGTTGCTCTGTGTCATCTAGTAGAAGTTCATCAGTGTTTCAGAGCTGCTTCCTACCTCCATCATCAGGGCAGAAGACAGCCATCTTCATACTTGCTGCCATGAAAACCTGAAATCTCACATGACTGAAATAAATTTACTATAATAATTTACTATATTTTATTCACTCATACTTCACTAAATTTGTGGAACTACGAGAATGCACATCCCTAGTAATACTCTCACCTGCATTATGCACACAAATGGAAATAAACAACGCAATTCAGCATGTCCTCAATAACAATGGTTAAACTAATTAAAAATAAGATCACATAAAGAAAGCCAAATGCACACCACATTATAACTGTCATTGTATTCCATTTTGAATTTGCAATAAAATACAGACATACAGAACAGACACTTTATACAAAATACTTTACAATGGAGATATATTTCACTGCTGGCCATCATATGCTTTTCCATTTCCCATCCATAATCCATTATATCCACAGCAGCACATTTTTTCAGACTTTGTCACACACACACACTCAAAAAGAGCTAGCAGGTGTGAGTATATAACAGTTATGCATGCCATCACTAGTAGAGGTCATAATCTCATGCATACTTGCAAGTTGCATGGCGGGCTTCTTGCCACTTACACTGTCACATTCATGTAATGTGGGCAATGTTTATTAAATTCAGTGCTACGTTGACACCAATGAGCACAAATTCTCCCACCACAACACAATATGAAAGAGGTCAACTATCACCAAGATGGAAGCCAAGCTCAAAAAATTACAAAATTTCTACCAGTTCTATTATTAATAATGACTTTCAAAATGAAGTATGCACTTGCATAAAACATTTGTTAATGTACTGGTATGGAGTGTCTCTGAAGTAATAAAATTGTTAATTTACCAGTTCAATTAATACAACAGACATATCCACATATATTACATGTATTAAGATAAAAACATTTTCTACTAAAATCCATAACTGAACTATAATGACTCTGCAGGAACTTAAGAAAAATGATTCATGCCCTTAAGAAATTAGGTGTTTGAAATATTTATACTGAAAACACTGTTTTGCAAAATCAATCACACTGAAATGTGTAAATGCATTTGTACCAGAGTAAATAAAATATAACTGCTCTAATTTTTACATTAAACATTTTACATTGCTAGGAACAAAATTAAAAGGACTGCAATTGCTAATTACCTCTAACCAGTAATCATGATATAACAGATAGTGTGATTTCTATACTTCTATTCACACTTCCATTAACGAGAAGGTGATATATTTTGAAATATGGCTTTCACTGCCTCAAAGACCTGAAAATGAAAAGTAGATAAATTAATAATTCGAATTTAACTGGTAACACTGACAACAATACAGGAATCAAGAAATACTCAGGCTTGTGTTACATTTCAAGTAACAGTCTGTCAAATAATGTGTTAGGATGAAACAAAATGGGCACAAATCAGGAGCATCATGGTATAATAATAAATCCTAAGGATGTGGGAGGGACAGATCATGCAACATGTCCAAAAAGGTACATGAGCAAACTCAGATATGAAGGCTGAATTGTGGTTTTTCATGGTGCACAGATGTATTTCGAATGATCATGCCACAAAAGAATATACATATGATACATGCAATTGTGAACAGTTAACAAGTGACAGACAACGGAGATCCCCATTACAACGTTTTTATCCTTCAGACTTCACATTTGCTATAGCTACATTAGTAAAAATTCTCATTCTGGGGACCTGAGCGAAGAACACCTTATGGGCTGATCCTTGTCCACCAGTTGCATTTCTCCTATAGGGGTATGCAACCTCAATGACAATGGGTCATTGTTGCACAGCAATAAGGACAGAGGCCTCACTGTTGGAATACACTGTTGCACATGGTACAAGATATCACAGACTGAACAGAATGTTGTGCAAGAATAACCTCAAATTGTATTCATGTAAAAATGATATGCACCACAATCATTACCTTAGGTCACATTGGTGTAATAATGACCTACAACATGTGGCATGAAGAACTCCTTTGGAATGTCAGTGTACCCTAATGAGTACACATTTCCAAAGATACCAAAAGACTTGCAATCTACTATATACAGGCCTTAGTCTGAATACTGCCATCTTGCACTTACTGATGACATACAGAATCTGACAAACATGGGAAATGGGTATTTTATACAATCGATGATCTTCATTTTCAAATTATGAATTGTAGGTTCTACAGTATCGTCTTATGCTGGGTGTCAGAAAGTTGCACAGAAAACATAGATTGTACCATTAACTTTCTTTACACATCATACTGGAAATTCACCTACTAATATAAAGTTAGCACTTCTACTCTATACTATATTTTCAGATAATTTTTATTTTCTAATGATTCACACTGATTTTGTAATCTTTCTCAGAAATGAAGGTTGTAGATGGCACAATTTCACTCAAGATTATTACTTGATTTTGATAGAGACTGAAGATACTGTAAAAGGTACACCTTCAAATCAAAAACTCTGGAAAAATATCAAATATATTAAATATATTACCAACCTCATCTGGTGTACCACCTGCATCCACTTTTTTCACTAAATTCTGCTGTTCATAATACTGAATGATTGGCACTGAATCATTCATATATGTATCAAATCGTTTCTTTAGACTTTCAGGATTGTCATCTGACCTGCCACTCCCAGCGGCACCTCTTTCTAGACAGCGGCTTACACATACCTGCAAGATACATTTTTTTTAAATTTCAAAGCTATTTCATTTAATACTTTTGCAGTAGCAAATTTGCTGTCTTGAGCCTGGATATGATGTTTCTCTCACACCATGGTGCAACAACACTAAATAACTTATGTAATTCATACCACACTGCCATACAAAAAATCAACTTGGAAGAATTTATGAAAGCTACACACAATTCTATGATCGGAAATAATTTTTTGAAAAATATGTCCTAAACACCTCACCTCCTGAGGGCAGTCAAAAAATAAAACAAAAAGAAGATTCACATTAGCAGCCATTTGTCTGTTCCAGCCATCCAGATTATCCTGATTTCTTGGAAACCCATCTATCAAGAATTTACTGGATCCAGATTTCTTCATGGCCTGAAATAATAAACTAAATTATTTACCATATGCCTTAAAATCCATATAATTCTAACTTGCATTCTTATTAATTTTTAATTAATCATGAGATAATTACAGTGGAAACCACATTAAATGTTTATCTGGGCTTCAAGATTTTGAACCTTCAATAACAATTTTTATAAAATTATAACTATAATTAATTTCTTTATAAGGCAAATAAACTTAGAATAACATGCAAATATCCAATAAAAAGGATTACACAAAACAAATTATAATGTTCTAGTTTTTCGCTAGAAATCCATGATGCCTATGCTGGTGGTTACAAAGTCTATGGTGTGCACAGTCTCTGTGCACACTGGAATCACAGATCTGAAACATGTTCCATTTTCCTGCGTAGTACTGTGATGGGTTGCTTCCATTATCTTTTGAAAATTGGCACAGACAGTATTTATTAACATGCCAAAATCATAACTATGTCTGATAATACAGTGAACAAGTTCATTATAAAATATACATTATCCAAAATACTGATAAAACATGAAAACCAGGACAGCATTACTAATTTATTTGTTTAAACTTTATCTGTCAGCTGATTACAATCATCAAATCACATTCCAAAGGATGGATTTGACTTTGTCTTCAGATGTCATCTCTTCTGTTGGATTTGTACACTGAACGTTGCTAAATTTGTGGGCACAAATAGTGAAGCCATTGGTCTACTCATATCAACTAGGCAAACATTTATCTGATAATGTATGAATAATAACCTTAAAATTATAGCAACATTCCGAAGTATCATAGTTCAAACTACAGAAATCAGTAATACAAAACTGTCATTAATACATTTAAAAAAGGATCATGATATATTTGTATTTGGAAGTTACAACTTAACAGTAAAATAGACCATTCACGAAATACCAAATACAAATTATAAACTGTAATATAATAGCATTATACCTTTTCAATCAGACTACAAGTAATCTCAACAGGAACTATCCTTCCATGTTTAATATTGTCTTCAATCAATTCTCCATACTCCGATCCTTCTTTATTCCGTTCCTCACGAAGGAGGTCTCCAGCAGAAAGATGAATGAAACCAAACTCCTGCATATACATATTTTAATAAAGTAAATAATATTACTGACTATGTACTTTATGATGAAGCTCATCAATGAAAATAAATATATTTACAAGGAACAGGCAACATTTCTAATATCTTTAATATGTTTCTACATGAATTTTTGGTTGACACCAGTCATGATTCTAAAGACTTCTTCAAGCTAATATGCTTTTACTGTCAGATGCAATATACCAACAAATTATTCCATACTTCATTACAAAATAAAGCAGGCAAAGTAGATTGATTTCAATTGTTCACACTGAAAATGGGGACATACCTCATATTAAAAGAATTAATAAACTGTAGTAATGTCCTCGTGTATGTTCGATAAATATAAAGCTATCTACAATGTATTATTAGCAATAAATGGGTTACAGTACCAAACCAAAATTAAATATAAGGAGCAAATGTAAATTAACCCCAAACTTGCACTATTCATTAATGTTAAGTGCTGAGTTAACTCACCCTGTTACATGACACTGTAAAATTACATTGCACAGGTACATGGATATGCTAATTAAAACAGAGCATTATTAATGTGAACAGGTAGGAACATCACCAATCTTACCTTAACTATATTTGTACATTGTGTTCCCTTGCCAGCACCAGGTGCACCAAGAACAAATACCACATCAGGTTTTATTGTAGAACTCATGGCTAAACTCCTAATTCCATTTAATAAACGGGTAAACATCCAAACTGAAACATCATACACTTACTCTTAAATATTTCTTTTGTACTTCACATTATATAATGTTTTTGAACACACAGATATAATTCAATCCAAAAGAGAGAAAACTTTCATTTTAATTTCTATTTCAATTTTAAAATTTGTTTCAGATGCAGTGACTTGTTCATTAATGTGTATTAGGTTTTTGGAATAACTTCTCAATATAGAACATACATATCAACACCCTCAACATGCATCCACAAAATGCCATCTGCCACAAAACTTGTTCAATTGTTTTGTTTATGCCTGCTGGACCCAACAAAAACATGTCAGTAATATAAATTCAGTCAGATGGCATTAAACTCAACCTAACCTGTCACCAAATTCAGATGTTTCAAAAATAAAAAGTCCAAAACAGGAAAAAATTTGTTTTAACATAGTTAGTACAAATACAGACAGTTATTGGTAAATAGTGCAACTGAGTCTTATTTTTTTAATTGTGGTCTATTTAATGACAATAAGTAGCTCACATCATATAGTGCTGAGTAACATGATAACTAATACATTGGAAAGAACATGGAAGGAACTATCCCAGCACTTGCCTGTAGGGAGTGCTAACTACTTGACTTCGATTTTTGGTGTATAACCACATGTAAAATATCATGCAAGTAAACAAGGCACAAGTAAGTGGTCACCACATTGTCAAAATAAAAGTGGTATTCTTTCGTGCAACCATAACAAATAGAAGTTATCTATATTCATATTCAAAGCAGTTCTTGGTTCTATCACAAACACATTAATGCTACAGCATCAAGGTAATTTTTTGTGTATTGGCTAACAAACTGCTCTCCTAGGACATGATTAGTTTTGAAGGCTGAAACGCTAGTGAGTAACTTAGGATTTAAAAATGCTCAGATTACTTTCTAAAAGTGGCATGTACCAATTTCACATAATAATATGTGGCTACCGCAAACATATTATTGTACTAATCTACAGAAACATCAGCTGAAAATTGACTGATTTCAGTTTACTGGACCCAAGTAAACAACGGTGGCTAACAGCCTATCATTTGTCTACTTCATTCATTACTTACACAAGGAATATACAAATTGGAGAAACTTAGATTTAAAAATATTAACATGTTTCCTAATTTGTTGGGTTATACATAAATGCTACAACTTCGAGAGTTTGTAGCATGAGATCGTTTAAATAATGCAGTTTGTTTATACGTTTTACATCTTGATAAGAATATAAATTTGACAGGCGAAACTGCAATTTGTGTATGACTCATGTTTTCTAAAACATGCATGATCTCTTACACAGCACTATTAGTAAATCAGTAAATAATGCAATAGCACTTACCTTTGAAGACTTCAGTTTCAAAAACCTTCAGTATCAATCTGTCACTTTACGGTACAACTACATAAAGCGTAACCTGTCAGCGGCATTTAACGTTTCTATTGCATATATTCCTATAACTGCCTTCAAAAATGTCCTATGCCCATTGAATTCCACTTACGGCCATAGTTATCTACAACACAGTTCTACAGACGCCTTTGCTCAGAGAGATAAGTACCCAGTTGGAACATTTTGAAATGCAATAATAAGAGTCTTCCTTGAACCGTTTCTCATTTCAGTGGCGGCATTACAGGTTAAACGGTTTTCGCAAACCTTCAGTGACAAACACTTTTGATAAAGACCACATTATAATAACGCGGCGTTACAAGTCTTTTACCATACCTAACCAAAATTTACAAATTGAAGGCTCCCACAGCGAGTTTTTTTATTTTAGTGGCTTGCACTAGTATGTAAGATAAATAAAAACTCAACCGATACAAATTACTAGTGCCATCTACACACTGGAAACGTGCTAATTTCTGTTATCTGTCACAGTACGTCGGTAGCCCGGTCGCTATGGGAGAGTTTTTGTTTGTAGTGATGGGATGGAGACTATCACCATGTGGAGATAGGATGTTGACAGTCTTATTGTCCAGCTTCTATATGGTATTGGGCAATCATACCGATGATGGTGAAAGGGAGCACCTATGAAATGTCGGAGAACTTATATCAGACTACATGGTGCAACAACCCGGAAGACATTTCAGGCAATTCTACTTGCAATATGCTGGTTCCGGTACAATGTCAACTTCTTCGTTACCTTATGGACCAACTACGAATAAACTGTATGAGCCAAAAAGGCCAGCCAGTAAACTGAGTAGATATGTCTGGCTGCCTTGAGTTTGGTTCATGTAGGGCACAGGTTTTTTTTCTTTGTTGCTACACAGCCAGCTTCCTATTGAATACTTCCTGAGGGGTTTTTCTATGGTAGCAGGAGCTTGAAACTGACCATTTACTTCTGTCTAGTGTGAACGTCTAGGATGCATGAGCATCTACCTTTACACTCCCTACACATCTTCAAGATGTGGTGCTTAGGCACAAGGGCAAATTTGACCTTTATTGTATGGGAAATAGGGGATTTAAACATCCCTGTATTGTGGGCCTGTTGAACAGATTTTAGCTCAGGGAAGGGTTATTAGTCATGGACACACAGCCAGCTGAACTGCATGCAAGCTGTGATGCACAGCAAATGAAGACTGAAAGCAAATTCTAAACCATTAGTAGACCATGGTAAGGGAGCCCCTTGTAAAGGAGAACAGCAGACGTAATCAGTTTGTACGAGTATCCTATGACATCAGCCACAATATCTTTTACACATACTTAAATATAGATCCTATCAAATGAATTTCATCTGTGAGATTTCAGGTTATCACAGCATTAGGCATAAAGAAGACTGTCTCCTGGGACACTGTGCACTGATGATGGAGGCAGTAAGCACCTCTGAAAACATTGGCCAGTTTTTACAACATTACATGTCACAACACACCAGAAGACAGTCATGTTAATTTCAGCTGCATATACTACTGATGGCATTAGCTATCAATTAACAAGCCTTTAATGTGAGATTGTTTTTATTTTGTTCACAAATGAGACCATACAAAGTAGTGAGTTTCGAGTGCTGAGTGACAGAACAAGGAATGAGGGAAGGAGAGAGATACAACTGCATGTCAGTCCTGTGCCATTATGAAGTCTGTTCCAAATAAACACACAATTGTTTTAATAAATACAAAGACTGACCCATTTTAGCAACTGTGCATATAATTTGTGTAACTGCCAAAAAAGAAGATGCTTATTTTAGATTTCCAGAGTATTGATTATAAATGACTAGACTTAGATGACCTTATTCAATAATGAATTGAGACTGAAGTGCGAGAACAAATACATTATCTACTGAAGGATTGAAACAGAGAAACAACAATCCTGCTTCAGTTTGTAATTGTCATAATGTAAGAATTACTTTCTGAAAGCAGTTAAATAAAAAAATATTCGTATTCTTTCGTGTATCGAATTATGGAAATATTAATTTCCAATTGTCGTATGTATAGTATTTTCATACAGAGGGTAAATACTACAGCACTGGTAAAATATGTCAACATTAATGAAAAAGTAATAGAAATTTTTAGATGTTACTGGAGATGCTGGCATTATTTCTCACTTATTCATTCATGATGTACATATTTCACATTGTAGTATATTCCATGTAATTTGGTGCAGTTTTAATACCTATATATATGCTGACAGTGGTGATGATAATGGATATGATGATCATGATGCAATAACATAAAGTCAACACCACCTTGTTCCATGCCCATTTTTAGAAGGCTGTGTTGGCATGTCAATTTGGTTCATCCCTTTCTTCTCCACAATGAATTGAAAGTTCTTGCATGAACCTATTGGCAGAAAACATTATGAACAATTTAATATTCAGAACTGATTTTATAGAATGTTCTTACAATTATCTTAATTGAACTAATGAAATAATTAGGATATTTCACACCTAATTCCAGGCAAATGCTGGAATTGCACCTTAAACTAGGCCATGACTGCTTCCTTCTACATCCTTTCCAATTCATTACTCATTAATTATTCTATTATTCAATGTTTTATAGTCTGAGCTACTGACAGCCTAATTAAATTAACTATAAATGAATGAATGAGTACATAAACAAACCTCATACCAATTGCATATCTGGTTCTCAGTTCATGACTGTGATGAAATCACATTTTATGAACAAACAAACAAACAAATATCAGGGGTTAGCAGATTCACACTACCAGCTTTTAATTGTGGAAATATGCATTAAGCATGTAACTTTGAAATTACCACCCATCCTTTGATGGTTATGTTGTGTTTTAGGTTTCAACACGAGCTTCTTGTCTAATCTTCAATTCTAAGAGTCCAAAATCATCAGATTCTGCAATAACATAATAGATCATAAAATGTATCCAGAGAGGACTTACTGTACTGAGGCATCTCTTAATACCTTAGTAAAAAATTTAAGTGGCTTGCTATCCCTGCATAATGGTGTTCACAGTTCTCCAGCAGGGACAACATTTAGTGAGAAGGCAGCTATTGTCTCTCCCTTCTTGCCCTCAGCTTTTGCTGTGTATTGGCCTAAGTCTGCTGTGCTACAGTTTGTAACCTCAAACTTGAATTTCCTTTTACCATCCTGGACGAACTGGTACTTTGAACTTTGTTCATCTACAGGCTTGCCATCCTTCAGCCATGTCACTGTAATAAAAATTAGAATATCAGAGCTGACTTACACAAGTGTTTAAAAATTGAATCTGTGATCACTGTTTATATGTACATATATGAATAATTAAATTGCATTCTGTATTCTAACAGTCTTGCAGAAGAATTTGAGGTTTACATGGTGGTGAGTCTGAAGATGGCACCCTTATGATGGAGGCAGCAAGGACCTCTGAAACGTCAGACTACACGGCACAACAACCCAGAAGACAGTCATCTCCAGTCTTGCAGAAGAATCAAAATTAACAATGGTATAAATATTTATGTTGCCCTCAGTGGACCAGTGATTAGCATGCTCGCCACTGGACCCAAGGTTCGAGGGTTCAAACCCAGCCGAGGTTGATGGATTTTTAAAGGTGATAAAAATCCGTAGCACAACTTCTTTCGTAGATTTATGGCATGTAAAAGAACCTTATGAGATGTTTTGTAAGCAAAATTCAGTGGCCATTTCTCACCCATGTCTCTCTTGATTCTGTACTAGATGGCTTTAGCAGACAAATCAGGATTGAGTAGAAATTGTGGAGAGGCAGTGGGTTTGTCACTCACTACTCAAATGCACCTTACAAGACTAATAAGGACATTGCCTTGAGCAACTGTCCCAGAACGGGTCAATAGGCCCAATCCTTGTAGTAGTTGATGATAAATATTTATTATACATTTTAAATCAAGTCCCTGGTATGTCAATGAATGTGTTTGCGTAATAATAAAGACCCATGTAAAATTTAACAAATTGATATGTATAATTGTATTTACCAACAGCTTCTTAAAATACAGATATGAATTCACATCCCACATGAAGAGACTTAATATTACAAGAAAATTAGTATTTTAATATCTGATAAAATCATACATGTATTCTACCTCATACACCCATAGCACAACTTCACAATTTTTGTTTGTGCTTCGGATAGGAGAATAGTCGTCAGGTTTTCATAACTTTGCAAATTTGAAAAGTTAATGTGCCATGGCCCTTATTCAGTTAAAATGATGCACATGATAACTAGAACTCACCTTTTTGTGGCACTTTCTCAATTTCACACTCAAACTTGACGCTCTCCCCTTCCTGGACAGTGGCAGACTGCGGGAATGTTTTGAACACAGGGCTCTTTGGCTCTTCATTTGGTACTGAAACATTTAACAAATATATGAGTATATCATAATTTTGCCCATTCAAGATTAACATAAACGTTCTACACAAGCAGTAATAAATTTCCATTTAGCTATCATTAAATAAGGCATGCAGAATTAAAGACTGCATTTCAATAAATTTAAGACTGGTCATTTTAAGAAGTACAGAAGATGAATTACCACTAGTAAAATCAACCATCCTTTTAATAGAGAGACTTGATAAAAAATCATTCCAATGAGCTAAAAGTTATTTTTAAAAATTCCATGGAAATTTTCGATTGACATGTGACATAAGAAAGGCTGAATGGTACTGAAACTACTTCGTTATGAATGCCAAAAATATACAGCATACAAAGAGAAAAATTTAAATGCATGATACAAATGTGAAGGTAACTTAAATCTGCACTTGGTAAGACAGTCTCAAACATATGAGGGTTTTGAAACGTACCTAAGACAACCAGAGTGCAGCTGCTGAAGGATTCCCCTGCATCATTGAATGCTTCACATGTGTATGTACCTGAATCTTCAGGGAAAATCTCAGCTATATTCAGTTTGTATATATTAGCTTCATTTGTATATTCAAAGTCTTTACTTGGCTTTATTTCTTTGTTATTATGAAGCCATATTACATCAAACTTCTGAGCACCTGTTAAAAGAAAAGTGTTGTACATAAAATAAATAAAAACACTAACATTCCTTAATGAAATAAACTAATAAAATAATACATAAACACATTTCTTTGTTTATAGACCAAATATTAAACATATTTTTTGTTGAGGATGGATGTTTAAGATGGATTCAAGGTGAATTAACAACGCCCATTAAATTACAATAAAATATCTTTTTCTTTATACTATTCAAGTCATTTAATGGTTTTACTTATGTAAAACTGTAATTTATATGGAGTATCAATCATCAACTGCCATGAAAGTGTAAATATTTAGTATTTATCGTGTGCCATCAAATGAAAATCAATATAACCTATGATGTACAATAATCACTGAACCACAAAGCCAAGCTGATAAGAATACTTATAATCAGATTTCTAGGATTCAAGTGTTTAACTAAAACTATTCAACATACCTATAATTCGGCATGACAATATAACAGGTTCACCATCTTTTACATATTCTGACTTCAAGTGGCTGACAATCTTTGGAGGTCTGTCCCCACTTTTTGCTTTGCTTCCTGAATTCTGCATAGCTGAAAAGAAACAGCAAACATCAGAAAACATTTCTCATGTGTCGTGATTAGAATAATTAAGATATTACTAGACATTTCTAATTACTTTTAGTTAGAGATATCCTTAATTTATAACTTACAAGACATTCTGGACAACATTTGATGACATTCCTAAGGTAATATATATTTGGTACTTTAAATTTATTTATAATAATGCAATGAAAGAAAATTACATGGTAAATCATCTTGAACAGATACTCCAACCTAGAAGATATTTCACACTTACGCTTCACTGTAAGTTTGCATGTTGTCTTTGCTGTACCCATCGAGTTGGTGGCTTCACACACATAATGACCTTCATCCTCTGGGAACACTTCATTTATTGTAAGTGCTGCAACTCCACCCTTATATTTCAGGTCCACAATATCAGAAGAACTTAGTGCCTAGGAACAATTGAACTTCATTACAAATGCACCAGTAAGTATGAACTTTGATTATGTATACCAAAAGCTGTCTTTCAATTCAGGGAATAACAAAAGAATCAGGGATCGAACCCCGGTCGTCCAGTCCGTAGCCAGTAACTATACTGACTGAGCTATGCCAGCTAGCCTCAGGAAAACATAAATAATCTTAAAAACTTGTAATATTTAACCATCAAGCTGTATGAAATAGAAACAATGCTAGAAAAATGAGCAGCAGGAGGAGAAGAAGAATAACAAGAAAAAGACAAGTACAGTGTTGAGACAAATGGTGGAAAAGATCAAGCTAGAGATACAATTTTATTTGGATGTGTTGTCAAACTATGAGTAGTGTAATTACATTCCAGACTGTAATTATTTCCATAGCTACATTAATTTATGTTTTCTAGTAGTAATTACATATACACACTTGGCCATTCTTTGTCCACTTGACCTGAGGTTCAGGGTCTCCCTTTATTGTGCAGGTAAGATGAAGTTGATCTCCATCACTGATTGTTAAATCTTGAAGCTTCTGGGTGAATTCAGGTTTACACATCAGTGAATCATCTGGGGGTACTAAAATAAAGTAATGATGTAATAGGATGTTACAGCACATGTCAAACAACAGATAAGATAAACTAGAAGAAATCTCAAATAGAAGAAAAGTTTGTAAATCCTTCCAACTGGGATTAATATTAGGCACAGGTTGCAAAAGGTCAACTCAAGGGGAAAAAAAATTGAAAAGATGTTACAGTAAAACAAATACTTTTATTTAAATTATGCTCATATACTGAACAAATCAACAGACTTCATTGTTACCAGTTCAAAGAAATTAAAATGGATGTTCAAGTTATAGAAAGGGTCACTAGTGAATTATAAACTGGTAGAAAAATAAATTAAGAGCATAAGAAATGCTTAAGTAGAGTAAACTGGTAGAAAAATAAATTAAGAGCGTAAGAAATGCTTAAGTAGAGGGAATGAAGGAATGCTCAACAGCTATATCTGAATCCCTAACTTGACTGTGGTATTTTATTGTCACTTGATGTGGTCAAACTTAAACTGATGGCATAAATATACTTACATAAGTTTGATACATGATTTAGCTTCATGGAATGAAAGGCAAAAGTCAAAGAAGAAACATAGGATCACAGTTACTTACATATTAGTTCTTTGGTTGCACTACGTGACCTTGATGGACTATCAGTTGCATCCAATTTGCTTCCATATTTTCTTATAGTGCGCTTGTCTGATGTGTCATTAGTACTTGAACTGCTCACTGCTATTGTGGCTGCAGACTGTTACACAAAAGCCATAAATTACTATAATTATTTTTAATGTGCTCGATAATATACATAAAGTAGAATGTGAGCCACTGGCTTTGTTGTAAGATGATGCACATTACATCAAATACTGTAAGTACATTAAAGCCCTTTAGAAAATAGGTAACATATATAAAATGCATGAAAACAATATCAAAATGAGCTTCATGCATGTTCTAAAGTCAGTTATTATATTTGTAAGTTTAAGATAATTATTTTCTTTGGAGCTGATAGCAGATGAAGAAATTTGTTAATAAATATAAAATACAGTAACGTTATACACTAACTTTTGCCAGACTGTGATAATGATTCAGTTCAGTTGCAGTTTCTTAAACACTGGGATGTTTTTACCTTGTAACTGCTTTGAACAGAACTGCTGTGTTGGTTAGATGAGGATTTGCTTGTGCTGCTGTAACTTGACTTGTTGACTGTGACAGACTGGGGTGCTGGTCTACTAGGTTTTTCAATATATCTGCGGTCTGTAAAAGGTTAAATATACTACTCAACTTGTATGGAACACATACTTTACTAGTTCATATACTTGATATTGTTGTGGACAGTGAAAAGAAGAACAAGAAAAACAATTAAAATGAGATATGTAATAGAATAATTTACTGACAAAGTAAAAGAATGAAATAATATCAAAGTACTGCAAGAGCTGAAGAGATGAATTACACCTAATGCTTCATTTGTCATCTACATTTGTGTGCTAATAACAGTAATTTATTCCACTGTTATATGGATAGTAATACCATATTAACCATTATCACTATTTTTTGTTGTAAATATACTTTTTTATATTACCTAAATACTAACATTAACTGCCAAAACACATTACCATAAGGAAGCAGAGGAAGTTGTACAAACTAGTAACTGGAAGACTACTAGATCTGGAATTATTATGTTCTAAGATAACAGGACAAGCAATGGCCTCATTTGTACGCTAACAAAATAAAGAGAAATATGAATGTACTTTCTGTGCAAAATTTGGTTGTGCCTATAATCCAATTTCTTTATACAAACTTAAATGATGCATTGTTAAGCACCATTAACCAGGAAATACACAGTCCATTAAAATAGCTCACAATAAAGATCCAAAAATTTTGGTCCATTAAATTCTGCATGGGAAGACCACTAGAATTTGCTACACTGGGGGACAAGAAAAGAAATGGAAAAATAAGTTAAGGCAAGAGAAGATAAGAAAAGAAGAGTGAAAGAAAGTAAAGTTCTTTTCAATTTGCAACAGGTAATAGCATTCTGTAAGTGTTAGAAATACTTGTCCAAATTGGCTAACTTGTACATTAATATTTTAATTTTGTATTTTCTACTTGGGATGCATATGTACAGTTTACAAAATAAATAAATAAATCATAACTTCGAAATACAACTGCTACATTATTCAAAATTTATCACTACATAGCTTAAAATACAGGGTCAGCAGAAAATTAACATATAACCATGTTTTTAACCCTTATTGTAATGGTAAATGTTTTGAATCCTTGTGCAATGCACACTGAGCTAAATCCCACATAAGTGGCAATCCACAGACAAAAAAGGTTAAACTAAAATGGTAATATGGAAGCAATATCTATATTGCAAGCAAATATAAGGATATGCAAGTATTTGAAAAGCATGAGATGAAAATAATAATGATCATTTTTAGTAATTATGTAGCATACTTTTAAATTGTAATTATTTCATTATATCTATTATTACTTTTAGAATTAATTCCAAATTAATGAAAATTCTGGTGATTAATCCTGTATTATAAATATTACAATTAAAAATATAAATGTAAAATGTCTCTTGTGCCAAAGCACAATGCCATAAAATGCATAAGAAAGTGGAGGTTAAACTCAATGCACTCTTAACCTTAGTTCAAGATTACGATGAATTATCAGCTTAACATAGCTAATCTCATCATGGCAGTGAAAATAAAGTTCCTGTCTGTGCTGGGAAGTGGACCCCCTTCTTCCATCATAATGGCTATTTTCATGGTCAGAAGCATGACTAGGCTGATTACTTCAGTCTGCATAACATAATTAACTCTATATGCATTCACTATTTGCATCTATTACCAAGTTAGTTTATAGGCAGGTACAACTTCTTAAATTAATTTCTGCTTCTGTCCAAGAATTTAATATTTTTCTTTCAACCACATTAATTTTACTTTTCAGATATTCTCTTACACATTAACAGTTACTGAAATTATACTGGAAATATACATAAGTAAAGAACAAATAAAAAATTGCGACAATGACAGTAGAAGACATTAACGGTCCTTCAGTAATTCAATATTAGTTTATGTTCTTCTCCATCTCAGAGCATACTGAAATATGAAAAAGTAAGCATTTTCTAACTTATTACATTTTTGTAGATGACTAATTTACATCACAAACCTTTGGCGTAAAAATGCAAGATGACTTTAGGAGAAAGTATGTGTCACATGCACATACAAATACGCTACAAAAATTTCAAGTTGCACTGACTAATTTACATCACAAACCTTTGGCATAAAAATGCAAGATGACTTTAGGGGAAAATATGTGTCACATGCACATACAAATATGCTACAAAAATTTCAAGTTGCATCTGTTCAAGTTGATTCATATTTCAATAACGGCAAAGTAATGTTATAGCTTGAATATCCTTAATATGTTTACTGCTACAAATGAAATATTTAAAGGAAATCAACAGCTATGAAAGAAAGAATTATTAAAATAACTAGACTATGTACAGCTAATGAAGTTAAACTAATAGCAAGATGGTAGTGGGTTACCTCCAGAGTACATCAACTTATTAGCTAACTCAGCTTGCTCAGCACTCTCTCCAAAGCCTAAGGAAGGAATCAGAGCATGAAAATCATTACAGCAAAGTAACAGTCAACTAGCATACCTTGTACTACTTATACCATATTAATACATAATGTCTATTGAAATAATATTGTTAAATAAGGAAGTTTTCAAATATATGAAGAGAATAACTAAACTGTGTTCTATGCTTATGAAAACTTTATTCTAAAGCATATCAGAATTCATATGCAAAATGTGAGACAGTAATATGATAGTGTAACCAGATTACTAACTAATTAATAAAATAATCCCACCAAGTACAAGTTCTGTGAAAATAACTGAAGACATACAATTACTTTATAATTTCAGGTATTTCAGTTGCTTCTTTTACAAGTAGAAAAGTTCCTGCTAACTACATAAAAGGCCTGCTGAAAAATTCTGAACTATACTTTTAAGTTCTTGAAGTCATGTTAAATGCAACCAGATTAGAAGGCCTGATTATTATGAAAATCTTATAAAGCACCAAAGAAACCTTCATGTACATGTTGTATATTTCTGACAGAGACTTTACTTGCCTTTAGAGTGCACTGTATCACAAATTACATGCTTGAGTACCATTAGGCTGCTGGGAAATAATATCCAAATTTACTACCTGCAAAATCTACTGAGCCTTATACATAAAGACTAAAAAAATATTAAACAAACATGGGAATGTGCCAACCTTTGTCACACTAACTGTAATGGTATTGGTGACAAATGATTTCTTAAAAATACAAAAGTTCTGTGTAATCTAACCACTACAATTTGTTTGGCTTTTCTTCAAGTTTTTATCATTTTTAGACCTAGCTAGAACAGAATTTAATCAATGTTCAGAATGAGAATTATTTTAGGGTGGTCTGACAAGTCTGTTTCTTGAAGAATTTAATGAATTTCCATCAATCTCGGTTGTGACATTATGTGGACTCGTAGGTAGGAACAAACATTTCAGATAAACATATTGTCTCCATCTTAAGGGTTAAGGTCCTGAACCCAGAACAATATTGACATCTTCACCACTGTCAGCATCTCAAATCATACATAATGATATTCATACGAAGATGAAACTGGAGACAACTATTTTTCTTTAAATTTCTTCTGTCATAAATGCAAAGGGATTAATTATACCATATTATGAGAGATGGTATAAAATCAATTTAGGCATGTAATTTGTAATGTTATAATTACCAGAGTATGACTGGAAACGGAAAAAGCAACACTACATGAATCTCAGAATTATGAAACTGAAATCCTTCAGACATGATGATTTACTGACATGTAACCAAAAATATAATGCAGGAAAAACAAGAGTATCAAATTTCTTATCATTGACAATTATATAGGTAACAGTAATATGTTGAATACGAGAACAACAAACATACCTTCAACAATAACTACACAACTTGTCTCATCAGAGCCATGAATGTTGGTTGCCACACAGCGATACTTCCCAGAGTCTTCAGGTTTGCAGTCTACAATTTCCATAAAAACCAGTCCATCAGCATGTGTCATATTGTATTCGTACTTTGTCAATTCCCTCTTCTCTTTGAACCATTTTACCTGTTAACAAAAACTGCCTCTTATACTCTGAAAAATGCTTACTTATTTAGCATATACCAGTAAGAATTAGGATGAAGTAAAAATGTAGCTCTTGCTAGTATGGCACAAAGAAATAAACAAGAGAATGACATAAAAATCAAGTTCACGTCACTGACGAAAATAACATAGGCTAATCTGTTTACTGAAACAAAAACATGCAAGGTGTAACTGAAATATTGTCATCATCATGAGAATGGGACTTTTTAAGTTTTTATATATATTTTATAAAATATTTAACTACTATTTCAATGTATTTGAAAAACCTTTTATTTTATTATGAGGAAGTACTGTTGCATGATGTGAACGCATATTTATATTTTTATTTTATTATGAGGAAGTACTGTTACATGATGTGAATGCATATTTATACTGGGAAGTTCAAATTTAATGACTAGGATGTTTACAAGTTTCCGAACAAACAAATTCTGATCAGTGCATTTCTTCTATGTTGTGAAGCAAGTACTGTATAGTCACTTGGCCACACCTTTCTATAGAGCATAAAATGTGGATGGATGCATGGCCTAGCTTATGCATAGATAGAGGATTTTGCAGTATTATACCAAAAATAATGTTTGTAAGGCTAATGACAGGAGAAATTTTTACAACCTAACCACAACCTGAAAACCAAATGTCACTGATGATAGGAAAGTATACAGTCAAAATATGTAGTGTGCTGAAATGCCACTGACCCTGGTCTAGTTTCTTCAAGATGATTACAATTTTTCTCTCTGAGTATGAAGTTAATGCTACTGTATGGATGATGGCAGAATTCTACAAAGAATGGTTCCTTGGGTTTCATTACAATAAAAAACATTTCCATAAACTACACCACAGACTGTACAAGCAGGCCCTAAGGCCACAAAGTGTTGCTCACCACCATTGTAAGTGGTTGTCTATTGTTCTGATTTCATGTAAAACTTACTGTTGGAAGAGGTTTGCCACTAAGACAACAGAGGAGTTTACAAGTTTGTCGAATCTGCATTACTCTAGGTCGCAACAGGAATGTGAAGACTGGAGCAGATTCTTTTTCCTCTTGCCACAAAGTATAGCCTAGCGCTTCACGACGACGCACTGGCTGTACTTCTGGTCTGTACTGTGGTACAACTTTTGGAACAGCTGGAAATATAATGCAATGATTATGACTTCTCACCAGGCACCAATTTTTTGTCATTTAACACGCTGAACAGCTACAGACTTCTATAGAAGTGCACCTGTTGTCACACCACCAGTGCTACACACTATTACAGAAGTGTCTGATACATAAGCATACATAATCATTTGCTAAGAGATCTTCCTAACTGTAATGTTGTAGTAACAAAGTCTTTGTGGTTAACATGGACATAATAATTTAATAATTTGATGATAAAACTTTACTGTAAATTATGATTAAAAATTCTGTCACTCTAGGGCCTCTTAGGATGTGTATGTGTGGTCTATCCTCCATTATCTGGCATAAAATATATCTCAAGTGCCTCATAAGATATCTGATTCATGACTATATATTGTAATTAATTATTTCTTACACATTCCATACTGAATATATGTTAAAATTTATATTTTCATTAAGGAACTTACGCTGAACATTGAGGAAAACAACTTCTTCTCTGTAACCATAATGGTTCTCTGCACGTATGATGTATTCTCCACGATCTTCAAGTTTCACTCGGTTGATTATAAATGTGAAATCATCACCAGCATAACGTTTCATGAACTTAACACTTTGTCTTAGCTCAGAATTGTTGTGGTACCAAGTCAGTGTTGGCGTAGCAATTGCAATAACACGACAGGAGAATTTGGCACTCTGACCCTCATAAGCAAATGCACTCTGTGGCTTTATAACAAATCGTGGAGCTGCTTGTCTTCGGTCTGTAATATACAAAGTTCAGTGCATTGATGAATAAATAAATGCTTATATGAGTCTTACAATGTTTCATTCATTATAGTGGGTAGGAATTATGATCCTGTTATGTTTCTAGAAGCTTGAAATTAAAGACATTTGAATCATGTAACATCTGTCTTTATAGAAGATATTTCAGATATGTTTAACATCATAATAACTCAATAATTATAAATGGTTTGAATCTATATGGCTTTAAAATATATAGATTTTTATGGCATTCTAAATCACTGCTTTATGAAGCAGAATTTTTATACCTGCATTACTTCACACAGGGGCTACAAATGATTTTGATAATTGCACTTAATATTACACTAGCAGAATATTTCTTACCAAATGATGAATCATAAATACGGTATTTATCAACCAGCAACTTTCGCAGTGAGCTGTATTCTGCTAGCCGGCCAATGGGAAGAACGAACTTGTCCCAGTCTGAATATTTTGCCCGAATCTTGTCCCGCATGTTGGTGTAACGGGAAGAGCTGATAATGTCAGTACGATTGCTGTGATCACCAGTCAGCCAGGCATGCAATAGGCACTCATGTGCAGTCATGCGTTTCCTGTTCAAAAAATAACATCAATACTTTGTTAATATACAGATACTAACTGTTAATTTTCATGGAACAAAGAGAGTAGATTGACTAAATTATATATGATCTCACGTCTAGTTCCTCAGATTCTGAAAAATATAGATTGACTAAATTATATATGATCTCATGTCTAGTTCCTCAGTTTCTGAAAAATGGGTATAAAATATAGTTGGATTCTAAAATCAATTGGTACTTAAATATTCATAAATGTGCTCATTTGAAGCTAAAAGTTGAGAAATGAGTGGTTGAGTAAACTGTTTTATATTTGTCAAATCAGTGAAATTACATATCGAGCATAATGAAGGATTTCATGAAAACAATTACTCATTATACTAGTTGGAACTGTCTTTAGTTTCACTGCAACGGTGATGAAGCTGGAAATATATCTATAAAGAAAATCTCAGAGGAAAACTGGATTTAATGCAGCTGTTCAGTAGTAAATACCACAGTGAAACATTCTGAAACTGTATAAAACTTCTAGTTCAGCTAAAGATACTTACTCTTTGCTCTTTACTAGTAATCTTCTAATAAAATCTTTTCCCTCCTCTGAAACATTTGCAAAGGCTTCTTCATCAAAGTCCCAATCACAGGCTTTGACATTCTTCAGAGTTTCTATATCATTTTCACCAGCAAATGGTGACAGACCACTCAACCTGAATGTAAAAGACGAGAGCAACACATACTTAAAAAACAAAAGTAATACCTCTGCAAGCTATTATAGTTACACTTTTAGCCATACAATGCATGTAGTATACAGTACATAGCGACTTCTTTACACGGCAACTGTCAACCAAACTAAAAGCAATATTCCACCAAGTAGCTATTAAAGCTGACCCTCATTGACTTTTAGGCATTCTCCAAGCTCTAGCATGAGTGAAGAACATCTTATAGGCCCATCCATATCCATCAGTCAGTCATTGTTGGAACAACTCTGTACAAGAATTGTAATGTGTAATAAGCTTCTAAACAGGTAATGTGACTGTACTTACAAGACATAAGCCAAAACACCAACTGCCCACATATCAGTGTAGAAACCCACTGGTTCTCTCTCCACAATCTCTGGGGCAGCAAACTCAGCTGTCCCTGTAGAAATCTTGACAACCTCATTGGGATCCAATTTTGTTGCAAGCCCAAAGTCTATCAACTTCACATTTGTACTGTTTCTTGTCTGGCACATGATATTTTCAGGCTTGATGTCTATTGAGAAATATTAATCAGTTTGTTTGTATTAGTGTTGAGTTTTTCAAAATAATATATGGATAACCTAATCTCTAACATTTTATGTTACCTACCCAGATGAATTATGTTCTTCTCGTGCATGTGTTTGACTCCCTCGCATATCTGGCGCATGTAGTTGATTACTTCAGCCTCTGACATAGAATAACCTTCAGCTGTAATACGCTCAAAAAGCTCTCCTCCTGACAAACTGTGAACAAAATTAAATTAAATTATACAGGACAGGTCTCTGAATTGAACATTTTCTCACTGAATGACAACAGACAAAAAAGAAATATGACTCAAGTGTAAAATGTAAAGTTCTTGCAGTAACTAAACAAAATTGAGTATTCTCAGGTGATCAACAATGTCAACACAGATTAAACGTTTGACATTTAAGAAACTGTCTCACATTGAGGCACAAATAGTCTTAGAATTTAGTCTTTACTAATATGGCTGATTACCTGATAAGACTTCACTGTACAAAATGTAGCATTTGAGAATTATGTTACATAGAGTGATTTGAATTATCAATAAAGAATGCAAAGATTGGAAATGAAAAATGGAAGAAAACCTAAAGAAACCTGTCTTTCACAGAGTAAATACTTCTTATTACTACATGTCCTTGCAATGAGGTCTGTGCATGAACATTTGTTTCTAACTTCCAAAACTGAACCAATGTACATGAAATATCAACCCATGCAGCATTACTTGCAGAATAGCTTAGACAGGTTGCCTGATATTCTCGTAGATTTCTGTAATTCTAGGTCTACTCAGTTCCTACAGGAATATGATAAATTAATACCCTTAACACCTTGACTCACCAATTACATTTTTTTGTATTCTGATGTGATAAGGCCAGCTTACTTAAGATCTGTATCAAGTTCAACAAAATATTTGACTAAAACCAAATACAAAATTGTTTATATCATTTCTGGGAAGGTTTTGTAATGATCTTTTGAATTTCCATAGACTTGTATTAAGAATATTTATATATTCATTTTGTTCATAGGACTTGTATTAAGAATATTTATATATTCGTTTTGTTCGTATTGATAATTAGCATTTAGTAAAATGTACAAATGCTCTAAATGCATACATATTAATTATTGAATTACACAGACAGTTTGTGAATACTTACTGTCTCATACCAGTTTATTGATTTACTTATGCTACCATATAATCATAATAATGAACCTGTTTGCATGAAGTACTATTACAATAGTAAACTTACAATTCAAAGATGAGAACCATTTCATCATCATCTTCAAAAGCATCATGAAGATTAATAAGCTTAGGATGGTGAAGCTGGTTCATTATATCAATCTCTTTCCTTATCAACTCCTTTTCCATAGCATGAGAAACAGGAATGAATTTAGCAGCAAAGATATTTCCAGTCTTTCTTTCACGACATCGGTGAACAACACCAAATGCCCCAGTGCCAATTTCTTCAAGGATATCATACAGGTCATAAACACTTGTGCTCTTGATCTCTACTGGCTGAGGCACATACTTGGAGTGGATATCAAACACTGAAACACAGGAAATTGTAATTCATGCGATCAACAATATCTTCATTATAGCAAAACTACTTATTTACAGTTTTATAAAGACAAACTAAAAACGTTTTAAGATTCAGTATATCAATCTTTATGATATTATTACATATTATCCTCTTTTCCTCAGAACTACAAAGGATACCAATGTTTTTGACAAACATACTGCCTCCATTTTCATGTCTGAAGATGGAGGCAGATGTTCCTCCAAAATGTTATTATCAACCTGAAAGCTCACATACCATTACAACCCAGAAGACAAACATTTTCAGCTTCACTGCTGTTAGAATGTCAAGTCTCATATAAAGGTTATGTTAAACTTGTGCAAAAGTGCTATGACACAAAGGCATATTGGGATGCTTTCCTGATCTTGGAAGTAAACGAAAGTGAGTGGTCAGTTTTACTCTCCAGCTGTCGTGAAACAATCCTTTGTACCCACCAAACAGGACAGTCACCCCAAGCCACTATGGATATGATGGTAATGATAAAATCTCAATACTTCTGCAAGGACTTTAGCAATGGTAATCTAGTCCATTACCAGTCACTTCAATGGCTGCAGCTATAATAACATCCTCTCTTTTTTTCTTCTCTTTTATTTTCATTGTTTATAATTCTAGAGATTTCTAACTCCCAGCATTTGAAAAAATTCAACTGACAAAAGAAACAATTAATTTGTTGTAAATGTTTACTTACCATACTGATCATAGTCATTCACTTTTCCATCTGCCTGGCCACGAATCTTCTTTCCAGTAGCATCCACTGTAAAAAATACCAAGTACACGTCACATTCAAATATTAACTGTTATTGACTAGTTTCAGCACGAATAAATTATAATACTGGTAGTCCAACAATGGTATAATCTAAGAGAAGATCTTATGAAACCTGATGTGGGTGTCAAGAGTAGTTGGAGTATACTATAAAAAAAATTACAATCATGTTTATTATGCAAACTTTCTACAACACTCTACCTTCATACTGCTTTTTCTTGATAGCTTTCTTTAAACTATCCTTGGTCTTGACAAGACCTGTCACATCACTTGGATCGCTTCGACCATATATGTTTTCTGCATAGACACGGAACTCATACTGGTGTCCTGGACTGAGGCCTGTAATAGCCATGTTGGTGAATCTTGTGCTACCCACACGGATCCAACTGGACATGGGATGTTCTCGCTTTTCTACCAGATAGTTTGTGATGTTACTTCCACCATCCCAACCTGGTGGTTTCCATGTCAGTGCCAAGGAGTCATGGCCAATATTGTCCACAGTTGGATATCTAGGAGGATCTGGTCGATCTAAAAGATAAAATGGACATCTAACAGAATCTGGTTGATTTAGAAAATAATATGCTTTGCTATTACTGCAGTATAACATCAAATATAATTTATGTCCCAAAAAAATTATAAGCAAACTTTCTATCCAGTTTTAATAATGGCTTCATTTTTCTGAACAGCAGAATCAGATTTAATGCTAAAAGTAACAGTTAGAGAAGGCTGAAATTTTTGGAGCAAAGTTTTGCTATGTGCTTACAGAATATTAACAAATTTGTAACCTCTTGTCAACTACCTCTTATTTTTATCATAGTTATTATGTGCAAAATAGAATCATTATATTTTAATAACAGAGACTTAGTGAAACTGTACAGGTAACAAATTAACTGTTTTATAATAATGCATTTTATATTCATTTTGATAACATAAAGTAAAAATAAAATTTACATGTTCCCTTTCTCTTTTCACATTTTCTGAATGTGCCATATTTTTATGACACTCAAGAATGATTAATTATTTGAAACACCACTTCCATTATAAATTAAATACATACCACTGATCTGAATTTTTATAATTGCTGAATCCATGCCCAAATCATTTTCAGCTTGAAGCCGGTATGGACCACTGTCCAGTTTGCTTCCATCACGTATAGTCAAGATCGCATGCCTCTCCTGCAACAAAAGGAAATAATAAGCATTTATAGACCCTGCATCATGACTTATGTATTATCCAGTTGGCTATGCATCACAGGAACACACCACTAAACCATTAACCATAGAGATGAAGTCCAGTGAACAAACCCCATAGCATAGGAGTTCAAATCCCCTTTTCCCATATAATAATTTAGCTTAGCCAGAATGAAAATAGAAATAAAATAAGCAAAATAACATATTTTTCTAATGAGCCTCACTTCTGATACAGATTATGAAAGAAATGTGAACCCATTAATAAAATATTATAGATGCTATTAATGTTAAAGCTATTAAGAGCCTATTTCTAACTTCATGTCATGATCTGTATTAAATACAGAAAATATGTAATACTGATTATGATGTTACTGTATAATTAACTTGGTGAGTGGAGTTGGATGTATCAGTGGTCATGACACCGAAGGTTATATCCTGGTAGTAGGGAACTTCATCCTAACATTTTAGTTAGCTAAATATTTACTATAGTGATGTTGAACAAAATTTTCTTACCTTAACCTCAACAGCAAAGTGTCCACCTGACTCTACAGTTTCTCCATCCTTCTGCCAAGTGATTCTTGGCTTGGGGGAACCAGTGAAAGGAATCTTGATAACAACATTCTCACCTTTATCAAAGAATGCTGTGTCACGGAATCGAGGTGGCACATTTAGCCTTGGGGCAGCTACAAAGTGAATTAATTTCATGTCAGTACTTGTACAGGCAACAAATAACATTAGGATAATTTGCAAATGTATTTGATGAGGAGTTTGTTTTGTTGTAGAAAAAGGATGGTTATCCCAAAAATCAGGTCTACATAATATTAACCACACTATCCCAAGTGAGAGAATTAATTTTAATTCAGTATCTTTGCAACAAAAATTTATCAAGGACATTACGATGGGTAGGCATTGTAGTAAATTTGGGAGAAATCAAAAGGTACACACAAAATTTTGGTTGGAAGATATGACAGAAAGGAATCCTTGGAAGTCCTGCAGATGGGCAGAGTTAGAAATGAAATAAAACATATTTACCGAGCATGATATAATTTCATTAACCAAACATTAATTTTATCTGCATTTCAAAGACCTTTCTACTTAATTAGAAGGGTCTTTTGATAAACACTTACTCATTATGACGAGCTCAGCACGAGTTGACTTGATTCCACCCTTATTGACAGCTCTGCAGACATACTCATCAGCATCTTCACCATACACATCATTCACAATCAATGAGTATACATCACCTTCCTTGAGCATGTGATATTTGGTACCATGGATAATTTCTCTTGCTCCCTTGTACCTGCAAAAGATATGGCAGGTAAGATACATATGTCAATCTAGAGTTTTAACCCTTTTCCATGGAACTTAAATTCACTGTACCACGACACTATTACCTCGCAAGAATTAGCGAAAGGTGAGCAAGACATCTGCCTAGAATGCAGTGTGCACAGGGGTGTAACAAGTGACAATTTCTAGTATAATGTGCTATGCTAATAACACACATTTTTGGTGAGATTTCAGTTTCTCACAGCAATTTTCTAGGAAACTGTGCCACATAATCTGGTAAATACTGACTGACGTGTCAGAGGTGCCTATTGCCTCCATAATCAGGGTGATGAGCCTCATTACATACATACATAAACACACACACACACAAATAAATAACAGTGCCAGTATATATAACACTTATTATAAGGAATAGTAGCAATTGGAATAAACATATAATATAAAGAAAGGGAATGAATAAACTAATTGGTATTACTAGAAATAAACTGGCAGTAATTCACCTTCTAGTATAAGTTACTGGCTGAAATTCTAAGTTCAGCTTCTGTTGTAGTGAAAATTCATTAAGAATTACAAAAATGTTCATTAATTTTTCATAAGAACAAATTCTAAACAATGTTTGTGAGACAAAAGTGCTAGTATCATTAAGTCTTTATGTTGCAAAAATACTTGCCATGTAATTGTTGGTCTAGGATTTCCTGTAATTGTACACTGAAACTGTGCATTGTGGTTCTGTATGGAATTGGCATTTCTCAATGGTTTAACAATTTCTGGAGGTGTAGCAGCTGAAATTAAACATATGTAAAATTATTTCTAACAGAAAAGGTAACCATAATGTATGGATAAAACTGAAGCACTTATGGGTGCATATATAAATTACTAATCTGAATGCATGGTAACAAGTGCAGCTTTAGAGAAATGAAGAAGCAGTTTTATCCTATTTTTGGGACAGTAAACTAGAATTTTCCTGGCAAATATTAGAAAACTATAACGATCTCTGTAATGTGTCCAAGCAGTATTTGAACCACATAAATTCCATTCAAAGGAAGTCATATTATTTTGTAGAAATAGTATAATAATCTCAATACCATGCACATTAATCAATTTACAATACAAAGTACTTACTCAGAGGATCTTTTATCTTGACTGATGTGGAAGCTGAGGAAGGCTGGCTCAATCCTGCTTCATTCTGTGCAAAAACACGGAATTCATATTGACGGCCTTCTATAAGGTTTGAGATGTTGATCTGAGTGGCAAAACATATTGAGAGGTTCACTCTCTGCCAAGCTTCACTGCCAACTTCACGTTTATCTATCCAGTAGCCTTGAATTCTGGATCCACCATCTGACTCTGGCTTCTCCCAGGAAAGGTTGACAAAGTCTTCACCTACTTCTGTGACATTTGGCACTCCAGGTGCTGATGGAGGATCTAATCAGTAAAAATAATATGAATGACGACAACAATAAACATAATTGTAAAATAAATAATAAAAACAATAACAGTGTTAGAGTTGGTAAGAGTGGAAAGGTGTAATAACATAATAGACTACAAATAATAATGAATCCTTCTTCGGCTACCAGCCGTGTCAGGTGATTTAATGGAAAAAACACCAATGTTTTCAGAACCATCTTCATCCTTTGGATCATACAGATTACATATGCTTTCTAAATGTGTTCTTTCTTAAGAATAATTATTGTAATTTAAAGTTAAACTTACCAAATGGTGCTTTTGCCTTGATTGGATTTGTTCCTTCAAGTGGTGGTCCAATGCCATTGTCATTAACAGCCATAACCCGGAACAGATACTCCTGTCCTTCTGTAAGTCCTTGTACAGTAAAAGTGGTCTCCTTGCAGAAACTGGACACTATAATCCAGTGAGTCAGGCTAACATCTCGCCTTTCCACAACGTAGTGAGTAATACGAAGACCTCCATCATACTGAGGTGCTTTCCAATTTAGTGTGCATGTGTGTTTGGTTATGTCAGACACATCAAGTGGTCCAATAGGTGGACCAGGAAGACCTGTATTTAAGAAATTACATTATAACCAACACAAGAATCTTTATAAAATTAAACAAGAGAATTAAATCTGCTACATATACAAAACATTTTTATTCACACACAAAATACATGATGTATAGTATATTCAAAAATATTTTTAACTTATGTTCGGGAAAAACTGATTTCCATCTGTTGCAACTATAAATTATTTATTTTAATGTTAACCAAAATTTGGCAAATTGTACATAGCAGCTTATTCAGTCAAAAAGAACGTTTGGCTAATACATTTCATAAAACATGACTTTCAACTCACCAGTGATGTATACTGTGAAGGATGCTGAAACACTCCCACTGTCATTCTTGACAGATAACGTATATGTTCCTGCATCATTCTTGGTTATATCCTTAATGAATATTATCAGATATTCATCAAATACTGTGTATTTAATGTGAGTAGTTTCATCAATTTTATTGCCATCCTTACTCAGAGTTACTTCCATAGGCTGATCTCCAGAATAGTAGATTTTGATCTTTGTATTATCTCCCTCTGGCAAGTACAAGTCGCCTGGCACTCTATCAATCCTTGGTGGGGCTGTAATCAAATTTTTAATGGAGATTTACAAGTAGCATAACAAACTGCCAACTACAGTTAATAAACATGTAAACCTGTACTTACCACCAATCTTGACACGGGCAGTTGTAGTTACAAAACCCAGGACATTGTTGGCCTCACATGTATAGTCCCCATCATCAGCTCCCCACACTTCTGAGACATTCAACTTGAAAACACCGCCCTTCTGCTCAGTATAGAATCTACCACCTAAAGTAATCTCTCTGCCATTCTTCAGCCACCGAGCCGTTGGTGCAGGGTTGCCTTTAGCCTCACATTCCAAGACAAGTGGCAGTCCAAGTGGTATGCACTGATTGGTAAGTGGGCGAACAAATTCCGGTTTCTCACCTCCCTCCACTTCACAAACCTTGATTGGTGTTGTACAAGAGCTAGGTTCACTCTTGCCAGCTGCATTCACAGCAAAGATTCGGAACTCGTAGTTTGCTTGTTCCACAAGATTAAGTACTGTGTAACTGCAGTCTAGAACATTATATTCATTGCACTTTATCCATGATGCCACACCAACTTCACGCTTCTCAATAATATAGCCTGTGATACGACTTCCACCATCTGATGCAGGTGGTTCCCATTTGAGATCAACATAACTCCTTCCAACCTTGACAACTGTTGGTGTTCCTGGTGGTGATGGGACAGTAAACTTGCCCTTTAGCTTGAACTTAGAGGATGGTGGTGATGGTTTGCTCCAGCCAGCAGCATTCTTAGCTCGTACCCTGAACTCGTATTCACATCCAGATAAAAGACTATGCACTATGTATGTTGTGTCTTTAACAAGATAATCATTTGCCACACGCCACTGTGATTCTGAAACATCCCTGTTAAAAAGAATTATAAAAATTAATTAATGTTCCCAGATGTTGTATAAATTCCTTAATGACTGTACTAAATGAAACAAAAGTATGGTCCAGTAAGTTACCTATGAAAGAGTACGTACACCACAATGTGAGTATAGAGTTTTCTCCTACAATTGCATTATGATAATTTAATAAGCTATTCAAATGTCTGCCAATATCATGTAAATTTATCCTTGACTGTTTTGTTACATTTCAAACACTGCTTGATGATTTAAATAAAACTTACCCTGTATAAGACATAAAATACTTCAGAAATTACAAAATACTGCCATATTTAGGAACTTTACTCATGATGCACTGCATTTTTACAGAAAAAGAATGCCACTACTGAAATGTAAATCTATATCATCTATAAGCCTTAATATTGAACAGTATCTCCAACTGAATAAAAGAAAATATAATACAATTTCAATTATCATGATACAAGAAAGAAGCTTTAAATTAATTAATCAAAGAAAGCTATTTAAATTATCACCTGTACTCAATTTTATAGCCCTGGATTCTAGAACCTCCATCACTTCTTGGTCTATCCCATGTGAGTGTGATGTTGCTGCTATTCCAGTCACTGATGCGTGGTTGTCCAGGAGGATCTGGCACCGTGAATGCAAATTTGGCGGTGATTGGTTGATCTGTCTCTAATGGATCACTGACACCATATTGGTTCTCTGCTCGTATCCTGAAGCTATACTTCTTGTTGGGTTCCAAACCAATCACATCATAATGGCAACTTCGGACAAAACTGCTTACTTTCACCCACATCTGTAAAAATAGTGTGATGTCATTGAAAATGCCCAGATACAGTAATGTTTTCATTTATTTGCAGGATAACATTCATTCAGATTTTGTTGCTGAAAGCAGACATTACACATGTAACTTTCATTCAGATTTTGTTGCTGAAAGCAGACTATGAAACAGACATTACACATGTAACTTCTCCTATGTCTGGTAAAATGTGGTTCAGAAGAAATTTTCAAAATTTTGGTCAGAGTGATGGATTCTTCACCAAGAATATGCTGTCCATAAATGACTTGTTGACTTAGTTCACATAGCTCAGCTAGATAAAACTCTCCACTCTCTTGCCTTAGATCAGAATGATTTCTTTCTCAAAAACTCAAGAACTGTCTAAAAGGACAGCTATGAACTAACAAACACAGAGAAAATTAAATTACTGAATATATTCATAATAATATTAACATAAAATAGCATTTAGACATGTGTTTACTTAAATAACAAGGATCTAAGATTTTTAACTTTTAGATTATACTACATTTACAGTGACAAAAACAAGTACAATTAAACTGCTCATGGATACTGTGTGAAGTTCGTCTTACAAAAAAACATTTTCAATCTTACTTTAAAACTTTTCGCAACTGTCAAAGACAATTGAAAGAAATGAAATTACACTTACTCCAGAGAAGGGATCCAATTTCTCTACCACATAGTTAGTAATTGGAGAGCCACCATCATCAAGTGGTGGTCTCCAGCTAAGTGAGCAGGTTTCTGGAGTGATGTCAGAAACATCTAAAGGTCCCTGTGGTGGTAGAGGTTTATCTGCAAGATATAATATCAAATCCATTAGAGACATTACACTGGCTGTTTCCACATATCAAATGAGCTATGTGACTTTCACAGTTATTGTTTACTGCATTATTTACAGAACTGGCTCCTACATAATTTCTCAACTCAGTTTGGAGACCATTTAAAGCAAATGGGGAAGGAAAGGAAAAGAACAGTTTCAATACATAATAATTTCTTCAACAATATTTAGACTTCTATTGTTAACAGTATCATTTTGAATTAGTCACAGAACATTATATAGCTAATTCTTGTTTTTCTTAGTAGCGGATGAACATTATTGCATACTGCCTGTGGGAAAACAAAGAGTGGTCTACATCAGTACTTATGCAGTTCTTTCAGAAGTGATCTTTAACATCATTATCATAACTTATGTAAACTTTAAGAATAAAGTCTACTGTATTCTATCATTCTTGCACTAAACTTGTTTTGATTTTCTTAATGAAGTTCCATTTCTGTGATTTCAAGTTTAGTTACATTGCCTCTTGAAACATAAATTAGGGGTTTCTCTATACTATACAATTGATTTACTTCAGTTTAGACTTAAGCTTTATAATCAGCTTAAAAAAAGTTGTCCATCTTACCAACAACAAGTACTTTACACGAGGCTGTGTCTGATCCTTCTGAGTTGACCAACTGTATTGTATAGCCCCCAAGATCTGATCGCTTTGCACACTTGTTGATGAAGACTGTTGATGTTGTACTTGTTTCAAACTTAATTCTGTCTCCAGGAATAACTTCTTCACCATTGATTGTCCATGTTGGTTTAGGCTTTGGATTACCAATAAATGGAACAGTAATAGTGAACTCTTCACCAGCAATCACAGTCATATCACGGATGCTTAAGTCACTAGTTATCTTGGGCGCACCTGAAAATTCATTTCCATTTTACAAATGTGATAATGCAGATCTTTTTACAAACCTCTTCACTTTTCATAGATTTTGAAATTGCATAAAGGTAATATAATATTTATTATTTTTTTACAGAACATACATTAATGAAATAGGCAAAGATATACAAACTTATGTTCATGAAAGTACGGCATGAACTGCATTGTACTGGCTTAGATAAATATCCAGGGATGAATTTATATGATGCCTGATTAATTTCCCTACTGAATAACTACCAACTGCTCAAGAAAAATCCTCAATCATGGAGTTGATTCTCTGAATGTATCAACTTGGAATCAAAAGACTCAAATACAAATTGCAGTATTTAACAGTGCTTTAAAAATTTTCACATTTTTATCTGTGATGATACAAAGGGAATTCAACTCAACATTCCTGTCCTCAGATTACATTTTAAAGTATCTGTGATAATTATGAAACATGTTCAAATTTTAAAAACTTGGCTGGCATTTTAAAGCTTTGCTTGTATTTGTAGAAACTTTTTTTACTAAATGCTGGTTTATGATGAAGCAAAGAAAATACTCTAAATCTCTCTTGAGTAAAAAATATGTCTGATAATTACATCTGTAACTATAAATAAAAATTATTACACTGTATCTGGGTTCAAAATAATCTATTGAAAAAATATACTGGAAACATATTTGTGCTGAGTCAACTTCATAGCATTTTGAAAGTCAGCTGTATCTTACAAATTATATTAAAACATAGTGAAACTATTAGAATATATGAGGTAAATTTTTTTAAGTATGCAGCTTCTGAATAAATCAAATGGAGTGTACATACTCGTATTCATATTGTTTATACTTTTTAGGTATCTTTTAATTTATCTTAATATTTAAACTTACATCGTGGTGGCCTGCATACAATTGCATCAGAAGATGAACTCCAGGGTCCTTGACCAGCGGCATTAACAGCTGCTACTCTGAACTCATATTCATGGTTCTCAATCAAGTTAGGAACTCTGTGAATACAGTAAAGCTCATGAAAAACTAATACAACTCATTCAGATCTTTCTGTACTTAAAGAATAGCAGTAGTGATTCACAAAGACCTAAACAGCACTTGTCATTACTTACTTGTATGTGAGCTCAACTACATGTGCATGTGTTGCTTTTGTCCACTTGTCTTCACCAATCAACTTTTTCTCAATGACATAACCTAAGACTGGGGAACCACCATCATGGCGTGGCTTAGTCCATGAGATAGTAATTGAGTCTTCTGTTGTTTCAACACCTCGTGGTACACCAGGAGGTCCAGGTGGATCTGAGAAATTTTACATTACATTAGCTTTGAAATGTCAAGAGTCAAAATAATTTGTAAAGGACTTGGTGCAGGAAATGAACATTATAGTTATGGTTTCTTTACAGGTTCATTTATTGATGAGTTCTCAGTATGAAAGGTTATGTTGTGTCAAATGGGAGTATGATTATAAATGATAAATTGAGGATGTTGTGGAAGGAAGTAGTAATGACAAATCTAAAGTACCAACCAATCATTTCTATGAAGACTTGAGGAAAATGATGAATCATTTCAGTCAGGAAAGCCAGACTCTGGACTAAAAAGCACCATATGAATATGAAGCAGGATTCTAACCACTTGAGTATCTGACTGTGACACATGCTATGTTTTTATTAAAATAAATTTTATATAAGAACAGTGATCACGGACTTCAGTTATTAAACATTTGCCTCCAACAATTGCTCTGAGGTTCTCCAAGCAGCTACTCTTCCAGGTGTTTAAGCAACTTAAATACTAAGTCTGGCTGGTGGTTACAAATTTTCTGAAATACATGCAATTTTGTTCAGTGATATAAAGAAGCCCAACTTAACAACAACTTTCTTCTGAATCGAAGGTACTTAATACAAATCTCAGCCAGTGCTGATTACCCTGACTAATGCTTTTGCAGTTGCCTAAGCCACTCAAAAGCAAAAATATTTCCTTTTTTATTTTTGTAAGAAAAACTGGTTTCCTGAAAATAAAATATTCGTATCTGATTTTAGAAATAAATCTTTTTCATCACATGACTTCTTTCAAAAGCAACAAAATTCAGATGAGAATGCAACAATGTTCCCCATATTTTTAAGTAATGGATACATACCAAATGGATGCCTTGCCTTAACAGGCTCTGCAGTAAGAGCAGGATCAGATGTGCCATACTGATTTTCAGCCATAACTCGGAACTCATACTCTCGACCAATCACCAAGTTACGAATACGGCAGAAAGGTGTAGTCACATAGCTGCTTACCTAAGAAATAAGAACTAATTAGCTGATACAAATACATGTATTTCTGCTGAAATTTATTGAGATGACACACTTCTGCATGCTTAATTTAAGATACAGTAATAGTAAAACTGACTGAAGAACAAATAATATTCTTCATGATAATCCTACCAAAAAATAAATCATTTAATCTTTCCATTCACTTTTCTGTTTCCTTAAATGTACATGAAGATTCATATTTACATTCCATGTGGCAAATTTTGCTCTTCAGTGTGAGTTATGAAAACCCAATGTTACAACTTGGGTCACTGGCAATCTTACATTGGGAACCTTCGATAAACATCGTACATAGGTTTCAACTGATAAGAATATGCAATTTTGTGAGCAATATAACACTACATTTGGAAATATCTAGTCGCAACATTTCACTGGTATTCTGAGATGTAATGTCTAGTGTTCCATCATCACACATTTTAAAAAATGTTCAACTTGTATTCACCTGACAATAAATCTGGGCACATCTATAAACTGTAGCAAAAGTTGACTGTAGAGACTTAAAACGGATCATTCTGCAAGTTAGTTAAATTTATTTGGGTTGTAATATACTGGTTTATGAATGAAACTGTGTTTTTTTTCATTCCCCCACAATTTTATTGAAATTTTCTGCATTTAAAAGACAATCCCATCCTTCCAAGCAAATTAAAACTCTAAAATAAAGATAATATTTTCAGATAGGCATTCTTTCCTTAAAAACCCTACATACTTTAATGGCTGTTGGACATTTTTAACCATACTGATAAGGTACCTACACAGCCGTGTTACACAAATGAACACACACTCGTACCTTCTGCCATGCTGTGGATCGTGGCTCCTTCTTCTCCACAACATAGTTCGTAATATCAGCTCCTCCATTATCTTTTGGTGGATTCCAAAAAAGTGTAAGAGCATCACCTGCAAACTCATCAGCCCTCAGATTCTCTGGTGGACATGGTCGATCCAATACCCGTACATTAATAGTGGCTGTGTCAAAACCAGATTTATTTTTCAACTGCAGACGATACTGGCCTGTGTCAGACCTCTTGGAATTTTTCACTACAATACTGGCATAGTCATCAGCCAACTGCAATAAAAAGACATATTTACTACTCACTATTATATGTAGAAAATCACATAATACAATTGTTTATCCTGTACTTTTACTGCTGCTCCCATCTTCATATGATGTCAATAAGATAAATCACAAAATTATGTGTATTACATGTTAAATCTGAGGGATATCTGTTGAGCTATATTGTCAAGCTTTCCAGTGGGGGAAAAAATATATAACAGAAAATTGTATGCCTGTTCTGCTGTATGCATTTGTTGTGTAACAATGGAAAAGCAATGCATTAATTGATAAAATAGATGGTGGATGTCTTCTGGGTATTTGCATTGTGTAGTCTGGTAAAAGTTTACTGACATTTCAGAGATTCTTGGACCTCTGAAACGTCAGTAAACTTCTGCCAGACTATATGGCACAAGAACCCAGAAGGCAGCCAACTTCAGACTCACCACTGTGAAAACCCTGAATCCTACAATTGGAAAGATGTTAAATTTTTATATTTTTGGTAATAACAGGGAAAATACCCATTACCCACCATACAACATTTTTTGTGTAATTGTTAATCTCTTTAAATATAAAAAAGACCATCTTCTTACAAACAGGAACTTACTTGCTGATGTACTCTATTGTCAGTCTCATCCAGCAGTGTGTCATTGTTGAACCATGTAAGTGTAGGTTTTGGGAATGCAACATATGGGACGTGGATAGAGAAATCTTCTCCAGCGCGCACTGTAATATCACGAACACCTCCTAGGTCCATGCATGGCTTGTTGGCTTCTTCTTCAATCAAAATGCTGTTACTTGGCCTACTGGGATCTGATGGACCTACATCATTCACAGCTATCACTCTGAACTGATATTCATCACCTTCCTTCAGATTAGGCACCTGTTCATACAAAGAATTTAGTGTTACATAGTTCAACCAACCAGATACATACCAAAAACAACATGTAATGCTCCTCAATTACTGTATATAACCAAATTCTATAGTCATAAGTAATTAGTTGTCAAAATCTGCTATTAATAATATATTAACAAATATTATAATGAGTTTAAAAACATTACAAATCATGCATAGCAGGTTAGTTTAGAGAATGTAATTCAAACTTACCAAATTCCATTATTCTCTTTAAATTCCTTAATTTTCAAGGATAACTATCTTTCCCTCAAGGCTGCATGTATTAACTGTGATATCATTATATACATGAGGTAGTGTCATGTTAAGATGATTCATCAATTAATGTGTAATAAATACAGTATAATCTTGAAGCTCACATTGTGAAGTTAAAAGTAATCACAGTAGTGTATGTGTTATTTGTTTGCAATCATGAAACATTACTAAATAGCAATGACATTATTACTTTTCACTTCTAATAACCTTAAATTTTTCTTCATAAAATTTAATTTACATTAAGAACAGCATTCAAAAATCAGCAAGTATCACAAACTTGGAAGCAATTACATTTAAATATTGAATAAATGTAACTCACTTTGAACACATTGACAGGGACAGGAGTTCCATTGACATCAGACCAATCATCATCTCCTTTTCCTTTCTTTTGAATAATATAGCCCTTGATCTTCGATCCTCCATCATTTCGGGGAGGCCTCCAAGAGAGGGTCACACTGTCTCTTGTGATGCGATCAGGTTTAGGAGGTTCCGGTGCATCAGGTTTCACTGTATAAGTGAACATAACAGTGCAGTCATTACTAATTACATTATGCAGGTTTTTCTGAGAAGTAATTTCTATCCAGATCAGGTGGAGATATTTTACAACTCAAACTTTCCTGCTTAATACAACACTTCAAAAAATTAATATCAAAATTTAAAAAAAATTAAAATCTATGAAGATAAACAGCATAGCAGAGAGAGATTTCAAATACATAGGAGGATAAAGAGAACAGGATGAAGAAGCTGAAGTAACTGGTCAGAAAGACATTTATTAAAGAGCACTCTCTGTAATCCTACTACAAAAGTGTTTATCAAAACTCAGTAACTTACAGCGTTGTGCCTCTGCTGTGATTGGTTCTGTGGGTTTGCTAGGCTTTCCAGGACCAGCCTCATTAACTGCAATCACACGGAATTCATAACGGGAGCCTTCTCGCAGATCTTGTACTGTAAAGCTTGTGTTTGGTGTTGGATAATTATTCACCTTGATCCATTCTCCTCCACGCTCACGCTTCTCAACATAGTAGCCTGCACAAACAGGAATAGTATTGAAAAATTAATTATTCAGTAACTTACTATTACGTAATATATGTACTGAAGTTAGAATGCCTACAAATAATGGTAACAAAGAAAAATTAAATCATTTAATAGAATATAGAATGAGTAAAGCTCCTACTGAAGTTATAATAAATGTTCTGTGTGTATGCACAAACATACACATAAATAATAAAATTACAACTACTAATATTTAATGAACTAAAGGTTTACAAGAATAAAAAATGTAATGTCAATGGTGGTCTTCTGGGTTGTGGAACCACATGGTCTTGTAGGTGGTTACCAACATTTTTAATAAAAGTATTGCCTCCATCATCAAAGTGAAGTGAAAAATTTATATAGGTGGAGGATGGCCAAAGGGAGCAAAGAAAAAATAAAAGAGGGAAGTAGGCACAGAAGTCATAATAATTGCAGCTCCTATGTAGGGCACAATAAGGGTTTACTTTTAAGGAAAGTGATGCAAAGAATGAAGGGAATAATGACAGTGAGAGGAGAAATAAAGATAAAACATTTCATTTTAGGGAATAAAGTTCAGAAGAGTAATAAGACAGTGGCAGAAGGTAAAAAAATGGTAAAAAAGTGTAAGCATGCCCTGTGGCAAATAAGTAAAGGGATAAAAGTATGAATAATAAAAAGAAATGGCAGCAAATGGGAATGGGGGATTTATGATTAAGACACCATTCCAAACATCAAGTGAACTTGATATTAGATTGGTAACCACGTATACATCTCAGAAGATAGCTGTGAAAATCTGAAATCTCACTTAAAGTCTACATGGCATCATAATCAAGAAGATCACATTCCTTAGAATTATTTTCACCACTATAAAAATTTTAATCTTAATCCTCACACCAATTTTAGAAAACAGGATTTTAATTAAAGTATGTCATTAAGAAACTGTGAAGAGTAAAATGTTGCTGAGTTATAAGTCTTTAGGAAAATAAATAAACTGTTCTTTTACCTGTAATAGGCTTTCCTCCTGTAGATGCTGGAGGATTCCACTGCAAGCTGCAAGTACTTGGGCTGTAACCTGTAATTTCTGGTGTGCTTGGAGCATCTGGGGGATCAAATGGACTCTTTGCTACAACAGGTTTACCGTCCAGTGGTTCTGACAGGCCATATATATTCTCAGCCCTAACTCGAAACACATAACGCTTTCCTTCATTCAGACCCTTGACTGTGAAGGCAGTCTTGGGACAGAATCCTGGTACAGTTTTCCAACTATCTGAACCATATTCTTTCATCTCGATGACATAGCCTGAAAAAAATGTATTAAATGATATTCAATTATTTAAACATCAACTGAAATAAATTTATGGAACAAAACATATTTACTTGTGTTAACATAGTCTATTATTATCATGTCACAAATTACCTTGCAGCAGTCACATTCAATACTATATTAGCTAATAAATAAAATGATTTTAAATTATATTATGCAAAAAATACCTGTAATTTCACCACCTCCATCATCTGTTGGGGGGTTCCATGCAAGTGAAACACTGTCTTGTGTGATATTGGTGTATGAAAGTGGTCCTTTGGGAATACCAGGCTTGTCCACCACCACAACTTCAATATCTGCAGAGTCCTTGCCATAGTCATTCTTTGCTGTAATGGTGTACTTTCCTGAATCATGTCTAGTTGAAGAATCTATATGCAAACTGGTGTTATCACTTGTTGTTGCTGCCTGCAGAAATTTAAAGAAAAAGCACTTCTTACATATTTATGAAGCAATAAATAAATTACATAAACAAGAAAGTCAAAAAGACTTTCTATACTAGTATCTTATTAAAAGTGAATTCCCTATCTCACACAAAACTTACCGAAATCCTGTTGGTTTCTGGGAGTTTAACAGTATTTTTGGTCCATTCAACAACAGGAATAGGAGCTCCTGACAAAGGAATCTGGATATTAATTGGTTCACCTGCACGCACTTTAATCTTCTTGCCAAAGAGACCATCCAAATACAGTTTTGGCTTTTCTGTAAGACATAATTTATTCAGTATACGAAATTACCATCAAAACCATGCAGACAGATTGGCTGATAAATTACACATACTTCAATCTGAAGAGAATCAACTATACCTCTCATAGGCTTAGCTGTAATAGTGGCTGATGTGTCACTTGGTTTTCCATGGCCAGCGGCATTGATGGCTGTAACACGATACTCATATTGACGTCCTTCTTGCACATGGTCATCATAGTATTCAAGATGCTGAAACATGGTAAATCATGTTTCACTAGTGACATAACTGATTTTTTATATTCATATTAATAAAAGTAAATATTCAGAAACAGACATTATAGTCTCAGAAATTGTCATATAATATTAATTAATTAATTTTTATTTGATGAAAGATTTTGTAAATACAGCACTGGAAAAATGTTATAATTAGACTGCAAATAAAATGCGATATTCAATGTTCTTGACGGCTATCATACAAGTTCCAAACATTTAGAGTGAGATTGACTAACATATTTGATATCTCAAATGACCTACAACACACTTGGAGGCAGCCAAAAAGATTTTAACATTTTATACGCTTGAAATTGTATTAAACGCAAGTTGCATTTTAAGTATTAGATACAAGATTCTTCTGTACACTCCCCTGATTCTCAGTCTTTGTTTTGTTATTTATTAATTTATTGTAAACCAGGTATCATAACACATCTTCAACACGTCCTATATAATAATCATGAAGTATTAATAATTATCATAATCATATTTACTTTTTATATCAGTCTGTTTCATGAATAGTTAAAAATAATTTTAGTTGTGTATCTTTGTACCTTCACTGGGTCCTTGTTCATCTTTACCCAGCGACCTGTCATACGTTCTCTCCTCTCAACATCATAGCCAATAATTGGGGAGCCACCATTGCTGATGGGAGGTGTCCACTTGATTCTAATATGATCTTTATCAGTATCAACAGCTTCAGGACGACCAGGACGGCCAGGTACATCTGCAACACACATTTAACTTTTTAAATTAAGTAAGTAGTTATATTTGTAGACTCATTTATCAATATGACCCTTTTATTTGCAAAATTATTGTCAAATTGAACTATATAATACATTACCCAGTGTTCTTAATATGATACATCATACAACACAAATCATGTGACAGAGTGCAGTAATGTAAGATCTAGGACTTTGCTCTGAATTAACAAGGTGCTCAATTTGAACCCTGGCTAGGACACCTGCTATCCTCAATGACATTTTCCATTTTCTTATTCAGTACCTCCGTCTAAATGCTGGGGAAGTACCTATGCAACAATCATTTCCTTCATTTTTCTTAACTAATCAATTAATGTAATCCCATTTCTCAATCTGACTATTTATATCCAGTACAATTAAAAATCTTTGATAAGCTGAAAACAAACTTACTAAATTAAAAGAAATATTTTAAATTTTCAAGATATGAATATTCTTTTAAAAACTTGCCTGCAACAAGGAAGTTTGCAGAATATCATTATTTGGAAAAAAAGTTATTATTTTCACTCAAAACATACCAAATTGATTTTTGGCAACCACTGGTTTCTGTGTGTTGAGAGGATCAGAGCGACCCTGGAGATTCTCAGCTGATACTCTAAACTCATATTTGGTGCCTTCCAGAAGTCGAGGGACAGTTGCATGATTATATTTTGGATTTACAAAAGTGACAGCTGGCACCCAACCACCACCATGTGTTAGGTCTCGTTTCTCAATTACATAACCACTAAAACAAAAACAAAATAGCTACATTAGGAAAACACACGGTAAATGACACAATAGAAAAGTTCAGTTAAAAGCTCTATAAAATACAGTGCATATATCTTTCTTAACAGTTTTTAATTTACATTAACAATTTTCATAATCTGAAATGATGCTCTATAAGGAAACCATTTCCTAGCTAGTTGCAAATAACAGAAAATTATGTAATTTAAAACTTTTAATCTAATCTTGATATTATCAGACAACTTACGTAATCTCACTACCACCATTATCCTTAGGTGGTTTCCATGATAAGGTTACACTAGATCCAGTGATCTCCTCATACTCAAGTGGGGCCTCTGGCGGTGAAGGTCGATCTGAAAAAAAACTCCTATTTTAAAAGATTTCCTTGACTCACAATAAGGTACATTTTAATGGTAAATGACAGACCATGAGAGTGACATAAAAAATATTGCTTGCTTAAACCTCTGTATCCCATAGTTAAACATTTTATTAGTATGAAATCATGACACAGGGTTCAATCCACAGATTTATTAGCACCAACTAAAAATGCAATTTGTTTCTTAAAAGCTGCTCAAGCTTATACAAGTTGTATTTTGCAATTCTTTCAGCCATTCAACCATCATATGGTTTAGACTTATTATTTAGTGTTTGTCGAAAAAACTAGCTTTCCTTTTCTTTTTTTCAGTTTCTAAATATCAGAGGTCATTATAGCCTCTCATATATTCAGTCAATATTGCCAATATTGCAGATATTTTACCATCTTAGTGATCAATGTCATAGAAGCCCATTACTGTTGCCAATAAGGGCCCACTGTGACTTTTTTCTGGTGCCTCTACTCTAACAGTGGAGGACATATATTCCTTCAAATACCAGAAACATTTTCCACCAAAACACAGCATAAGAACCAAGAAGGAAAACCCCCCAAAATTTTTATTTTTTAAATTAAATACAATGTTAAAATAAACCTGTTTGTGATGCTGCTACTGGAAATGACTGGTTGCAGGTGATAATGTGGCTGTATTAATGACAACATCATAAGTCAACCACAAAATGTGCAACAAAGGAGGCACATCAGAGCAAACAGGAAGAATGGGACATCATTAAATGTTACTGTTCTAGATGCAGAATCCATCTGAACAGAATTGTTTTGACATCAATGGGCCACTGACACTGGAATTATTCAAGGACCATGACATCACCAACAATATACAGTTGTACTGTGGAACCATTTGAGATCTTCACATCACCATTAAGAGACAGTATCCAAAAATGCTCACAAGAGTCCCCACGTAGCCTGCAATGCCCAGGACACACTGTACTCCAGTACTCCAGGTGCTGGACAATCCCCCATTCAGCCTGGACCTGTCACTGTATGACTTTTACATTTTTGTGCCCCTAAACAAAGCACTAAAAGGCCACAGACTCAGGTCAGATGAAGGTGTCCAGATGACTGGGGTGCAGTGAGTTGTGGCAGTAACCCAAGGAGTTCTTTGCAGAGGGAATAAATTGGCTGGTACACAGATGGGATGCATGACTCTATACCCTTAGAAATACTCTAACAACCATTACTAACCCCGATCAATCCCCAAACAGGCTTCCTTCAAAAAGCCTGAAACTGTTTATATTTCCCACCAGTAACACTTTATTGTAATGTCACAAAATAGATTTTATCTGACTCCATTTTTCAACTTATAACTACGTGCATTGTAAATTCTTACCTAATACATTGACTTGGAAAGATCCTTCATCCAGACCAGAGCTGTTTCGTAACATCAAATGATACAGTCCACTATCAGACCTCTTGGCATTTACTGTGTGGACAATTGTATGGTAACCAATTGAGGTTACTGTTGTTCTTTCATCTGTCTTGAGTGGCTTATTTTCCACAGACCATATTACTTCTGGTGGAGGTTCACCAATAAAATCGATGTCAACGTGAAAGATCTGGCCTGCTTTGATGCGGATATCATTCAGAGGTGTCTTGATTTTTGGGGGTACTGTAAAGAAGATGTCAGTTTCATAAGTAATATTATTGACAAAGGAATATTTTTCAGTGTTTAATAAGTACAGAAATACTTACAGTATCTTGCTTTAGCAATCACAGTATCAGATGGCTCACTAGGTTCACTCTGGCCAGCTGAATTAGTTGCAATGACACGGAATTCATATTCCTGGCCCTCTGTAAGATCTGGTACAGTACCCTGAATAGTAAATAAAATGTCTTGTTTATTTTGGTGCAGTGTGTGACAAAATACACCAAACTAAATTAGAAAAGTATAGAACTTGTACATAAATATGGTCAGAAAAAGATTCACATCTATCATTAAAATCTGTAACTCACAAAAGAAGTAACTGTACTGATTATCTCAAAATGAAAAAATGGGTCCTAGATACAGCAAAAATATGAGATATCAACTATGTACCCAAAAATACATTAGACTGCTTCTGTTTCATTTTTGTGAAAATAATGGACAATAACTTGCAAGATATATTTTGTGAAAATAATGGACAATAACTTGTAAGATATCAATTTGTCAATTATATTATCAATATGAACAAAGTATTCACAACTTTTAATTTATTAAATTATTTTAAGATGCTGGAAGTCATGAGAATTACTTTAATAACTGTATCTTGAAGAGAAAGGAAGGTATCCATCAAGTATTGATCATGTATAAGATCACTAGAAATATTTCCTTTGAAATTCCCATTTATTACTGACTTTTAATTTATTTAAGGAGTTACGATTAAGAGACTAATAAAATGTTAAAACATTGTATAAAAGTCCAATTGAAGCTTCGATTTCATCGATTGAAGTTTCTAAGCAGTCTCTTTGCCTAGAATAATTCTCTCTAATTTTATCCAGTGTTTTATTTGTGAATTTTGTGATATCGCCCAATAAATTATCTGGAAAAATAGCTGCCAGAACTCGATCTCGGTTTTTAAGTTTTTTGCGCATCCCTTGCCCCGAGGAAAGTGAGAGATGGTCCATGATAAATGGCTTTCCAGGAGCATCTGGTCCGTCTAATATAGTAAATAAATTTATAAAGAAACAGATAAATTATAATCGTTTTAACACAGCACACTATGGAGAATTTAAATTACATACTGAATATTCTGCTCCTGTAATTACAATATTTCTATCAGTGTTAGTAACATTTGTAGTTTTAGCTGTTCTTAATGATGTCAGTGAAGTGCCTTCAAATTTTAATTTTGTTGAAATATTTTAAGTTTTAAACACAGACCCATTTAATGGAATAATGAAACAGAAACTTTCACTAACTTTTGTGCGTGTATGAGTGAGTCTCTCTCTCTCTCCCTCTCTCCCAGTAGTACGCATGGATATGTCATACTGTCACATTTGTATTATAAAGAAAACAAAAGTGGAACATAACAAAGATATCCTTTAGTTCATTACTTCTTTGAAAAATATGACGAAAAAAAATTAAAATTAAGAAACTGTACAACAGAGATGCAGTTGTGCTGATGACTTTTACATATAAAATCAATTTTTTCCAATATTTTAAGGTCTGTTTTTATAACAAATAGCAAAATACTGCTAATCAACCAATGTAATATCAGATTACTTGTTTCTTTTTTTCTATAAAAGAAAGCACTACATATATACATTAAGATTTGAAGAGAACAGAAGTAAATTATACGGACTAGTAAAATATATTTGAATATTATTTTATTTTCACAGAATCTTATGTGATTACATACCAAATTCATTCTTCGCAATGATGCTCTTTGCTGTCTCAAGAGGATCAGACTCTCCTATGCTATTGACAGCCTTTACTCGGAAGAGGTACTCCTTCCGATGTATCAGTCTTGTTACATCATGAGATAGACCTGAAGCCATGCCTGCATCTGCCCATGTTCCCCTTGACACATCCATTTTCTCCACAATGTAATGCAGAATGGGACTTCCACCATCATCGAGTGGTACCTTCCACGTAAGGCGAGCACCCTCCTTTGTTATATTGCTAACCACTAGAGGACCTTCAGGTGGAGATGGTCGATCTTAAAACATAATGTAACTTTATAATTAAGAACATTTAGATACATGGTATATTAATTTCATTTAAAAGAAATATTCAACACTTTACTTAAGTATAAGACTAGAATATATATTTTAGACTGAATTCTTAATTCTTCACATCCATATCTCAGTCTTAGGCTTGCTTCTAAAAACAAATATTTGGGTCTACGTAACCAAATAACTTCAAAAGTAAATAACTACTACTGTTAATTAAATATTTTATGAAAGATGTCATTTGATGTCACTTATGTAACCAGTGCTTTAATTTCATATCTCCATTAACAACAAACTGTAGCTATGTAAATTCTACACTACAACCAATGTGATTCAGTACGGGACACAACTGATAGACACTGACATTTACTTTTGTATCCAAAACACTTTACTTCAGAGAACTGCCTAAATGTAAAATAAGCTTACATATATCACGTATCTACAAAAGTAATTTTAATGTTGATCCTGCTTTTTGGTACTGGTACAAAAAGCAAGATCATTATTAATAACAACTCACCATGAAAACTTAGAAATATTTTAAAGTGATAATACACTACTTTCTCATCATTCTTTCGGTTATCAGACTGACTGGCTGTGGGTTTTGAAATCACACTCACCTAGTACAGTGACATTGGCAGAAGCTGAGGACTGCCCCAATTCATTTTCCAGTGTGAGAGTGTAGCGCCCAGTATCATTACGAACTGAAAACAAAATCTCAAACACAGTCTGATTGGCAAATGTCTGAATATCAGCTCGTACTCCAGGTTCAACAGGCTTGCCATTTACGGACCATTTTGCTTTAGGTCTTGGTGATGCTTCAATTGGGATGGTGTAATTAATCTTCTGATCAGCTTTTACTACCATATCTTGTAGCAAAGTCTTATCAAACCATGGTGCCTCTGAAAAATAAATAAAGATTTCTTTGTGGAGATTGAATTTATGTTACATAATTGTAGTAGTGTTTTGGGACATAGGTATCCCCATTATAAGGGAAGAGAAGGAAAAGGTAAAAAATTTGAGATTTGAGATTTTCACAGCGGTAAACATAAGGTCTATGATATACCAGGTTATAATGCCATGTAGCCTTGTAGGACAGAAGTGATATTAGACTGAAGATGGATGTGATATGTTCCTCCAAATGTTGGTAACCACTTAAAATGACTATATAGCATCATGGCCAAGAAAACCATGATTTTCAGAGGGGGGAAAATAATTTAAGTGATACATTTTTAGAAGTACCACTAGTCGGTAGCTAGTTTCAAATTTATGAAAGCACAATTTAAAATTTGAACTGTGTAACATTTTTTCAATGATCATCTTCTGGGTTGTATCATATTGACTTGCAGGTAGATACCATTGAAGATGGCTGTCTTCTGGATTGTTGCGCCATGTAGTCTGGTAGAAGTTTACCAACTTTTCAGAGGTCCTTGCTGCCTCCATCATCAGGGCAGC